CTCCGAGTTGGGCATCTCCGGCGTGGCTCACTCTTGGATTGCGTCCTACCTGACAGGTCGCTCCTACCAGGTGGCGTGGCGAGAATCTGTCTCCGCACCACGTGCTCTCACCACTGGTGTCTCCCAGGGCTCAGTTCTAGGCCCTCTCCTATTCTCTCTATACACCAAGTCACTTGGCTCTGTCATATCCTCACATGGTCTCTCCTATCATTGCTACGCAGATGACACACAATTAATCTTCTCCTTTCCTAACCAAGTGGCGAATTGCATCTCTGCATGTCTGGCAGACATATCAGTGTGGATGTCGGATCACCACCTCAAGCTGAACCTCGGCAAGACGGAGCTGCTCTTCCTCCCGGGGAAGGACTGCCCGCTCAATGATCTTGCCATCACGGTTGACAACTCTGTTGTGTCCTCCTCCCAGAGTGCAAAGAACCTTGGCGTGACCCTGGACAACACCCTGTCGTTCTCCGCTAACATCAAAGCGGTGACCCGATCCTGTAGGTTTATGCTCTACAACATTCGCAGAGTACGACCCTACCTTACACAGGAAGCGGCACAGGTCCTAATCCAGGCACTTGTCATCGCCCGTCTGGATTACTGCAACTCTCTGTTGGCTGGGCTCCCTGCCTGTGCCATTAAACCCCTACAACTCATCCAGAACGCTGCAGCTCGTCTGGTGTTCAACCTTCCAAAGTTCTCTCACGTCACCCCGCTCCTCCGCACACTCCACTGGCTTCCAGTTGAAGCTTGCATCTGCTACAAGACCATGGTGCTTGCCTACGGAGCTGTGAGGGGAACGGCACCTCCTTACCTTCAGGCTCTGATCAGTCCCTACACCCAAATGAGGGCATTGCATTCTTCCACCTCTGGCCTGCTGGTCCCCCTACCTCTGCGGAAGCACAGTTCCCGCTCAGCCCAGTCAAAACTGTTCGCTGCTCTGGCACCCCAATGGTGGAACAAGCTCCCTCACGACGCCAGGACAGCGGAGTCACTGACCACCTTCCGGAGACACTTGAAACCCTACCACTTTAAGGAATACCTGGGATAGTATAAAAGTAATTATTCTATCCCCCCCCTACAAAAATATTTTAAAATTAAAAAATTAAAAAAATAAATAAAAAACATGGTAAAGTGGTTGTCCCACTGGCTATCATAAGGTGAATGCACCAATTTGTAAGTCGCTCTGGATAAGAGCGTCTGCTAAATGACGTAAATGTAAATGTATACACTTCTGCTACATTTATAGTACTAACAATGCATTGAGATAATGATCTGTAGTTATTCTCCTATGAGGAAATTAATACTGGAATTATGGATATTAATGTAGGTTAATTTGGGTGTACATTCTACCAGAGTTAATGTGTGCTAAGTTGAGGGTTTTTAACTTTGAGTGATAGGACCCATGTGAGTCACTGAGCATTGTCATTCTAAATTTGGGTTGGGATAATTCATTTGGATATGTTGATGATTTTTCAGTAGACTATAGTTACATTTCTTCAGACTCAATGGACTATAATATAAACATAGTTAATCAACGAACACAGAGCTAGAGTTAAACATTGGTACAGCTATGTTGCTATGCAAGAACTTAATTGGTTCCTCTCACGGGATTAGGTGTGTGACATAGGAATCTTTCTTCTCTCTTCATCTGACCTCGGGTCGAATTCCTCGCTCCTACCTAATCCAAGGCTATCCTGATTTATCAGTGACTGAAACCAGTGTTATCCTTTGGCTCTATCCTAAGGCATATTCCTGGAATGACGTCAGGGATGAACAGAGTTCAGACTAAACATAGTACCCACTCAAATATCAGCTACTGTAAATGCATCTTCTGTATTTGATGTGTGTGTAAAGGGACGACCGAGGGACGAGTTTCCAGAACTAGATATTGGGTTCTTACGAGCTTCTCAATGTCTCATGATGGTTGAGAACATGGGAGGAGACTTCATATTTCTAAACTAGGAATCCTACCGATTCCAGGGTTCTTTTGGTGTTGTGGTAAAAAATATATGGACTAATCTTCATACACTATGGAGTGTGTACTTTAAACAATCTTCTTTACGTGGTTCAGCCTGTTGAATTTGTACATAAAAACATTACGGGGCGTCGATCTACAAGGGAGACTTCAGAACTTATGGGTTATGTATATTTAAGGAATTCGGATTCGATTGATTTGGCTACAAGATACAATGCAATACCTCAAGATAAGGAAATATTTACACATACTCAGTTAAGACTATTTTTGGGAATACGGAATTACAATATTCCAATCATTATCTCATAGCATTGACGCGTCATGACGTTGCTAGCGGTTAATGTAACAGATGGGTTTTCAAGCAATTGGGTCTGAAATGGCACTCAGACATATAATAGACATACATGTAATTGATAATCGCATAGCATTAGATGCTATTACAACAGCTCAAGGGGGAGTGTACGCGATTGTAGGGGGAGATACATGTTGTACATACCATCAGACTCTGAAGGTCTTGGGAATTTAACTAAAGCTATGGGTCATATTAGAGAAATACAGGATGGGATTAGAAACACTAATCGAGAAGCAAGGATATTCATATACCTCTATTGTAGTCTACAGGTAAATTAGAAATAATAATGAATCAATGTATTTTCTTGGATGATGTCATGATAATAAACATTCATTTGCATTTGTTTTTTGTTTGCCTGTTTAAGAGGATGGTATAGTTGAAAATGATGTATACAAGTGTTATTTACAATGGTCTAGGTGGGATTGTTCCTTATATATCAGTAAGGTTGACTACATAAATATTTAGTGTGAATATATATATATTAGTAAGTAATGTATTGATATTTTACTCAGGCCGAGTCAATCTAGGTTTGAGATGTTTGATCATGCATGATCCAGATGACTGATTAAATATATTGAGAATCTGGTTGGATTCAGGTATGGAGAATGTAGAGGGGGATGATTTCTCAGCTATATGGCATAGTTTAGACTCCAATCATATGTATCCCACTAAGGGAGAATATTTTTTATTTTGGAAATCAAGTTGTGTGAATTGTTTAGTTAAAGTAATGTCATATCTGGGGAATTTTTTACTTACAACAGAAAAAGAAAGAAAATGGGGGAACTGATATGTGTTTACACAGGAGTTGTTAATGTGTTCAAGCCATTTATTTAAGTCACTGGTGGGTGCCAGAAAGTCTGAGTGCCTGGAAGGCTGGGGGGCCACTGGTGTTAATCTTAGAATGAGGACGTGATGGAATGTCCTGACTGGGGTGCAAGATGATACCATTGTAGTTGAGTGTCACCCAATAATGGTTGGCAAGAATTGGTTTACAATGCAGTATATAAACTGAGAGATCTCTGTGTCTGTCATTCGGATAGTAAGGGGCAACTCACGTGCAGCTTGCTATGTTGAATCCGGTACCGTATTATTAAATACATTGTATCAACTCTCCATCTAAGTGTTTAATTATATTCTTGCATCCTGAATCTCTTGATACCAGAGAACCCATCATAACAAGTACCCTGTAACAAATCAATACAAACATTTTACAGAGAGGATGGTTATGATGAAATACTATCACACACACAATGGTCTCTCAAGACCAGGATTGGGAAACGTACAGTAACCGCATGTCCTCATTTTCAAGACTGTGTATCCGTTTCAAAACAATGATCTAGCATTGAGGTGTGCAGGACTTACACTGTCACAACATATGACCCAGTCAGACAGATTGTTAAGGTATAAAGCAAAACCGGACAGAGTAAAAAAACAAGAGCAGAGCTGATAATAGCGGCCATTTTGTGTCACAGTCTCCCCACAGATCTCTCTCGAAACTGCTGCAGTCTAAGGACCAGGTTACTCTTGAAAACATACTCCATCTAAATGGGATACATTTGGTTTGATAAAGACAAGGTTCAATTAAAATGGATTGTTGTTTTTCACAGCAGTGTAGCAGAATAAGTCTGGAAACATTCTAGTAAACCTTACGATCATGGTGAAGGCTGTTTGGGGGATCCTTAAAACAATAAGTCAATCACAATGCTAAATGAATCTGATTTAATCCAGGATATGAGGATGCTATAGAAAAAATGATCATAGCTCATTGTAGCTCATAATTATACATATCGCAATTTTTATTAATTTATCCTATATCGAAATAAATAAAAAAAGAAACAAAACAACCAGAAGAAGCAAGAATGACATAATTGATGATGGAATGTATTTTCAGTAAATAAAATAAAGCTCCAACTGTTACACCACGTGTGCTTTATTTCACCCACAGATATCGTGTCAAATAAAGCACCATTATATATATATATAAAGTTATATATATATAGTTTTCATATACACCGCCAGGCAACAACTAGAGAAGATTCTTTACAGAATCAAGTTTCTTGTGGTTCTTTTTTAATGTACAGGTAAACTTAGTTTGGATATTAACCACAGAAAAAACAAGGCAACTTTTGCCTCGTTCATAAAGTACAAAACTGGCACAAAGGACACCATTTTATACAGAGTAAAAATGCAATAAAATTAAATTGCATACAGAAGACTAAAATTACTGTAAACCTTTCCCCGTTACAGCAACCTCAAACAAATAAATCACTTCAAAAATAACACAGAAATCAGTAAAAAACAAATTATTTTTGCCCTTAGAAAAAAATGTGCTGTAGTTTTTTTTAGAACTTGATCTTTTTTGTCCAATGGATCGGAGGCTGTGCATGTTTATCGTCATTTCGTAGCATGCCGTCTAGCCTTCTTCTGCCATTGAAGCTGGGGAGTAGAGATCACGTGACATACCGGAGCACAAGAGCCAACCGATAGAAGCACATCAGCAGAGGCCAACGCAACACATACAGCAAGGGAAACGACAAACGAAAGGATGAAAACACATAAAATAAAAGTGTTAAACGAAAGAGCATAATTCATTTAGAGAAAATAAAATAACATTAGAAAAAAAAGACTTTAAAAGGGCTCATGGTGCTGAGAGCAATGATGGTGATGTCACGAGGAGGCGGGGCAGGGCCCTTTCCCAGATAGTTTTGTAACCACAGCGATAGTGGCCTCCACTGTCCTGTAGAGCATTTCCAGCGTGTCCGGAGGAGGGGCCGAGTTTATCAGAGCCTGCGAGGGGGCGTGGCTACTGCACCCTGGGACCTCTGGCCCCTCTCCTGCCAGCCCCAGGGCAGATGGGAAGGCCAGGTCCTCCGAGGCCAGGGCGGCAGAGCCTCCACAAGTCTTAGAGCCCATCTCCCTCTCCTCTGTCTCATCCATTGCCGCCGTTGCTTCCCTCCTCCTCTCTTCCTCCTCCGCTCCTGCCATGGCTGCCTGCTGAGTCTGAGAAGACTGCGGCTCCTCCCCTCCCTGTCCGCTGCCGCCGTACGACAACTCCCCTGTCTCTGGGAGGGAGGAAGAGGATGATGATGAGGAAGACGAGGAAGAGGAAGCCTCCATCTTCTCCTCCTTGGGGGAGGTGTCCCCGGCGGGTTGGCTGCAACTGGTGGCAGCGGTAGGATCTGGTGAGGGCAGGTCGTGCTCGGTTCCTGGGTCGATGAGGGACGAGGAGTCCCGCGTCTCTGTGTCTGAGGTGCTGGTGGGAGTCAGCGCCTCCTGGTGCTCCGGCTTCAGCTCGACACATGGGGGGAGGGAGGAGGAGGTGGAGGCGGCGCAGGTGGGTCCGGATTTGGTCACACCCCCGGTGCTGGTGCCAGCGCTGGTGCCCTCCCCGGGGCCGTCGTCGCTACTCATCCGCCGGCGCTTCACTGGGGTGGCGCCCTCCTCCTCCGCTGAGAGACAGAAGAAACTCAGGTGATTAACCTTCACATCTGTGTACAGGTACTACTATCATTTCCCAACGAGTTTAAATGATACAGAGTCCAACCCTGTTCTCTGCTTACACTATTATGTGACAATATGCTGAAAGGGACATTTGACTACCACCAATGCATTTCAATTCTTTCATCAATGTTTGTGACAGGATACTGTATGCATGCGTGTATAGTACCTTTGGCCTTGCGGTCCTTGGCCTCCTGTTGGAGCGTGCTGCGTTGCTGCACACAGCCGCTACACTTGGACAGCAACTCCTGCAGGGCCGGGCCCAGAGCCGGGTCCAACGCCTGGGGGGTGTGTATGGACAACATCAACGCCAACGCTCGCAGGTCCTAAAGAGAGGGAGGGAGAGGGACAGAAGATTTGTGATTATCTAGTAGAGAATAGGATTTGAACAGGGAATGACAATCTAGTAAGGCATGACATTGGAATTAACGAGTAAAGCATGAATAGTGCATGAATAAGGCCTGAGTAGAGCATGAAACAGAATATGAAAAAGGGATGAATAGCATGTGAATAAGGTATGAACAGAGTATTAACAGAATGTGAATAAGGCATGAACAGTGTTTTAACAGAATGTGAATAAGGCAAGAACAGTGTTTTAACAGAATGTGAATAAGGCATGAACAGTGTATTAACAGAATGTGAATAAGGCATGAACAGTGTATTAACAGAATGTGAATAAGGCATGAATAGTGTATCAACAGAATGTGAATAAGGCATGAACAGTGTATTAACAGAATGTGAATAAGGCATGAACAGTGTATTAACAGAATGTGAATAAGGCATGAATAGTGTATCAACAGAATGTGAATAAGGCATGAATAGTGTATTAACAGAATGTGAATAAGGCATGAACAGTGTATTAACAGAATGTGAATAAGGCATGACTAGTGTATCAACAGAATGTGAATAAGGCATGACTAGTGTATTAACAGAATGTGAATAAGGCATGACTAGTGTATTAACAGAATGTGAATAAGGCATGAGTAGTGTATTAACAGAATGTGAATAAGGCATGAATAGTGTATTAACAGAATGTGAATAAGGCATGACTAGTGTATTAACAGAATGTGAATAAGGCATGACTAGTGTATTAACAGAATGTGAATAAGGCATGAATAGTGTATTAACAGAATGTGAATAAGGCATGACTAGTGTATTAACAGAATGTGAATAAGGCATGAATAGTGTATTAACAGAATGTGAATAAGGGGTACTGACAGCGTTGAGGAGGCCGCTGGTCTTGCTCAGCTCCAGGCGGTGCGAGGCCAGCTCGGGCTGTAGGCTGTGGTACTCGTTCAGCAGGTTGGTCACCAGCAGACTGATCAGGTTGGCGCAGCTGGGGCCCGACAGCACCTGGCTCTGGACCTGAGAGATGACACACACTTACGGTCATGCACTCGCAAGGCCCATCAACTTGGTATTTAAAGTAGCAAGCGGTTAGCCTGAGTGCCAGATCAGATTATGCAGTCTTGCCAACATCATTGCGGTTACAAGACGGCAAAACAGATCTGGGACTCAGGCTAGCATGGACTTAGCAAAACCAACCTTGGTAAAGGGTTGCATGTCGTCATTGGATGCATAAATGACATTACAGGCTATAAACAGGCTAAAGCAGAGGCGGTCAACGTTGAAATAAACGGATGTTAGAGATGGCTACCTTGTGCAGGAAGCAGGTGAGGAAGGAGTAGGCCATGTTGTTGTTGAGAAAGGTCCTCTCGTCCATCAGGATGCACTTGATGTACTCGCCGAATGCCGGGTCCTCGCACAGAAGCTTCACACACGTCTTAGCAAGGGCCGACTACAGAACAGCATAGGAGATGTCAGTGACAATGTACGGTAAAGTGTGTTTGTATATTGTGATGTGTGTTAAGTGTGTTTGTAAGTGAGAGAAATATAATGCATATGTGTCTGAGTACTTTGTGTGAGTGCGCGTGACTGTGTATTTGAGTGAGTGTTTAAGTGTGTGTGTAAGTGTGTGTTATTTACCTGAGACTGGCAAAGCTCCGTCCACAGCTTGGGGAAGAGGGCCAAGTGCAGAGGCAAGCCCTCGTACGCTATCAGGACACCTGGAGTCAGACAGATATGGTCACATTGGAGACCCACCAGATACAGACACAACCACACAGCACAGCCCTCTTTAGTCATTAGATATAGTAGCATTAGAACTACATCAATACAAACACACATATAAACCCCCACTTACTTAGTTTGACAAGGGTCTCGGTGAACTTCTCGCAGTTGATGGCGACTCGACACAGCAGGTGGATGAACTGGTGGTAGGAGAGGAAGTAGTCTAGGAGCATCCGGTCATACACCTCATCTTTACCCTGAGAGAGAGAGAGAGAGAGAGACGTGGCCGTTTATGATCCTTCTCAATGATAGGAAGAAGACCACACTAGTGCAAATATACACATGGAATGAACAGACCTTGAATTGTGAAGAAACATAAATAGAGTAACTTCATTTTCCCAAGAGGGAACTTCAGTTGTGGCACTACTGGGCACCATTTCCACTTCTACAATCATTATTTTAAACAGGTAGGACAGATTGTCTTTATCTTACATTAACCTTTACTTAGCCAGGTAAGCTATCGAGAACAATCTCTCTTACAATAATAACCTGGGGTGAGATTCCCTAAAAACATAAAGATCTTTAGCATTAAGACCACTGTTCTCTCTATTACCTACCATCAAACTTAAGATGATCTTTGTGCCAAAGATAGTCTTTATGTATTTAAGGAAACGACAAACTGGCCAAGAGACATGAGACACAAAGCAGTGGTTTTATACAGAGACACACACCTTGCTGGTCTCCACCATGGAAGGCAGGAGACACATGTTGAGTTCAGGTCTGGGGGGTCTGATATTGTTCTTGCCTCCCATCAGCTTGATGTTCTCTCTGCAGGGCAGGTAAGGCCCAAAGGACACTGTGTACAAAGATAGTCAGATTCAGACAAATCACAGAGGGACAAATCCTACCTGGACTTACACAAATCTACAGCAACATTTATGCCAACGGGAGATTTGGACAAAAAGACTCAGCCGGCAGTGATTCCATGTTTTTTTTGTTTCTTTCTAGCTATCTGTAGGACAGTAGAGTGACTGCCTCAGGCACGGAGAGGACAGGACAGTCAAAGACTCCCCGTTACTCTGGCATGCACTTGGAGAACCAGAGTCTACAGACAGAGCCAGGGTCCTTAGGATAGCATGCTGTTACATATAATATGTGAACTGTGTAGTAGTAGTATTCATCACTATTATTATTTTCATGATTGCTTGTGTTTGTCGTCATTAACTTTCATCAGTACATACGACACGTTATTAGTTGCAGTAATCAACCCAGTGCAGTGTACAGAGGTATAGCGTAGCAGTTGAGGGAGACTCACTGGGGATGTTGCTGTGGTGGTAGGTGCAGTGGTTGTGCTGCAGGAAGGGCACCAGCGTATGCAGGAAGTCATGGGGACTCAACAGGACCAGCTCCTTCAGAACATCTGGAGGGGGAACAGAAATACACAGGAACTATTAGTGACATGACATCTCATATTACCATACAACAACAAGAACTGGTTTTATTCCCTAGAGTGTTTGGAATTGTTCCAAAGGTCTATTGCATATACTATGTGGAATAGTTTAGAGGGGAAATGTGGTAAAATATTATCCAAACTGTGTGTGTGTGTGTGTGTGTGTGTGTGTGTGTGTGTGTGTGTGTGTGTGTGTGTGTGCGCTGTTACCCAGGCAGGCGTTGCGGAGCTCCGGAGGGCTGTAGGAGTTGAGGAGGGTGAGCAGCTTGTGGGCAAAGTCGATCCTTTCCTGCCACTGGATAAGAGCCTGCTTCACGTCTATAGGAGAAGAAAACAGGATATACAGAGTCTTTACATCAGGGTCCCTTAATAAAGGCAAGTAACTGAGCTCTGGTTAACAAAAGTAAGGCTCTGTCAAAAGAACGCAGGGCTTATTCACAAGGGGGCGAATCCTAACTTGTTCACTTAGTCACGCATTGATGTCAATGGGAGACAGAACATTTGACTTGGAGATTAGGTTTCGCTACAAGGTAGGAGGTCAGAGAGGAGGGGGAGTGAGGGTATTTTTGCTGACCTTTGCGCTGCAGATAGGGCCGCGTGGCCTTGAGCACCGACAGGAAGATGGACAGCAGCTCCACCAGGTCCCCCGTCACATGACACGCCGTGGCCTCGTGGTACATCATGTGCAGGGTGTTGAACGACTGCAGGAAGCAGAGAGAGAGAGAGCGAGAGAGGGGCACGTCAAATGACAGGCAACGGTTTATGCTAGAACCCTTGGCCTAAGAAATTAAACCTACATTGACACTTAACTTTCCTACAATTTACAGTTAAATAATAATATTTTACTGGATACAGTTCACAATGAAGAAACTTCATCACAAACTACCAACATCATGTGCAGGGTGTTGAATGACTGCAGGATGGAGAGAGAGGGAGGGGCATGTCAAATGACCGGTAATGATTTATGTAACAGCTATGTCATGATAAACCTCTATGGACACCCTTTAGATTGTGAAACTTAAAAAAATATATAACATTTCTTATATTGGATACAGAATAAACTACATTAAAACGCAGAGTGATGAACGAGACTTGAAAACGTGGCAACACGAGTCTACCCCCAACCCCACTTTCCTAAAACAAACTTAAAATGATATTCACATAGGAGCCAGTGAAACAATGCAATGTATAAATGGTTCAATATAAGCCTAATAACCATCATTAGTAAATGTGAGTAGCATGTCTTGTCATACCTCTGTCATGAGGATGAGTCCTCTGTTGAAGACCACCAGTAGTCTGTCCTCATCGTTCTCCAATAACACACGGAAGGCACTGGGAAGGAGGACACAAAACACAGTTCTATTATATAATAGACATGACTATATTTCACATATCATTCATTTCAAAAGTAAGACATTGCCCATATGATTCTCTAAAAGGCATCAGACATTTCTCTGGTTAAGTTGCCGTGTGTTCATATTTTAAAACTATGCAGATGCTTTGTATCTGGGCCGTGTTCATTAGGGCATGCAACGGAAAATGTTTTAAAACGTTTCGAAACAGAAATTATTGTGTTCTATTGGACAATTCCAGGTAGTCCCTGTTTCAGTCAGTTTCCTTCCATTTGGTGCCTTATGAACATGACCCTGGTTGCAGGTGTGAGTTCCCCTCTGTGTGCGCGCCTGTTCCCCTCTGTGTGCGCGCCTGTTCCCCTCTGTGTGCGCGCGCCTGTTCCCCTCTGTGTGCGCGCGCCTGTTCCCCTCTGTGTGCGCGCGCCTGTTCCCCTCTGTGTGCGCGCGCCTGTTCCCCTCTGTGTGCGCGCGCCTGTTCCCCTCTGTGTGCGCGCGCCTGTTCCCCTCTGTGTGCGCGCGCCTGTTCCCCTCTGTGTGCGCGCGCCTGTTCCCCTCTGTGTGCGCGCGCCTGTTCCCCTCTGTGTGCGCGCGCCTGTTCCCCTCTGTGTGCGCGCGCCTGTTCCCCTCTGTGTGCGCGCGCCTGTTCCCCTCTGTTGTGCGCGCGCCTGTTCCCCTCTGTGTGCGCGCGCCTGTTCCCCTCTGTGTGCGCGCGCCTGTTCCCCTCTGTGTGCGCGCGCCTGTTTCCCCTCTGTGTGCGCGCGCCTGTTCCCCTCTGTGTGCGCGCGCCTGTTCCCCTCTGTGTGCGCGCGCCTGTTCCCCTCTGTGTGCGCGCGCCTGTTCCCCTCTGTGTGCGCGCGCCTGTTCCCCTCTGTGTGCGCGCGCCTGTTCCCCTCTGTGTGCGCGCGCCTGTTCCCCTCTGTGTGCGCGCGAATGTTCCCCTCTGTGTGCGCGCCTGTTCCCCTCTGTGTGGCGCGCCTGTTCCCCTCTGTGTGCGCGCCTGTTCCCCTCTGTGTGCGCGCCTGTTCCCCTCTGTGTGCGCGCCTGTTCCCCTCTGTGTGCGCGCCTGTTCCCCTCTGTGTGCGCGCCTGTTCCCCTCTGTGTGCGCGCCTGTTCCCCTCTGTGTGCGCGCCTGTTCCCCTCTGTGTGCGCGCCTGTTCCCCTCTGTGTTACCTGATGAGTGTGGTCCAGCAGGAGCGTCCGTCCAAGCAGCGAAGGTAGCAGCTGATGGTGGTCTTCTTAAACTGCTTGACGTCCTCCAGCTCCTCCTCCCTCATGTCCGACCTCTGGGCCACAAACAGCTGCATCAGGTTGAACAGTTCCTCCACCGCCTGCAGGGGGACAGACCCACACCAGACAGTGGTCAGAGATGCAACAGAGACCTCATACAGGAGTCAGAGACCCCATCCAGAAACATCCCCCAGGCCTATCCCCTAATATTATCCATCTGATCTTTTCATGAAGTGACTAGTGGATGTTTCTGGACAGGGCACAAGAGACAAGTGAATCGCCTGAGGGGTCACAGACATAGGCACTATAACAGAGGGGTAGATAGTCGCCAGAGGCAGTAAGAGAGAAAGAAAGACAGACAGACAGTCACACGGACAGACAACACACACCAGCACCCAGTCAATCAGGGAATCTTCCCAATATACACAAAGGGCCAGACAGTCAGTCAGACCACCCACCCCTGGGTACTGTACACAAAGGGCCAGACAGTCAGTCAGACCACCCACCCCTGGGTACTGTACACAAAGGGCCAGACAGTCAGTCAGACCACCCACCCCTGGGTACTGTACACAAAGGGCCAGACAGTCAGTCAGACCACCCACCCCTGGGTACTGTACACAAAGGGCCAGACAGTCAGTCAGACCACCCACCCCTGGGTACTGTACACAAAGGGCCAGACAGTCAGTCAGACCACCCACCCCTGGGTACTGTACACAAAGGGCCAGACAGTCAGTCAGACCACCCACCCCTGGGTACTGTACACAGAGGGCCAGACAGTCAGTCAGACCACCCACCCCTGGGTACTGGCTGGCGTGCGGCGTCAGGTTCTTGAAGGCCCACTGGATGTTCTGGTGCGAGGCCAGCTGGCGGGTGAAGACGGGCGACTGCTCACAGCACATCCTCAGGATGCCGTAGTATGCCGGCAGCATGCCCCGGTTGAACAGCACCACCTGTTGGGAAATGATATCAAGCAGGCTTTCAGACTCACCTCTAGTGACTGACCTACCTTTCTTATTTGACTGTTGTGTTTTTACATTTACAACTTGTTCCTGGATAAATTGCTCTACGCCAGTGGAAGGCGCTTCTTTGCACTGAAGGTTATAACTATTGAACTGTTGGACGTAGGGGCATGGAATTTGGTAAACATGAAGTTCGAAAGGACAGTCGTCTACGGCAGTAGCGTGGTAGCATTAGGCCTCGTAGTCGTTGTGGCAAACATGCACTACACATAACTCATCACCTATTTGAGGTAGAATCATGCAACTTGGTGAACATGCTTAAGATAGGTATTGCCTTTGTCCATTTTAGTGTCATGCTTCCCAACGGGTGACCAAGTGGTACTGTTTCTATTGCTAGGACCTCGTTGCCTCTGCTCAAACTATATTTATTTTGTTATTATTATTATTTGACAAAAATGTAGGGGGCTCGCAGCTATATTTATTATTAATACCTCCTGGTCGTCATGGTCGGCCAGGATGTAGTTGAAGGCGATGTTCTTAGTGACCACGGGGTTCTGGACGACCAGCCGGACGTTCTCAGGACACTCCACACACACGTTGTACCAGAAGGAGAGCAGGGCCTGCTTGTTGTGGTTAGTGGCGATGGCTGGTTCAGACAGCTTGGGCTGAGAGGGGGGGAAACGTGGAGAAAGATCAGAGAAATGTTATTTAATTACTATCACTAGCGTTATTATTCAATAAGGTGTGTATAGGTGAGGAACCACAGAGGAAGAGACAAAAGAACCAAAACAAATCTAAAACACAGTAGCTAATAGACTTCATTTTCACTTTTAAGTGTACGCCTTGAGATTGACTAAATGCCTGTATTTAGTTATTCTAGTGTAGTGAATGTACAAAGACACTAACCCCCCCCCATCCGCTCACCTGGAAGAGGTTCCACAGGTCCATGAAGTAACCGGAGAACATGAGCTTCTCCGTCTTGGAGATGAGGCAGTAGGTCATGAAGCTGAAGTACTGCACCAGCTTGGTGGTCCCATGCACCGCCGCGTCCACGTAGAGCTTGGCCCGGCCCAGCAGGCCCAGAAGCAGGTTGTACACCTGGTATAGGAGGATAAGGAAAGATTAGAGAGATTTTTCTGTTTCATACAAAATAAACATAACTACAAAACAGTTGCTATGAAACACGTACACTTCAATCTAATCGTTGTACATACATAATACAATTTATTTAAAAGATGGGTTGCATATGAAACCCACTTCTCCCAGTTTCAATAAAATATCTTTACTTGAAGTCTTCAAACTAGAAGATATCATCCAAAGTCTGAGCAGGTGCTGAGTATCAAAAAACACCAACAAATGGTTATTAGTGCCAAGACCTGATTGGTTAAAACGTTGTCACTAATGATGGAAACCGTTTGACTTGAGCCCATTTTAATTGTATAATTAGTAGTAGTAGTCTTGTTATTAGTCCCGTGTAGCTCAGTTGGTAGAGCATGGCGCTTGCAACACCGGGGTTGTGGGTTCGATTCCCAAGGGGGGCCAGTATGAAAATGTATGCACTCACTAACTGTAAGTCGCTCTGGATAAGAGCGTCTGCTAAATGACTAAAATGTAAACGTTATGGGTTAGGTTGTTGGAGCTTGTGTGTGTTATTGTAGCGACAAGGGGAAGTGCAGAAAGGGTCAGTCTCAGGTCAGACACGGTTAGCGTTGTATATTAAGATTCTAAGGAAGTAGGTAAAAGAGCAACAGTCGGGTTCCTGTTAAGCCAGTTCCTGTGGAACTAGGGCAAGGAGAGGTGGTGGAGGAACTCAACATCCATGTGAGGACAATAGTTGAAGAGGGAGGACATCTGTTGAGGGGGGCCAGAGTGGGCCCACCCCAACGACACTAACTGCAGCTTGATCTCTCACACACACATCCCCGCCCACAAAGGTTCTGGACACCAACAAAGAGGCACAGACGTAGTTGCTGCCCAGCAACAGAGACAAATTGTTGATCTTAGACATACAAGAAGGGAAACTCCGCCTCGTCGGGGTATAAATATATGCTTATGTGACTTGCATGCAGGGCCAGTCATCGCCTTTCTGCCGCCCTAGGCGAGACCAAAAAAGACTGAATATCAGCTACCCAACTTTATCAGGAGTTATCGTGAGCCTATTTGCAATGTGTTTACACAGCAGGAAATGCATAAATATTTTCTTTTTCGCTATGATCAGCTTGTCAAAAATTTACAGATACAAACTTGAAACCACTGATCATGACAATGGGGTGAAACTCCTGGACAACAGTTGTGATTGCCCATTCCATATTGTCCATTTTTACTTTGACCTGTCCTATTTTTAGGATATGTTGTTTGTTAACGTGACAGGGCATTTTTATTAGATTGAGCAGCATTTAGGTTAGGCTATTCGATCAGAGAAACCAGCACGATGTAAAAAGTGTCCTTCTCAATACATTGTCATACATTTGATCTCCAGCCTGTAGGCTACAGAAAAGGCAACATACTCTTTCTACCAAATCCTGTATCTGCTACATGATTTATGTTAGATCGTTTTTTTGACGGAACATTGGTGGAGCGCTGCAGCGATGAGTCTCTCCAACAGCACCCGGGAGAAGCGAGCTGGGAATGGACGAGCTAAATATTTTACGCCCCTGCCTTTGACAAAGTGGGCACTGCTTATCATAGGGCGGCATCAGCGCTCACCTAAAAAACTTAGGGCGCACAGATTGCAGTGTGTGTGACTGTGGAGTCTCGTTAGCATACCTGGTGGAGCACCACGGTGGTGTCGGGAGACAGGGGCAGGTCCCGCGTGGGGATGTGGAGGGAACGCGTGGAGCGGAACATCTGGCGGAACGAGTTGCTGGGAATGAGGGAAACCAGGAGGTAGGCTGCCGCTAGAGGGAGAGAAAGAATTCAGAGTTAGAGCAGAGTTTTGCCTAAATGTCTGGCCTTTTCAGATTTCTAGGGTAACTACACACAATCGTTCTTTTGTTAGAGTTTGAAGAGATTGATGGGGATGAGTGCAGTGGAGAGCAGTGGTACCTAGCTCTCTGCAGGTTCTCTGTGAGAGGTGGGGATGGAAGAAAGAGAGGGAGTAACAAATAAAGCACAAGATGAAAGGGCACGTTTGTTACCTGTTTAATGGGGAACTTTTGTAACCTACACTATATATACACAAAAGTATGTGCACGCCTTCAAATTAGAGCATTTGGCTATTTCAGCCACACCCTTTCGATGCTGATAGGTGTATAAAATCGAGCACACAGCCATGCAATCTCCATAACAAACATTGGCAGTAGAATGGCCTTACTGAAGAGCTCAGTGACTTTCAATGTGGCACCGTCATAGGATGCCACCTTTCCAACAAGTCAGTTCATCACATTTCTGCCCTGATAGAGCTGCCCCGGTCAACTGTAAGATCAGCTAGATGGAGGCAAGACTGTGCAAGGCCAGGGCCTTAGCACCATATACCTTAACCATGGCAATGCTGACCAGGATGGAGTGGCGTTGTGTTGTAGTGAAATCTTTACTTAATATGTTTTCTTTATTGGACTGGTCATCTATCTCACTTCTTTCAAAGACGTTGTTGCAGCTCTATCTATTTGTTGTATTTATTTACTTATTTTTGAGGGCAACTCCTACTCAAATGAACTTTTTGTTATTGTTGATGTCGACGTTATTGTTGTTGACGTTTTTATTCTGATACAAGTTTATTTTTGTACTATACTCTTATTTTATTAAGGTTGGGAGACCACCGCCCAATTTAGACAGCAACTATGTAACAATTGTCTTTAGAGGCTGTATGTTTTATCTAAGAAGTATGTGTTCAGCAAGTGGAAATGTGTCTGATAAGATGTAAGAAGTTTGTTGCTGGATTGTTATATTTTGTGTTTAAGTTTTAATCATTTAAGATTTACTTGGTGTTATCACTGTTACACACAATACCTGGCTTGTGGCAGCCAAGCGTTCATAGCAACGTCAAGTTTTGATCCTTCGATGTCGGCTCTTCATATCATTCTGAAGCCAAATTCACCAAGCGTTGGATTGTTCACCCACTTATAGAAACCTTCCATTGATATCACTGTGCAATCATTACACAAGGACTGATAGGAGAATGTGTATGCAGAGGAGCATACAGAAGATTGAAGACTTCTCAGGCAACCTGACCGACAGGAAGGACAGGACAAAGCACCTCCTGCACAGCATCACTTTTTCATTTACATTTACATCATTTAGCAGACGCTCTTATCCAGAGCGACTTACAGTTAGTGAGTGCATATATTATTTTATTTTTCATACTGGCCCCCCGTGGGAATCGAACCCACAACCCTGGCGTTGCAAACGCCATGCTCTACCAACTGAGCTACATCCCTGCTGGCCATTCCCTCCCCTACCCTGGACGAAGAATCGTTGATACTGTGGAAAATAGAATGATGATGAATAATGATTTATAGCCTCTGCGTAAAAACAAAAAAGTACCCTATTTTGAAGTGGAAACATCTAGGAGCAACAACGGCTCAGCCGCAAAGTGGTAGGCCACACAAGCTCACAGAACAGGACCGCAGAGTGCCGGTAGCGCGTAAAAATCTTCTGTCCTCGGTTGCAACACTCACTACTGAGTTCCAAACTGCCTCTGGAAGCAACGTCCGCAAAATAACTGTTAGTCTGGAGCTTAATGAAATGGGTTTCCATGGCCGAGCAGCCGCACACAAGCCTAAGATCACCATGCGCAATGCCAAGCAACGGCTGGAGTGGTGTAAAGCGCACCGCCATTGGACTCTGGAGCAGTGAAAACCCGTTCTCTGGAATGATGAATCACGCTTCACCATCTGGCAGTCTGACGGACAAATCTGGGTTTGGCGGATGCCAGGAGAACTCTACCTGCCCCAATGCATAGTGCCAACTGTAAACGCTGGCCATGTCCCTTCCGTCTTCAAGAGAGCGAGAGTTGCTCCCCTTCTCAAAAAACCAACACTCGACCCCACTGATGTCAACAACTACAGACCAGTATCCCTTCTTTCTTTTCTTTCCAAAACTATTGAGCGTGCCGTCTTTAGCCAACTCTCTTGCTATCTCTCTCAGAATGACCTTCTTGATCCAAACCAATCAGGTTTCAGGACTGGTCATTCAACTGAGACTGCTCTTCTCTGTGTCACGGAGACTCTCCGCACTGCTAAAGCTAACTCTCTCTCCTCTGCTCTTGTCCTTCTAGACCTGTCTGCTGCCTTTGATACCGTGAACCATCAGATCCTCCTCTCCACCCTCTCCGAGCTGGGCATCTCCGGCGCGGCTCACTCCTGGATTGCGTCCTACCTGACCGGTCGCTCCTACCAAGTGGCGTGGCGAGAAGCTGTCTCCGCACCACGTGCTCTCACCACTGGTGTCCCCCAAGGCTCAGTTCTAGGCCCTCTCCTTTTCTCCCTATACACCAAGTCACTTGGCTCTGTCATATCCTCACATGGTCTCTCCTATCATTGCTACGCTGACGATACACAACTAATCTTCTCCTTTCCCCCTTCTGATAACCAGGTGGCGAATCGCATCTCTGCATGTCTGGCAGACATATCAGTATGGATGACGGATCACCACCTCAAGCTGAACCCTGGCAAGACGGAGCTGCTCTTCCTCCCGGGGAAGGACTGCCCGTTCCATGATCTCGCCATCACGGTTGACAACTCCGCTGTGTCCTCCTCCCAGAGTGCGAAGAGCCTAGGCGTGACCCTGGACAACACCCTGTCGTTCTCCGCCAACATCAAGGCGGTGACCCGCTCCTGCAGGTTCATGCTCTACAACATTCGGAGAGTACGACCCTGCCTTACACAGGAAGCGGCACAGGTCCTAATCCAGGCACTTGTCATCTCCCGTCTGGACTACTGCAACTCGCTGTTGGCTGGCCTCCCTGCCTGTGCCATTAAACCCCTACAACTCATCCAGAATGCCGCAGCCCGTCTGGTGTTCAACCTTCCCAAGTTCTCTCACGTCACCCCCCTCCTCCGCACACTCCACTGGCTTCCAGTTGAAGCTCGCATCCGCTACAAGACCATGGTCCTTGCCTATGGAGCAGTGAGGGGAACGGCACCTCTGTACCTTCAGGCTCTGATCAGTCCCTACACCCAAACGAGGGCATTGCGCTCATCCACCTCTGGCCTGCTGGCTCCCCTTCCTCTGCGGAAGCATAGTTCCCGCTCAGCCCAGTCAAAACTGTTCGCTGCTCTGGCACCCCAATGGTGGAACAAGCTCCCTCACGACGCCAGGACAGCGGAGTCACTCACCACCTTCCGGAGACATTTGAAACCCCACCTCTTTAAGGAATACCTGGGATAGGATAAAGGAATCCTTCTACCCCCCCCCCCCCCCCCAATTGTAAAGTGGTTATCCCACTGGCTATAGGGTGAACGCACCAATTTGTGATTTGGTGGAGGAGGAATAATGGTCTGGGGCTGTGTTTCATGTTCGGGCAAGGCCTCTTAGTTCCAGTGAAGGGAAAACGTAACGCTACAGCATACAATTACATTCTAGACGATTCTGTGCTTCCAACTTTGTGGCAACAGTTTGGGGAAGGCCCATTCCTGTTTTAGCATGCCCCCGTGCACAAAGCGAGGTCCATTCAGAAATGGTTTGTCGAGACCAGTGTGGAAGAACTTGACTGGCCTGCACAGAGCCCTGACCTCAACCCCATCAAATACTTTTGGGATGAATTGTAACGCCGACAGCGAGCCAGGCCTAACCGCCCAACCTCACTAATGCTCTTTTGGCTGAATGGAAGTCCCCGCAGCAATGTTCCAACATCTAGTGGAAAGCCTTCCCAGAAGAGTGGAGGCTGTTATAGCAGCAAAGTGGGACCAACTCCATATTAATGCCCATGATGTTGGAATGAGATGTTCGACGAGCAGGTGTCCACATACTTTTGGCAATGTAGTGTAGTTAGTAAGAACTTCCAGACAGAAACAGCAAGAGACAGAGAAAGAGAGAGAGAGACATCACAAGTGTTCTTACAGGTACGGACACGGGGGTAGTTGTGGGCCAGTAGGAAGCGCTCCACCCAGTTCTCCATGTTCTGCAGCACCCAGCTGTGAGCCAGCTTGTTCCTGGGGGTCTGCACCGCCAACCAGTCCAGACACTGACTTGGGTTGTACTCTATCACCTGGGAGAGAACACACACAAAAGGATACGATTTTGAATATTTTAGGCAACGACATCAAGATCAACTGAAATAACTTCATAAAGTGGGTTATGGACAAATATATGGATAAATTGATGTTCAACTGAAGTAACTTGATAATGAACAATGAATCAGATGAACCTGTGACTATGTACCCTCCAAGCTCATCATTAAGTTCAGTACCCTGGGACTGAACACCTCCCTCTGCAACTGGATCCTGGACTTCCTGTCGGGCCGCCCCCAGGTGGTGAGGGCAGGCAACAACACATCCACCATGCTGACCGTCAACACAGGGGCCACTCAGGGGTGCGTGCATAGTCCCCTCCTGTCCGCCCTGTTCACTCACAACTGCGTGGCAATGCCTAACTCCAACACCATCATTAAGCTTGCTGACGACACGACGGTGGTAGGCCTGATCACCGATGACGAGCATGGGCCCTCAGATTCTCAAAAAGATCTACAGCTGCACCATTGAGAGCATCTTGACTGGCTGTGTCACCGCTTGGTATGGCAACTGCTTGGTATGGCAACTGCTTGGTATGGCAACTGCTTGGCATTCGACCGCAAGGCGCTACAGAGGGCAGTGCGTACATCACTGGGGCCAAGCTCCCTGCCATCCAGGCGGTGTCAGAGGAAAGCCCTAAAAATGGCCAAAGACTCCAGCCACCCAGTCATAGACAGTTCTCTCAGCTACTGTACGGCAAGCGGTACCGACGCACCAAGCCTGAAACCAACAGGACCCTGAACAGCTTCTACCCCCAAGCCATTAGACAGCTAAATAGTTAACCAAATAGCTATCTGCATTGACCCTTTTTGCACCAACTCTTTTGAATCATCACATACGCTGCTGCTACTGCTTATTATCTATCCTGTTCCCTAGTCACTTTGGCCCTACCTATATGTACATATCTACCTCAATTACCATGTACCCCTGCACATGGACTTGGTACTGGTACCCCATGTATATAGCCAAGTTAGCGTTATTTATTCCTCGTATTATGACTTTTCTATTTTTCTCTTTGCATTGTTGGGAAGGACCCATAAGGGTGACTGTTAGTCTACACCTGCTGTTTTCGAAGCATGTGACAAATAACATTTGATTTTATTGTGTGTGTGTGTGTGTGTGTGTGTGTGTGTGTGTGTGTGTGCATGACCGTACCTCCCAGATCCTCTGTAGTATGTATGAGGCGAAGGAAGGCATGCCTGGAGGACCACCTGACAGCTCCATCAGCATGGTGAGCAGCTTGAAGAAAGGGTTTGCTGCCTAAAAGAGGGATGGAGAGGGAGAGAAGGAGTGGGAGAGAGGGGGGTGAGAGAGAGGGATGGAGAGAAAGAAGAAGAGAAAATTAGAGGGATAAATTAAGATTTGTACAAACTAATAATTGAGTTGGATAATAAATTGAGAGCATTATGTATTAAAAGGGTAGGTTCTCACATCAGTGCTTACCTCAGGCGTCAGTTTAGCGATAGAGGTGAAGAGCATGGATACAATCTGGAACAGAACACAGGAGAAATTAGATTAGAAATACACTGTATGTGCCTGTATGTAATAATAGTAATAATAGTAATAATAATAATAATAATAATAATAATAATAAGGTGGGTGCTTATATTTGTCATATTTCAAACATGTAAAAGTGTGTATTAATACGAATTGGAAATGTATTTTCTGCAAATCCCAACTCTCCCTGAGACAACCTCGGAGAGTGGGATCACGGCCAGGGTCTGCCATTAACAACGGCAACGTGTTTGTTTGTGTGTGTGTGCATTGGTTGGTGTGTGTGCGGATTGGTTTGTGTGTGTTGGCGCATCTGTTAAACGTACGTGCTCGGCCAGGCGGTTGTTATAGCGACACAGGCTGAAGATGAGGTTGCAGGTCTGCCTGATGTTGATGCCGTCTCGGATGTGCTGGAAGAGGAAGGGGAAGCCTTTCCCCCCGGTCAGGGCTGCCATGTCACTCTGAGACAGAGTCAGGTGTCTGGAGAGAGAGAGAGGGAGAGAGAGAGGGGGAGAGGGAGAAAGGGGGAGAAGAAAGAAGGTGAAATGAAGGAGGGGGGTGATTTGAAAACTGACAACAGCGAATAAATAGGGTGCTATGTGGTAGTATTTACAGCTTACTTTTGGGCAGTATTACCAACACAATTTTGTGCTGTGACAAAGCTATGAACATTTCCAGTGACCCAGCAAATGTACAAAACCAAATTTGTCTAGTTCGGGGTGATCCTCAAATCATCCCGTAACATTGACCAATCTCACTTTTCTAGTAGCAGGTAAAATCCCTGTGCCATATTATATACTGCTTTCCTATGTCCCAAGTGGTGCTATGCCATGCCCGTCTGTGCCCGTCTGTGCCCTACCTCTCAGAGCGGGACTGTTCCACCAGCAGGGCGATGAGGGCTATCATCTTCTCCAAGGCGGCCGGGCGGTACTTCTCTTCCGCCAGGGACAAGATGTCCTCCTCCTCATCCTCCTCTTCTCCCTCCTCCTCAGACAGCACCTCCACCTGGGGCTGGGGGGACCAGGTCATTACACACAAGCACAGAAACATACACACACAGGTACACACACACACAACTAGTGTATACTTACGTTCTCAGGCCCCTTGGTGCCCATGTAGAAGTGCACCATGATGGAAATGGCTTGTAGGGACAGAAGGAACTGACTCTGGAAGTATGAGAATAGAGAAAACAAACAGACTGTTAGCAAAAACAGTGTCCTCTAAAACCCCTTCAAGCCATGTATCTTGGTGAGGTAATGCCAAGGTCATGGGTTCAAGCCCTGCAGGAATCACAGAAAACCTACTGAAAATGTACGCACTCACAGAGCAGGCTCTGGTCAAAAGTAGTGCACTATGTAGTGCACTATGTAGGCAATAGGGTGCCATTTGGGACTCAAACTTACACTACAGCGAATACATTTTTACACACTTAAGTCCTTTTGGTTAAAAGTGTCAAAAGTATATTCCTATAAAACGACTACTGTTATCAACGACCCACCTCCTCCTCTCCCATCTTGGCGAACTCGTAGAGGAAGGCGAAGTACTCAGTCAGGTGTTTGCTGTGGGGCTTGACACCGTGCTCCATGATGGACAGCAGCGTCTTGACGAAGCGCGTCACGCACGAGCGGCTGCCGATGTCCTCCACCGGCCCGTCCATATCATCAGACCTGGAGGTCCACACACAGGAAGAGGAAGTGACATCAGGCAACTTGTCAGGTCATGTTCATTAGGTACCAAACAAATGAAAAATGGACTGAAACAGAAAGGGACTACCTAGACTTAAACCTAAACTCTCAATTTCGTTTTCTGTTGCAAAGCATTTTGAAACATTCTCTGTTGAGTACCCTAATGAACATGACCCAGGTGATACAGTGGAATTAAACTTGGGAGTTTTCCCTGAGTTTTTCCAGAACATTATAAATCGAAACATCTTTGGTTAATGACCATTTTGCTCAAATGTTGTGCCACAAAACTCTCCAAGTGGCCACAGTGCTAGGGCAACTAGGTAACACATGGCACCTTTCTCTCAGCCATCTAATGACACAGACAACACGGTTATGTCACGCTGCAACGCCTCTAGCGGCAGCAAACCATTATCAGTTCAAGAGCCACGTTATAGACTACTCATGGGATATCAGAAGCTAGTTTAATGTGGGATTAAAAAAAAAAAATTACACTATAAAGCTTACAAATGAATATGTTTCTCAGTTGTGAGTGACTGATTGACTGGGTGGATGATTGATTGGTAGATAAGTGATCGTTCCTACCCGTCCTCCATGCCAGGTTGTAGGTAGAGGTGGGCGTGGACTGGCCGTAGCCTCTGGATGACGTGGATACACAGTCTCTGGAACATCTGATGGCGGACCACAGGGCAGAGAGTGTGAGTGTGAGTGTGAGTGTGAGTGTGTGTGTGTGTGTGTGTGTGAGTGACTGCAGAACAATCTGATTGGGGCTCTCACCTGCCGAACAATCTGATTGGGGCACTTGATGAGGATCTGCATGGGCCACCAGTTGTCATCAGCCATGCGGTCCAAAAACCACTGAAAGACCATGACGACATAAAAACAGGAAGTTAGCAATTACCCTGCTAATGATTGAAAACCATTCAGCACAATATGTGGTAGCTGATTTGTGCCTCAATAAACAGTAAATGTACCTCGCAGGCCGCCTGGCTGTTGTTGAATTGTTTGGTCAGTAGCTCGATCCACTGCAGCATGGTTGGCTGAAAACACACACAGACCAACTTTAGACAAACTCTTGCCATAAGTTACAGACCATCTTCCACACCGTAAAACAGAGCAAAAAATAATCACTGAAAAATAACTAGAGATTGCAATTGAGGCTGGCGACTAGAGGGAGCCGTCCACTGACAGTAAAGGAAGGACAACTCACCTTTTCCTTGGAGTGAATGAACGTCTCCAGGACAAATGATGTGCTAAGCTGTAATCAAGGATGAGAGGTGTGAGAGTGGACAGTACTGTATATTCAAAGTGTAACGGTAAAGCCATAAAAATATATCGGTGAAAAGTTAAAGGATTTTCTAATGGTTGAGAATAAGGGTTTAGTGGAGTGTGGTCGTACCTTGGCGGTCATGAGGGAGATGGCTTTGGGGTCTGGTAAAGTGCTGGGGATGCTGCTACAAAGCTGCCACATGAACCTGTAGATAGGAGTACAGAGAGAGTCACAACACTGATCTCAGACCAGTTTATACACCAAGGCAGCACTTCATCCTGCACTATGTTAATAGATCAAGACCACATTCATATTTCATTGCATATGAGCTATAATTGAGACAGTACTTCATAAGTAAAATCGATTTAGTTATATATTTCAGGGTCAAGTCTTGGGCACCCAAGCAAAGTGCTGTTAACATAAGACTCTCAATAATATCACATCTGCATTCTAGCTTCAGAAAAGGTGCAGTCATGATGGCTGGTACAAAAATGTATCACTGACCCAAAGTACGTGTGCTCGAAAATGTTCTTGTCCTGAAGAAACTGCATGTTGTCTTGCCAAATCCACTGAGTAGAGAAAAGAAGACGTCAGAATAATCATTTCAACGTTTTGAGAGAATAAAGAATGTGAGAAAGGAGAGGCTACGAGATCGTAACCAGCCAGGTACCTCGAGTAGATCTGGAGAAACGTCGAAGTTGAAGTCCTTGCCATTCTCCTCCTCTAGCTCCACTCTCTTATAGAAGAGCATGTAAGCACTGTGGGTCTGGAGGGAGAGACATGACAAACTGTCAACTTTTAAACCCATTTTTTAAACAAAAATGTCACATTAGAAAATGATTTACAAGGAAACTGACCTTCTCAAAGGAGAAGTCCATGAACTTGTCGGTGACAGAGTCGTACGTTTTTGTCTAAAAGAAAAATATGTTGGTGAGATGAAACATTTCAATATCGAAAAGTATGAATTAACAGTAAAACATTGGGAGCTTTGTCTTTATTTCAGGATTTACCGTCATCTCTCCACCGAAGCACTCGGAGGCTAGCTGGGCCGAGTCAAAGGGCTTCACCTCGGCATCGTTGAATAGGTACCTGAGAAAAGCAAGCGAATTAAGTTAATGACAGTCGGTTGTACACCCTAATTAAACATTTTTTTTTTTTTACATTTAAGTCATTTAGCAGACGCTCTTATCCAGAGCGACTTACATGAGCAAGGGTTAAGTGCCTTGCTCAAGGGCACAGACAGATTTTTCACCTAGTCGGCTCAGGGATTAGAACCAGCGACCTTTCGGTTACTGGCACAACGCTCTTAACCACTAAGCTACCTGCCGAAAACGAACCCAGGTGTAGCACAGTGCCATGAAATCAACCAATTGCAAGTCATGAATTTCCATGTAAATGGACAATAAAGTATATTGTATCGTAAGGCCATAACACGAGACATCTTTTTAAAAATTCCCTACGGAGCTGATTTCAATACTAGACCCAGAGATATTCCTCACCACTTGTTATTCTTGTAGGCGTGCGGGTTGACGATGTCTCGGATGAAGCTGTAGTAATGGCCGCCATCCGCCGTGCCCGTGTGCACCGTGACGCCGATGAGGTCGTACTCGTAGCTCTCCGCCACCTTAGCCTCGCCCTCCTCCCGGAAACCTGTAGTAGGACATAGCGGACCACATCAATGAGTAACCCACTCCTCCAATTATTGGTTGGATAGCTACAATAGGATATACGCTCGTTGCGCCACTTAGCTTGCCCTCTGATAGGCTAGGTGGACCTGACGAAGATACCAAGAGCAAAACTTTTTATATTGCCTATAAATCACTGGGGAGCATTAGAGTTGCAGACGTTACTTTGTTTTCACATATTTGTTTTTCTCTCCAGCACATTTGTCCTTTTTCTGCAGGCTAGGAAAAAGGAACTATCCGCATATTGCTATTCATTCAAATACACTGACTAGACAGTATATTTTACATTTACATTTTACGTCATTTAGCAGACGCTCTTATCCAGAGCGACTTACAGTTAGTGTGTGCATACATTTGTTTTTTGTCATACTGGCCCCCCATGGGAATCGAACCCACAACCCTGGCGTTGCAAACGCCATGCTCTACCAACTGAGCTACACAGGGATGTAGTATAGTGCTACAAGTGAATTTACAGTACATTCGGAAAGTATTCAGACCCCTTGACTTTTTCCACATTTTGTTGCGTTACAGCCTCATTCTAAAATTGATTTATATGAAAAAAAATCTCTACCTACACACAATACCCCATAATGACAAAGCGAAAACAGGTTTTTAGAAATGTTTACAAATTTATAAAAAATAAAAAACAGAAATAACTTATTTACATAAGTATTCAGACCCTTTGCTATGAGACTCGAAATTGAGCTCAGGTGCATCCTGTTTCCATTGATCATCCTTGAGATGTTTCTACAACTTGGAGTACACCTGTGGTAAATTCAATTGATTGGACATGATTTGGAAAGGCACACACCTGTCTATACAAGGTTCCACAGTTGACAGTGCATGTCAGAGCAAAAACCAATCCATGAGGTCAAAGGAATTGTCATTAGAGCTCCGAGACAGGATTGTGTCGAGGCACAGATCTGGGGAAGGGTACCAAAACATTTCTGCAGCACTGAAGGTCCCAAAAGAACACAGTGGCCTCCATCATTCTTAAATGGAAGAAGTTTGGAAGCGCCAAGACTCTTCCTAGAGCTGGCCGCCCGGCCAAACTGAGCAATCAGGGGAGAAGGGCCTTGGTTAGGGAGGTGACCAAGAACCCGATGGTCAATCTGACAGAGCTCCAGAGTTCCTCTGTGGAGATGGGAGAACCTTCCAGAAGGACAACCATCTCTTCAGGACTCCACCAATCAGGCCTTTATGGTAGAGTGGCCAGACAGAAAACACTGCTCAGTAAAATGGACATGACAGCACGCTTGGAGTTTGCCAAAAGGCACCTAAAGGACTCTCAGACCATGAGAAACAAGATTCTCTGTTCTGATGAAACCAAGATTGAACTCTTTGGCCTGATTGCCAAGCGTCACGTCTGGAGGAAACCTGGCACCATCCCTATGGTGAAGCATGGTGGTGGCAGCATCAAGCTGTGGGGATGATTTTCAGCGGCATGGACTGGGAGACTAGTCAGGATCGAGGGAAAGATGAACAGAGCAAAGTACAGAGAGATCCTTGCTGAAAAGGACAACGAACCTAAGCACACAGCCAAGACAACGCAGGAGTGGCTTCGGGACAAGTCTCTGAATGTCCTTGAGTGGCCCAGCCAGAGCCGAACTTGAACCCGATTGAACATCTCTGGAGAGACCTGAAAATAGCTGTGCAGCGACGCTCCACATCCAACCTGACAGAGCTTGAGAAGATCTGCAGAGAAGAATGGGAGAAACTCCCCAAATACAGGTGTGCCAAGCTTGTAGTATCATACACAAGAAGACTCAAGTCTGTAATCGCTGCCAAAGGTGCTTCAACAAAGTACTGAGTAAAGGGTCTGAATACTTATGTAAATGTGATATAACCTGTTTTTGCTTTCTCATTATGGGGTATTGTGTGTAGATTGAAGAGGGGGAAAAAACTATTTAATCAATTTTAGAATAAGGCTGTAACGTAACAAAAAGTGTAAAAAGGGGTCTGAATACTTTCCAAATGCACTGTAGAACAGGGCCTATGAGAACCAATCAGGTGGTTGGGGGCCTGTTGGAACAGGAAGTGACACGTACCCTCTTTCCTGTCGCCCTTGGCCATGAGGAAGTCCTCAGTGTAGGGGGTCATGTCGAGGCGCAGGGGGAAGGAGAAGTGCGTGTTGACCTTCTCCTTCATCATGGTGACCATGTTGAAGGTGTAGCGCATGGTGTTGAAGCTTAGGATGCGAGGCAGCTTCTTGAAGCACGCCCTGGAAGGAGAAGGATCGAGAAAGGGAAAGGCGATTAATAGAAGCACAGGTCAAAAAGAGAGAAACTAGAGATGTCAATAACAGTTATTCTTTCAAACGGTAAACCAACATCAACTGGTGGAAAACCAGCTAACCATTTCAAAAAATGTCTAGTATACAACTATAACTGCCAATTGATTATGGTTGGCTTATTTTCTGTAGAAAAAGTACACAACGCATTTCGACCAGCAGGGTCCTCTTCAGGAGGTTTGTCGTCGACTCACCTCTTCTCTGCGCGTACTTTCTTGCCACACTGGGAGCAGGTGTACATGTTGTCCCCCTCCAGAGTGTCTTTGATGGTCACCTCGTCCAGAGATTCCTGAGGAAACACAAAGACACAATCAGGTCTCCACCAACATGCCAAGCAGTACTGTATGAACAAGACCTAGGAGCATAGAAAACACACCAGACTAACAGAGTATGACATAGGATGAGTTGAGGAGAAGTTGCCATTTGCAAGAGGAAGAATTTCAACCTGAATTGAAGGCAGCAGTGTGATACTACAGTGTGATTGGAAGATAAACCCCAGTCTATAACACTTGGTAGCACTTCTAAACAAAGTGAACAATGTTGTTGGCGATGTTGTACTTACGTAGATGTTCTTCATGTCGGCCACTTGGCACCTGACTGTGTAGAACTCTTCGGCTGTCTGACTCACGTGGTCACAGTCCTGTTGGACAGAAAAAATTAGTTGAATGAGAATGGCATTACACACATACACACTCCAACACACACACACACACACACACACACACAGAGCAACATTCTGTAGTGAATTTTTGTAGTGCAAAGGAATTGTGCAAAGCGCAAAAAAGACGGTAAACAATCTCGCAGTGTGATTGAATGCGGTTTACAATGAGTTTTGCACTACGGAAATGTTGCCGGTAAAAAGAGTATAGTGATTCTTACCAGCGAGACCACATTGTTGGTGATAACCCCTCCAAAGAGCGTCTTCACTGTGTTTTTCAGGTCCTGGGACATCTCCTCTATCTTGGTGATGAGGTCGGTGAAGAACTCGGTCATGTCCTTCTGCTCGCCCGTGTTCAGGGGCTGCTTGTCCATGGTGTAGGTCTTACAGAACGGACGGGGGTTGTACGCCTTCCTCTCACTCTCCTGGAACGAGGGATGGAGAGAGGAGAAGAATGAGTAAATGGAAGAAAGAGATGAGTGGAGCAAATATAAAGTAGCTGAGTCTCTATGGGGACAATGTCTGTCTGTTCTTGTCAATGGACTGAGAAGATAGATGAGGGCTGAAAGAGAGAGAGCGGCTGCGTACCATGAGATAGGTGAACATCTTCTGGAGCTCCAGTAATGTGGTCTTGTGCTTTATCTCCTCTGCATACTGGAAATGGAAAAACACACCTCTCATTAATAAACAACATTCACAACTTCAATAGCAAAGCATTCTTCAGGTGGCACAGGGAGTGAAATGAGCATTCTAGTACAAAATGGCTGCCGTGTATCATCCAGATGAGTGCTATATACAAGCGGTGGATGAGGTGAAATTGCCCCATACAACCTACAGCACTGTGAAAAAGGAACCATTGTAATATCATCCATTACAATCACTAATAGAGAGAGAGAATAAGACAGGAAAGAAACAGAGAAAGAGAGAGAAAAAGAGAGGCGTAAGAAAAGCAAGAGAGAGAAAGAGGACAATAGTATTTAGAGGACTGGCCTTTGCAGTGAAGACGGCCTGGCGTGCCTCAGGGATCATGTAGAGCTGTTGGATAGTGGAAGCCAGGTAGCAGGTGGCCCCCAGGTTAGTGAGGCCCACGAAGCGACACTCGGCACGCACGTCGTCGTGGGGCCAGTAGTCCCACTTGTACGGGGCGTGAGAGGCTGGGGGGAGGTAGAAATGACCATTTAATTAACATCAACACAAATTTTCATATCTTTCAGGAGCCTAATAGAATATACTGGATTTAAGATTGTTTGATGATGCTCAAACATGTACATTGTATCCTAATCATTTTCAAAAAATGTGACCTCAAACTTTAATAAACCAACTTGCTCCGCGCTCATTTGATCCGGTCATGGAAATCCATGGAGCAGACATTACCAACAGGAATGCCTTACTTCAAAGGGATGCTATTTGGTTGTTTGTTTAAAACCAGCGTATAGTATTTCCACACGAAAAATGTAAATTCAATACCCATTGTATTCCCTTGGGCCTTCCCACCAATGCATTACTCTCATTGACAAATATTCCTAGTAGCATTTTCAACGGTTGCAAAAGGTTCTTCTCACTCTGCATGTGCTGGGACATGACCCAGTTGTGGAGCAGCCTGTAGTTCTCCACCGAGCCCTTCACGGTCTCCACCAGGAGGTCGTAGGCGGCGGCGCGGGCCGCGTGCGACTTGCACTTGGGCTGGGCGCGGTCGGCCAGGCTGGGAAGGAGGAAGAGCAGGTTGTGGACGTCGCGCAGGAACTCCTGGCCCTCGCGGGAGAACTTGAAGTGAGGCTTGTGTTTGAGGACGCTGGTGGCGAGGCGCAGGAGGCCTGTGAGGCCGTCGTCCTCGATTGCGCCGTCCTGCTGGTCCAGGATCTCACGGCTGGGGAGCGGGAGACAGGTCAATGTTTGATCAAGCAAACTTCAGTGTAGAACTGGTTTAAAACAGTCTTGTCTAATGTATTTGAACTGAGCTGGCCTTAATACTCCAGCAAGAATGTGGACAACGCAAGCCATCGCACATCAAATACATATTTCAAGAGAGACCTGGGTTGTGTCTGAAAACAGCACCCTTTTTCCTATACAGTGCACTACTTTTGACCCGGGCCCATGGTCCAAAGGTAGTGCACTAAACAGGCAATAGGGTACCGTTTCAGACGCAGACCTGGTCTTCGATTCATCTTGGACTCACCTCCGTATGCAGTCGGCCAGGTGTCTGGCTAACGCATCCAGGTCCAACAGGGTGGTCTGGCTGGCGTCTTTGACGTGGATGTTGTCGATGAGCTTGCACAGCAGCCAGAAGTACTCCTTACAGCCCGTCCTCAGCACCGGCTCCTCTTCATAGTCCTCCACCTAAACACACACACCATCAATTACAGAGCCCTTCTACTTATATTAGGTATGTGTAACTTGACGTGACCAAGGAATTGAATAACCCACACTGAACACATTTGTTTTTGTCAGTAAACAGTACAACAAAATTGTGCTAGTGTGTGTGTGTACGTTTCAATGCGTGTGTGTGTATGCATCTGTCTATACGCGCAAGTGTGTATGTGTGTTGTACCCACCCGCAGCGGTTTGAGGGCTTGTGCGTCGGGGAGGAACTTGAGCAGCGTGGAGGCGGCCAGCAGCAGGAAGGACCTGTTGATGGACTCTCCTCCCTCCAGACCCGACAGGGACAGCTTGTACAGGCCGTTACAAGCCTCGTGGCGCACCGCCGTCTGAGAATAACAAAAGACCACACTCACGTTAACGCAATACATTCCTCTATTTGATGTTGTTACCAATGTCACACGAATCAATTGGGGCACAGAATGGTTAGTATTTCAGTAGCATCAAAATAGGATAGTGAACAAATCAACAAACAGCGGTATAGCTAGATTCTTCCCATTTTGGGACGGAAATACTCAAATGTTACACTGAAACAAACTGAAGCCATGTTTTTAGGTCGGGGGAACAAAAGCAAGATGAAGACAATACTAGATTCCCAGTTGTTCATCATTTCCGGAGGGTCAGTGCCCCATGATATTCCCCCAGATCTCACCTCCGGCACCAGCAGGGTGAGCTTCTTGAGCCAGTCGTGGAGGTGGTCGCTGTCGGCCAGACTGGACTTGACCGTGGAGCAGCAGTGGGCCCAGCTCACCAGCAGCCACATGGAGTAGTGGGTCACTGGAACATAGGAATAACACATTAGACATGTGAAATGACTAAGAACAATGTGCTTAAGAACATACAATATGGATAGGAGGATATGACAGATTTACTTTCTGTGAAAAATGTGTGTGTGAAAAACATCTGTGGGGCTTTTCATTTCTCATGTTGATGAACATTATTTAGGCATTCGTAAAATCTAGCTCACCTTCATGACGGGACCGGTGATCTGATTGGGCCTTCAAAACTCTGCAAGTAAAACAGGGAGTAAAACATACACATCAGGTTGAGGGGACAACTTTAGTACAAAGGCATTTTAAACTTGTGATGTTAACTACATTACTATGTCCATACTAGCATACCAATTAGATTGCATGCCCAATACATTGCTTCACACTAAGTAGTATGCTACTATAGCATGGATATTGGAACAGAGTCCTTAGATATGCCGAAAAGGGCACCCTATTCCCTGATATACTACATTACTTTTGAACAGGGTCCATAAGGCTCTGGTCAAAAGTAGTGCACCATGTAGGGAATAGGGTGACATTTGGAACAGGGTTGTTGTCTTTGTGTTCTCTCACCTGTGTGCTAGGTTGTCGTAGGTGTAGGCCACGTTGATCAACCGCTGGATCAGGTTGGTGCCTTGGACGAGGCCCAGGAAAACCTGACAATAAAAAAAAGGAAGGTTTATCAAGTGTTAATGATACAAAGAATGAACCATGGGGATAGTTTTGAAGTTCGTGTAGAGGCCAAGACACCACAGGGAGGGAAGTACACAGAGAGAGAAAACAGCCGTGGGCAATAGAAGACTGCTTCAGAGGGAGAGAAGAGGAGGCAATAGAAGACTGCTTCAGAGGGAGAGAAGAGGAGGCAATAGAAGACTGCTTCAGAGGGAGAGAAGAGGAGGCAATAGAAGACTGCTTCAGAGGGAGAGAAGAGGAGGCAATAGAAGACTGCATCAGAGGGAGAGAAGAGGAGGCAATAGAAGACTGCTTCAGAGGGAGAGAAGAGGAGGCAATAGAAGACTGCTTCAGAGGGAGAGAAGAGGAGGCAATAGAAGACTGCTTCAGAGGGAGAGAAGAGGAGGCAATAGAAGACTGCTTCAGAGGGAGAGAAGAGGAGGCAATAGAAGACTGTTTCAGAGGGAGAGAAGAGGAGGAAATAGAAGACTGCTTCAGAGGGAGAGAAGAGGAGGCAATAGAAGACTGCTTCAGAGGGAGAGAAGAGGAGGAAATAGAAGACTGCTTCAGAGGGAGAGAAGAGGAGGCAATAGAAGACTGCTTCAGAGGGAGAGAAGAGGAGGCAATAGAAGACTGCTTCAGAGGGAGAGAAGAGGAGGAAATAGAAGACTGCTTCAGAGGGAGAGAAGAGGAGGCAATAGAAGACTGCTTCAGAGGGAGAGAAGAGGCAAAATAATACAAAATCGCTTTATCATTTCTCTTTTAAGTGCTACAGCTGTGGAAAGAAAGGTTGTGTACTGCGCATGAAGAGTTAAGGATGTCAACTTCCCACCTAGCGGTTAGCATAAGCTATTAGCATTCAGCTGAGGACCACCGTACCTCTGTGAGGCGGGGGATATGCAGGCCCTTGCCGTGGTCGCCGGCGGACTTGCGGGACTTGCCAGGCCAAGCCCTTTTGCGCTGGCTGTCGGTGAGGCCCGACCAGGAGAAGACGTCGTGGTAGGCTAGGTCCAGGTCGGCCGGGTCCACCGCAAACTGGCAGATGAGCTTAAGCAGGCAAGCCAGGCAGTCCAACAACCACTGAGGGAGGAGAGAGGGAGAGGGGGATATGACCTATGTTAACCCTCAATACTAACTACAGAACATTGTCTTAAAAACAATGTTTGACATGGCTTTATTTCTGTCATGTTCATGTCCCCCGATGTTTCTCTAACTTCTTTATGATTGTCCCCTTTGAAATTGGAACTCTTTGGCACCGCATAACGCAGTTACTTTTAAACATGTGAATAACTGTTTTCTTACAGAATCACTACCACTCACGTATAATGTACTGAAACTTTATTTTGTTTAATCTATACAACCTATACTATTCCATTTCCTCCATGTATTATAATGTGTTTCTGATCCCACCCACCACTGTCCAAGACTCCTGGTCCTTGGGCTCCAGAATGGCAGAGTTGAAGATCTCCAACAGCAACTGAAGCCCTCCAGATGACACAAACTGTAAAAGGAGAGAGAGAAATAGGAAATTGAGTTGACTTGATTGATAAGTGGTTTGTACAAGTGTGTACAGTATGGGAGTTAGTCAGTTTAAGGGGGCGTACCTTGCAGCTCCAGGAGTTCTTACTGTTCTCTATCTGGTCCTCGCTGGAGTCGTCAGAGTCTGGGTACAGGTCACTGTAGCTCCCCTGGACAGAGACAGACAACACAGGGGTCATTCATATGCGTGTTTGAATCAGTGAGCAGAGCAAGGGTATGCATATGAGTGTGAATCTATGTATGTGTGTGTGTGTGTGTGTGAATGTGGGTGTTCATGAATGAGCAAAAAGGTGTTTGAGTGACAGAGTAAGTGTGTGTGTGTGTGTGCAGTCCCAGTAGTACCGTGGACTCCCGGTGGATGCGTCGGTTGGGTTTGCCCAGGGCCTCAATGATCTCCAGGGCGTACAGCAGCTTGTGGGGGCTCTTGATCCTCAGCAGGTCCTTCCAGCACAGACCCTCGCCTCCCTATGGACAGACAGAGAGAACACACGAGACAGGACGCATGTCTTTATGTTGTCATTCATGTCCCTGTGTTTGATTGGTGTGCAAAGCGGGTCAGAACAAGCACACCTGATTCAACAACTCAACTAAATAGCTGTGTGACAGTGTATAGGGGAGTGTGTAAATAGCTGTGTGACAGTGTGTAGGGGAGTGTGTAAATAGCTGTGTGACCGTGTGTAGGGGAGTGTGTAAATAGCTGTGTGACAGTGTGTAGGGGAGGTGTTGTAAGTAGTGTGTGACAGTGTGTAGGGAGTGTGTAAATAGCTGTGTGACAGTGTGTAGGGGAGTGTGTAAATAGCTGTGTGACAGTGTGTAGGGGAGTGTGTAAATAGCTGTGTGACAGTGTGTAGGGGAGTGTGTAAATAGCTGTGTGACAGTGTGTAGGGGAGTGTGTAAATAGCTGTGTGACAGTGTGTAGGGAGTGTGTAAATAGCTGTGTGACAGTGTGTAGGGGAGTGTGTAAATAGCTGTGTGACAGTGTGTAGGGGAGTGTGTAAATAGCTGTGTGACAGTGTATAGGGGAGTGTGTAAATAGCTGTGTGACAGTGTGTAGGGGAGTGTGTAAATAGCTGTGTGACAGTGTGTAGGGGAGTGTGTAAATAGCTGTGTGACAGTGTGTAGGGGAGTGTGTAAATAGCTGTGTGACAGTGTAGGGGAGTGTGTAAATAGCTGTGTGACAGTGTATAGGGGAGTGTGTAAATAGCTGTGTGACAGTGTGTAGGGGAGTGTGTAAATAGCTGTGTGACAGTGTATAGGGGAGTGTGTGTGAGAATAGGTGACATACTGTGTCGTCTGAGATGTTCTGGAAAGCCAGCAGCATGTTGGGGCAGGTGGGCAGCAGCATGAGCAGCTCCCAGACGCGCCTCGACAGGTTCTCAGCATGGAGGTGCAGCTCCTCACACCGTAGGTTCTGGAGTAGAATATAATACATCTTGATTTTGAGATTTGAACAGAAATTCAATATTTTCTGCTGTCACAGTGACAGAACCCATACCGATACACCACAGACCACACAGCCACAGAGCAGCAGCCCTGAAGCAGTCCTATAAACACAGCCCATGGCAGGCACACACTCAGTCAATACCTCAAGTAATTGTTTTAACGTTCTGGTCAGATCAGATGAGTGTTAGATGTGAGGAAGTGAAGAGGGGGGAGAGAGAGGGATAAATGCATGCAAAAGAGAGAGAGTGAGTGAAGTACAAACAGCACACTGGATAACCCCTCTCTCGGCCTTCCCTGAGTCCCTGTGAAGGGAGACTATAAAAAGCAATGACCGCCGGATGACTTTGCATTTCAAAACGAGACGGCTCCCGCCGCTGTGACTAAAATATACACTTTGACAGACGAGCACCTTACTTCCTATGTATAACACACCTGGGCTGAGTCCCAAATTGCACCCTATTCCCTATATAGTGCACAATTTTGCATCTATTCTCTATATAGTGCACTACTATCAACCAGAACATAATGAGCCCTGGTCAAAAGTAGTGCACTATGAAGGGAACAGGGCTGCCATTTGGGACACAACCCTGCAGTACGTTTTACTGGACTATCAAACGACTGTCAGAAGAGAATTGGACAGTAGTGATGCATTATGCATGATGCACCTGGAAGGAACAGCCTACTTTATATTCTGGAAGGGCTTTTTGTTCAAAGTCTATTTTACATTTAATCGGATGGAGAGTATGTCAAGTCTGGTTTCTATGTAGCCATTTCCAAGCTGCTTTTTCAAATGCTCTGATGAATTGCTCTCTTATTTCCTTAGCTATATAATTAAGGGCATCTAATAGACATTTTAAAGATTATACCACAAAACCCATCCCCAAACATACACCCCATATCTACTCCGTCACGCACACTTTGGAGATGCGAAGGGGATTCCCCCACTCTTCCCCCAACATACAACCCCTCACACACACACCCCGTCATGCCAACCACACTTTGTTCCCCCCCCCCCCCACACACACCATGGGACTGTCCAGGGCCCCCTCTCCCAGGGCGCCGGGGGCTTAAAGCAGGCCAGCATCTCACACCCCCTCGACATCCCCTCACACACAGCCCTAACCCACACCACACACACACACTCCATGACCCACCTCGGGGCTGTCTCCCAGGGCACTGGGGGGTTTGAAGCAGGCCAGCATCTCCAGCAGGTCGAATAGGGTGGTGAGGTGGGGCTCCTGGAGAAGAAGTAGCATGGGGATGTGTTCCTTCTGGGGCGGGGGGAGACACGAGGCCGGGAGCTGCACCCCCTCGCCCTTACGTTCCCGCCGGGGGGCGCCCAGGGAGACAAACACCATCTGTAAAGGAGGGAGGGAGGGGCATGAGTGCCATAGATGGGGGGCCAATCGAGGGTTATAGGAATTGCAGCTTTTAAAGGCAATGTTTCCGCGTTAGAAGAGATCTCATTCACGTAAACACTGCATATGTTGGCTAAATCGGAAATGGCCTTTAAAAGACGCAATGCTTAATGACCTGCGATCGGATTGAATCCCGGCACTAGTGTGCGAAGTGCAGACTGCCAAGTGTGTGTAAGTAGTTACCTGCATGTCTTTGAAGCCCAGCTCATGCAGGGTCTTCTCATCGTAGTCAGTGGTGAGCTCATGGCCAGAGGAGATCATTCTGACTGGACCCATCAAACCACCTTAAGGAAACACACAGACTGTTGAAACACCCAATACTAAAAGCGGATTCTGATCAATTAACTTGCTCCTTTCCCTTATTGAATAACCATCACTCAAATCTGAAAGGACTGGATAGAAACTGTAATCTTACCTTCTGAGGTGATTACTTCAATAAATCACTAAAGGAAGCATGCATTTCTAATGAGGAAACCATTCGCTGCACAGGAATTGCCCTTGGGGACAATGAAGATCTATTGAATTGAATTAAATTCAATTCAAGACTACTGCGACACAGGCCCTGTTTGAATACTCCTAAAATACTGCGAAAAAATACACTGTGCGATCAGTGATTACTTCAAAAGAGAAGGATGCAACAGCCTGGGGGAGAATCTCAACTGCATTTCCTTGATTCCATCCAATCGCATACTCATCCCCTCCTCAAAATTCATTGGATGAGAAGGTCAGACGTCCCTCCCCTCTGACTTTCTCATCCAATGGATTTTGAGAAAGCGAGGAGAGGAAGGAGGAATCAAGTGCAATCGAGATTCTCCATTGGTATTGGCGCTACAAAAGGTGAGAGGTGACAGACCTGGGAAGTCCCCCTGGCGGCTGCTCTGTCCAAACTCCTGCAGCTGGGCCTGCTGGTTCATCTGCTCCTTCTGCAGGTTCTCGTACCAGTGGGTCACCTCGGCCCGCAGGTCTGCCACCTGGTCACTGGGGTACATCTCGATGGTCATCTGGTACCAGACACACAGGATGGAACGTACACACACACACGCAGACAGGCAGGGACAGACGCGCGTGCACACACACATATACACACACACACAGAGACAAAGGCATGCGGACAGACAGACACAAACACACAGGCGAACAAACAGAAAAAAGTGTTAGAAAAACATCCTTACAAACATCTAGAATGAAAACAGCATTCTTCACAGTAGTATCAAAACAAACATTTCTACTCCACTAAAGCATGAAATTAGCTTGCGCCAATCGTTCCCATTCATTTTGACATTGTGGCCTGTAGATTTTTCCTAACCCAACAGAACACAAGAGCAACAAGAGCATTTGAGTGTGCCAAATCGACCAAGGGTTAATAATTAAGTACCAAGATGCTGGGTACTTTCTTGGGTACCTTGTCGGGCAGGCCGGCGGGCTGGCACACGATCCTCAGTGGCAGAGACTGCTTGTCGCTGAGCGCCTTCAGGTGGCTGCTGATGCCCGTGCCCTCGATCTGCCACTGACGCAGGTGGTACGCAAACCTGGAGAGGGGGCAGGAGACAAACAGAGTGTTGGGGGGCAGAGAGAAAGTGAGAGAGCGCCAAAGAGAGACACGGTTCTTAGTGCTAGTTGAAATTAGCGCGGGAGTTGAGGGGGGAAAGTTTGGGTAAAGGGTGGATGGGCCAAGAGAACTGGAACTTGTCCTGTAGCTCTCCAGGTCCAGGGATGATCTCCACTAGGTGAGTCAGAAATATAATTGATAATAAGTAGTGTTTTGGTTAAGTTTAGACGTTCGGGAGTTAAAGTAGGTTGAGAGGATGGAGATAAGGAGCGTGTGTGTGTGTGTGTTTCTCTGTGTGCGAGTTTCTGTGCGTGTCTGCTTGCGTACGTGCGTTTCTGTGTGTGTGTGTGTGTGCGCGCTCCCTACCTGCGTCGGAAAGCCTCCAGGTGGGTCTTGAGCATGAGCAGGCCCCTCTCGATGACGGTGAGGCTGGAGTGGGCGTCCTTCTCCAGGTTGGATGAGGTCATCATCAGGCTCTCCATGCACTTACTGATGAACTCCTGCTCCTTCTCCAGGCCTGTCTTACCAGCTGGGAGACGGACGGACAAACCGAAAGGCACGCGCACACACAATCAATATCGGTCAAAGTCGGAATCAGTAGGTCATCATGGTGACTCCTGATAGGCAAGCTGAAACAAGCTTAGCTTCTACACAAACATCTAAAACCGCTCGTTCAATATAATGACTATAAACTAGGATGTTTTGGATCCAACCCCTGGATCTAGACGCACTGCTGTGGACAGGGTTTTCACTTTGTTTTTTGCAATATAAATAAGGATGGTATGGTAGAGAAATACTACTACTACCACTAATAGTCTTCAACCATGTACCAACTGAGGTCCACTGACCGTTGATGTAGTAGGAGTTGATGTACTGGATGGCAGCTCGGCTGATGTCTGCAGACTGGGCCCTGAGGGCGATGCCCCACAGCTGGTCCATGCCACACAGCTACAGAGGGGTCAAAGGTTAGAGGTCACATATAAATGTTGACAAGGTGACAGCAGGGTTCAGTGAGAGGTATGGCGGGCCTGGAATTTACCAAACTGAGACGACACAAACTGTGTGTGTTTGTGTGTATGTGTGTATGAGCAACTGTACTCAGGTGTGTGTGTGTGCTTGAATCCTTCTCTGTAATGTGATTTGTGGATTCAAATAAAGTATTTAAAGTGTGTGTGTGTGTACCTCGCAGTTGGAGCCGCTGTCGTAGGCGCTGGTGGCCAGACGGGCCAGGTTACAGAGATGCTGGAAGAGGTTGAGGCCCGTCATGCTGATGGTCTCCGGCTTCAGCTGGGGCATCTGAGGAAACACAGGTGGTGTTATGGGGAAAAGGTATTACAATGATAGACTTTAGCGACTTTAAGGCCAATGCTTTAAGGACAAGGATTTTCAATGATTTGGGTAACTTTTCCGATTTGTTTCCCCCGGCTACTGAATCACTTTTCGATTACCTTTCACAACGAATTGACAACTTTGGGACGTTTTAAATGACTGTCCACAAGCTAAAGTTGATTCTTTTTTTTCTAGCTATCAATTCGTTTAGTTTTTTTTTTAAACTGAGGTTCACTATCAACACCACAACCCACGCTGGAATGACCCTTGTCAGACACCCCTCCCCACTAAGACCAGATGGTCCAGTCCAGTCCGGTCGTACCTTTTCCAGGAAGAGGTGTTTGTAGGTCTCCATGCCCATGGCATGCTGGTCTTTGCTGCGGACCTGGTTGAGGAACCAGTGCAGCGCGTCGTCGTAACACTCTCCATCCTCCACCAGGCAGTGCCACAGGATGTCCACCTGCTCTAGACTCAGTCCTGAGGGAGAGGAGGGGCTGTTAGTGTGTTCGTATAGAAATACCCTGTTATATATGCACACATTCACTGCTGCGGAGAGGAGTAGCTTAACTGGTGTCTAAATGTTGGTACACAAACACACACTTCAGACTATAAGGGGATGATGAGCGTATCACTCCCACACTGGATCCACAATGGACGCAAACACACACTTCAGACTATTAAGGGGAAGATGAGCGTATCACTCCCACACTGGATCCACAATGGACGCAAACACACACTTCAGACTATTAAGGGGAAGATGAGCGTATCACTCCAACACTGGATCCACAATGGACGCAAACACACACGCAGATAGACACCACATTTACAATTTCACATACACACAAATGTTTGCCAGAGAAAATTGGCTGCAGTATGTATTACATTCTGCTATTATTCCTTTTGTATCACGGAGAATGGCACTCTGTATGTCCTGATCAGGCGCCACCAAAACAGGGAGTCTCCCAGTCTACCTCTAAATCCCAGATATTAGCTCCCCTTCACGCATACACAAAAGTCACACACACACGGCTATGAACAGAGTTAGCTAGCTAGCTAGGTAGATCCGGTCACCCCTCTCTAAAGACTCCAGAGGACAATGATGTCTCTGTTGTAGGAGAGAGAAGCTCATCGGGTTACACATCTCATCTAGGGTCAATTCCATCACCAGGGTGTAGCCAGCCAGAGGCAGAGAATGATAGGGAATGTTTGTTGAGCTGTATGTGAAGACTGGGTAATGTAACAGAAAGCTGGAATCAGAGTTTCTTATTAGACCAGTGACGGTTGTTCACTCCCCGTTTCAGTCTGTTTTGTTCCATTTGGTGCCTAATGAACGCGACCCTGTTGACTTACTGAAGTGGTCCGGGGAGCCCAGGGTGGAGAAGACACAAGTCAGGAACTGCAGGCGTACTTGGACTTCCGCACTGTGGCCATACCTGTGATCGCATAGTAATCAAAGAACATCATTCATAATGAACTATTCCGTTTCCTTTTGTATTGCACCATCACTATAACGTCCATTTCAACACGTTTCACATTTCAAATAAAGGAAATCAAAAGACTAGCTACACCCTCTGTAGTTCTGTCAGGACAAAACACACGTGTCATTTTGTCTCTGCGGTCCCTTAAAGCGGCCAGCACCTCCCAGCTGGCCACATACACAACCACAGAGTCACTGTCTGCAGCCATTGCACACCAGAACCGCACTGCAGCGAGACTGGTCGGCTTAATAAGCTGCAGTTGTAGTTACATCGGTATACCTACAATACATGCTGTGTTACCAAATATGTTGTCCATATTCCACAGTAATAAGACTGTTACCGTTGTATTGTTACAAGGCAAAGTCAATAATGTCAATGGCGGGGGGGGGGTAGTGTAGTGGAGAGAATTGGTGGGTTACTCACAGGGCAAACTTGTGCCTCTGCTCTCGGACTTCCTGGATGTAGTGCAGCAGGTTCTCAAAGAACAGTTTCATCATGTGCAGCTCCTTCTCTGCCCACCTGAAAGACATCACACACAACATCAAATGGGTGCGTTCGTAAATTCAGTATCGACGTCCGATTTCTGAGCACTCTCGTCTGACTGTGCCAGAGCGCAGAATAACTGACGGATTTACGAACGCGCAACAGCAGTTGAATATGACCGGTGTCAGTAAACGTCGGCAAAAAAACGTAATGAAATTATTGCCAGCAGCACAGTTACAGTCAGCAATGCTCTGGATTACATGAAAACAGCCTAACCAGCTCTGCTAGGGCGAGCAAAACGGTCAGAGTGCGGTGTTCTCTCATTTGTGTCTGGAAGTAGCTAGCAAAGCTAGCCAACTTTGTCAGTTAGCTTGGGTGCTTGACTGCCGTGTGAAAACACTCCTGAGAATGCTCGGATCAACCCTACTCCTCGCTCCGAGTGCGAAGCGCTCTGAATTTACGAACGGACAATCTGACAACGCTCTGAATTTACGAACGCCCAGACCGCACTCTGGCACTCCAAAGTGAATTTACGAACACACCCAATGTCACAAAAATAGTAGTTGTCGTCACAGAGTTATGGTCACAATATGTGCAAAGCTGTTGCATTGTCAATGATATTCGGTGATGCCATGTAATGGACAACGTTTATCTGTTCTAATCATGCTGATGGTGCGATGCTTACATGGTGATCCAGTGGGTGTCGTAGCTGGAGCCGAACTGCTGAAAAGTGCCGAAAAGTTTGGGAAGGAGGCGCAGAGAGACGACCACGGATCTGTGAGAGCGAGAGAAGCATGCAGTCACAAAGCAAGTTTCACATAATAGCTAGCCAATGAAGGGATCTTATAACAAAATAATTTCACATTAATTCATTTCAGAGCTATGTTGTTCACACAGACATACACGCTCATATATGCACACGTACACACACACACACACACACACACACACACACACACACACACACGTACCTGTGGTTGGCTAGGTTCTCCAGGCAGCCCTCGATAAAGCGCATGCGGATCTGGCGGTCGGTAAACCAGCACACCAGAGAGCACAGCAGCTTCTCCGCCTCGTTGATCAGGCCCTCCGACAGGTGGATCTGATGGAACAGGGAAGAACGGAGAAAGGTCACTTGCATCTTTTTCAGACTTCAGAATATCACAGAGATCCTAAACTAATAGCGATGTGGTCCTCTGTAGCTCAATTGGTAGAGCATGGCGCTTGTAACGCCAGGGTAGTGGGTTCGAGCCCCGGGACCACCCACACGTAAAAATGTATGCACACATGACTGACTAAGTCGCTTTGGATAAAAGCGTCTGCTAAATGGCATATTATTATTATTACTATTATTATTATTATTATTATTATTATTATTATTATAACTAACCTTATTAATAAATTAGCTTCTCCTTGAAACCTGAAGGAGGAAGTGATGCACTCTCCTAATACGTTGAGTATTTAGTAGCTGACAAAGCGTGTTTTCCACACAGTAACCAGGATTCCATCCAACCATTTTTATGCGAGTAAAGTACCCGATGGATTAAAAACTAATGACAGGCCTGATGGAAACTGTCAAATTGTCAGTATATTCCCTAAATGTCAACAAAAACTAAATACACTAGTGGATAGTTTTTTTGTCGGTGATTAGAGTATGCAACAAATTGCAGTGCAAATTGTGCAATTGTTGATAGAATACCATCATGTGGAGATATATTTGCAGTCATGCGATGCTATGTTGTCTCTACAACTTGAAAGAGCATGGACAGTTTATTACGCTATAGATGAAATAAGTTGAGGTTTTTTTTGTTTTTGTGAATGAACATTTACACGACAAAATGTGTAGTTTGTTTCTGGGAACTCAAACCCTGCTTCTATACCGCTCGGCTTCAAGGCTGTCTGACTACTAGCATATACATGCTTTTATTCAGCAAAAAATACCATTGAAAGGAAGTCTCCACCAGAACGCTTTCTCAGTGCACGGTGTTATCCAGTGTCATGGTTCTTACCGCGTCCTCATCCTGCACCAGGTCCCAGAGCAGCGTGTTGCCCTTCTTGCACACATTGTCCAGGTTGATGTCGGTCACGGCGTGGCCAGAGTACTGGTGCTTGTGGACCTGCGGGCCTGCAGAGGAATAAAACATAGCCGCTGGTGAGAAAGAGAGCCATAATAAAATGTTCAGTAAAGATTTACTGTACTGCAAATTTGTCATGCTAAAATGTCATGCTTTAAAATGTTGCAAGGTTAACAACTGAAATCGAGTGATTAAGTTTACAGGTATAAGCTCTGAGCAGGCACAGCACGCAAGTCCACTGATCTTTCTTCCATTTTTTTTCCTTTTAATTTGTCGTTTAGCAGACGCTCTTATCCAGAGCGATTTATAGTAGTGAGTGCATACAATTTCAGACTTTTTTTCCATACTGGTCCTCAACGGGAATCGAACCCACAACCCTGGCGTTGCCAGCACCATGCTCTACCAACTGAACTACACGGGATTAACTGATGGTGAAAGCGTTTAACTGGATTGACCCATCCAGATGATGGGAAGATTAGTAGAACCATAACTACATGATTCTTGCTGCTGTAAACTGAGGCACGTTATCGGTGTGCAATGAGTGGGTACACCGTTCCGTGAGTGCGGCATTCCGTGAATGCGGCATTCCGTGAATTTTCCAACCGCGATTTCGGGGAAACTTGGGAATTTGGGGGAAATTACAGTAAATTCACAACCCTAGGTGCACCGTGCAGTGCAGCCTACCTTGCACCATGTGCTCGTGGTAGATAGAGGCCAGGTTGGGCAGGTGCTGCTGCAGGTGGGAGCTGAGCTCGGCGTGCGAGTTGATCTGCACCAGCTCCTCCTCACAGCCAGATTCCTCACCGTCAAAGTCGGCCATGTTCTTCTCCGACTTGGCGCTGATCTGGGAGCTGCTGCAGGACACGTCGTCTGCGCTCAGCATGTCGTCCACCATGTGCCTGGCGGATGATTCAATGTTAGAAGGGCAATGCATATTTTCGTCACTTGAATAAGCCCTAGTTTCATGTCGCAAGGAAAACAGTTACATTTACACTGAATGTCCAAAACATTGTTCTTTCCATGACAGACTGACGAGGTGAATCAAGGTGAAAACTATGATCAATTATTGATGTCACTTGTTAAATCCACTTCAAATCAGTGTAGATGAATGGTAGGAGACAGGTTAAAGGATTTTTAAGCCTTGAGACAATTGAGACATGGATTGTGTATGTGTGCCATTCAGAGGGTGAATGGGCAAGACAAAATATTTAAGTGCCTTTGAACAGGGTATGGTAGTAGGTGCCAGGTGCACCATGTTGAGTGTGTCAAGAACTGCAACGCTGCTGGGTTTTTCACGCTCAACAGTTTCCCATGTGTATCAAGAATGGTCCACCACCCAAAGGACATCCAGCCAACTTGACACAACTGTGGGAAGCATTGGAGTCAACATGGGCCAGCATCCCCGTGGAACGCTTTCGACACCTTGTAGAGTCCATGCCCCGATGAATTGAGGCTGTTCTGAGGGTAAAGGGGAGTGAAACTCAATATTAGGAAGGTGTACCCTAATGTTTTGTACACTCAGTGTATGTCTAGTTCCTCTTGACATGTAGAAATTATTGACTGGACACACTTCTACACATCTATGCAACTACAGCCAACTCAACCGTCTATGGATGTTATCTAAGCTCATTTGGACGCCGACATAATTGCTAGTAGTTGGTCCTGATTCAACATGTAGAATCGGCCACGGACAGTTTGTCTTAGTTGGGGTCTGTAGTTGGATAGAAGCCTTAAAATAACCTTATCTCTCTAGGAAAATGTGCCAAATATAGACCATTGTGAAAGAGGAGATATAGAGAAGATACAGATTAGCGTAAAGAAAGCAAAGAGATGGTGATAGTCTTACCCTTCATGGTGGTGGTGATTATGGTGATGTGGTGGTGGGGCCCGATGAAGTGTCGGCAGTTGAACAGCTCGTTGCCCATGGCGTCCCCCAGGAAGTCCCCGGGGCAGGGCAGGCAGGGGGGCTCCTGGGGTCCTGGGGCCATTTGGGATGAGGGGCCTCCCATCTCTGAATGTTGTTGTTCGGGCCCCTCAGGCCGGGCCGAGCAGGCGTCCAGCATCCTCATGCGGCCCTCCATTGATGCCGCAGCCGTTACCATGCCGATGGCTGCCTCTGAGTTAAAGGGCAAACCTTTGGGTTTTGGTCCGTCTCCTGCTCCTCTTTCGCCCTGCTCCTCCACCAGCACATCGGCCGCTTTCCGCTTCCTGACCTCCGGCTGGTCCCGGGGCTCCTTCTGCGGGCTGCCCTCGGCCGCTACCCCCCGGTTGTTCCCCTCTTCATCCTCTTCATCCTCATCGTCATCTTCTTCTTCGTCATCTCTTCGTCATCTTCCTCCTCATCCTCTTCCTCCTTGAGGACCTCGCTGTCGGCCATGTCGTCAGAGTGCAGCTCGCTGCCAGGGCTTCCCGCTGACTGGCTGGCACGGCTGGACCCCGCCTCGTTGCTGGAGCCCTCGCTGTGGCCACTGCTGCTGCCCGGCCCGCTGCTGCCCTCCTCCATGCTGTTGGCCGTCTCATCCGAGCTGCCCTGCATCGACTCCTGGACGGGGCGGAGAGAGAGGAGACCGACTCAGTTCCAGTTAAACCAGCCATACATCAGAACCACAAAAGAAACACTTTTTTTATTACATGAAACCAGAAAAATGCGAATAAAATTGGGATATTGACTTGGATTGGCTTTTGGATAATAAAAATAATAAAAAGTTAGCAATTGGAGACAGTGGCTACGTAAACAAAAAAAACTAAGCATGGATTGCTGAACAGTGCTGGTTTGCTCCTAATAGCAATTCCTATTAAACGTATAGAGAAAGTGCATCACTTGTTTCTCCAGCTAGATAGTGTGGAAAGGGTCCTAGAGTGCTGCTAACCTCTGTGTCAGAGAGTCTCTGCTGGCCCCGCTTGCTGCCGCTCATCATCTGCTCGTCCATCTCCATGTCGCTACCGCCGCTGTGGTGCGTGTCGCTGTTGTCACTGCTGTCCGGGCTGGCCGCTGGGGAGCCTGGGTAGAGACGAGAAGCAGAGGCTTGATGCATCAGATACCGCATCTCACAAAACAGTTCAGAGTTCATAAGGGCACAATCCCCTGTAGCTCAGTTGGTAGAGCATGGCGCTTGCAACGCCAGGGTTGTGGATTCATTCCAGCACTAAAACATCTGATTCAACACCTTCATCACCTTGATTAGTGCTGGACTGGACCAAAAACATGCATACCACTGCAACTCTACCGCACCGGAGTTGTTGACTACCACTGATCAAAGATAAAGAATATATATCCCCTTGAAATACACACACACACAAACAAACACAACACACAACCGTCGTACCTTTCTTGTTGCCCATGGGGACGTTGGTGTTGAGCAGCGAGGCGAAGGAGCTCTGCTTGGAGAGCTGGGCCTTAGCGGACAGGGCGTTGTTCCACAGAGCCTTGATCAGCATGGAGGCCAGGTACAGGGTCTGAGGAGGGGGGGGGGGCGAGCAGCATAGAATTACATATAGAATCACAATTATAGGATCTATATGGTGTACAGGTGACCAAGACAAAGAGCAGCTCAGTTAGACTGGGTTAACGTGACTGTAAAGCTCATCGTCAAAGTCATCTGGTGATATATAGATTAAATCACACTGAACATTTGATCGTCCACTCCTTGCCATGGTCTAAGGCAATAATAGGGCCGGGACGATACCAGTATCGCAATACTTTTTCCATGGCAAAAATGAAAACACGAAGCAGATCAAACTCTTTGATCCTTAAAAACCTGCTGTATGTAAAGTATTGTGTGCTATAGCTTGGAAAATAAATAAATGTGACTCTGGATGACAACATAATGTTTGTTTCTAACATAGGGCTTAAATTTAAGAAGTTAAATTGGCTTCGTGTTGTGTTTCCTTGCCACGATACTAATGAGTATCGCGACACTGGCATCTTCCCGGACCTAGGTCATTCGTAGTCCTCATATTCTGAGAATACCATCAACTACCAATGGGCACTCATGATGTGTGGCGTGTGTGTACCTGTTCGGTGTGGGCGCTGGGGTGCAGGCCGGATACCAGGTTGAGGACGTGGCGCAGCGGCACCGGGTCCAGGTTCTTGATGAGGGAGGGGAACAGGTCGTGGATGTAACGGCTACAGTGCTTCAGCTACAGGGGGAGAACAGATAGAGAGACAGGGTCAAGGAGAAAATCAGTGAGAAATGACCCAAAAGTCAACTTTGGATTTCAATGAAAGTTATGATAGCACATCAAAACAAAAATAAATTGGTTGAATATAGTAAAAAAATAAGTAGCACATATGCATACAAATTCAGCGCATGAGTGCTGCTCTAGGATTAGGTCCCTCATGTTCTTGTAATCCTTTTAATTTTGATAAAAGAGGCAAAATTGATCCTAAAATTCAGCACTTCTACTGAGAAGCTTTATACATGCGGCCCCTGGTGTTTAGGGCCTAGTTACCTGAGCTGCAGCCCAGATGCAGTCCACATGCTGGGTGCTGAGCCTGCCTTCTGCGGCAAGGAAGTTCAGGATCACTTGGCACTGTTTAATGATCTGGAACAACAACAAAAGAGGCACAAAGACAACCTCCGCATTAACAGGGGAGTTCAAACACAGACTGTCCACAAAAATGTATTGACTTACTGTAATAATGACTTGGAAAGGGAAAACTCACCTCTATGTGCAAATTTGGTCCAAAGATGTGCTCCACCACATTGTTGTTGATTAGCCAGTCAGCTAGTTCCTTCGCTATTGACCTGGAGGGACAGTTTGAGGTTGAGGTACGCTCCTTTTACGGTCCGTGATGCAGTGCTAAATCAACTCAATGGACTTACGTTTCATTGTAAAACCAACTCAATGGACTTACGATTCATTGTAAAACCAACTCAATGGACTTACGATTCATTGTAAAACCAACTCAATGGACTTACAGTGAGGGAAAAAAGTATTTGATCCCCTGCTGATTTTGTACGTTTGCCCACTGACAAAGAAATTATCAGTCTATAATTTTAATGGTAGGTTTATTTGAACAGTGAGAGACAGAATAACAACAAAAAAATCCAGAAAAACGCATGTCAAAAATTGTATACATTGATTTGCATTTTAATGAGGGAAATAAGTATTTGACCACTCTCAATCAGAAAGATTTCTGGCTCCCAGGTGTCTTTTATACAGGTAACGAGCTGAGATTAGGAGCACACTCTTAAAGGGAGTGCTCCTAATCTCAGCTTGTTACCTATATAAAAGACACCTGTCCACAGAAGCAATCAATTAATCAGATTCCAAACTCTCCACCATGGCCAAGACCAAAGAGCTCTCCAAGGATGTCAGGGACAAGATTGTAGACCTACACAAGGCTGGAATGGGCTACAAGACCATCGTCAAGCACCTTGGTGAGAAGGTGACAACAGTTGGTGCGATTATTCGCAAATGGAAGAAACACAAAATAACTGTCAATCTCCCTCGGCCTGGGGCTTCATGCAAGATCCCACCTCGTGGAGTTGCAATGATCATGAGAACGGTGAGGAATCAGCCCAGAACTACACGGGAGGATCTTGTCAATGATCTCAAGGCAGCTGGGACCATAGTCACCAAGAAAACAATTGGTAACACAGTACGCCGTGAAGGACTGAAATCCTGCAGCGCCCGCAAGGTCCCCCTGCTCAAGAAAGCACATATACAGGCCCGTCTGAAGTTTGCCAATGAACATCTGAATGATTCAGAGGAGAACTGGGTGAAAGTGTTGTGGTCAGATGAGACCAAAATTGAGCTCTTTGGCATCAACTCAACGTGTTTGGAGGAGGAGGAATGCTGCCTATGACCCCAAGAACACCATCCCCACCGTCAAACATGGAGGTGGAAACATTATGCTTTGGGGGTGTTCTTCTGCTAAGGGGACAGGACAACTTCACCGCATCAAAGGGACGATGGACGGGGCCATGTACCGTCAAATCTTGGGTGAGAACCTCCTTCCCTCAGCCAGGGCATTGAAAATGGGTCGTGGATGGGTATTCCAGCATGACAATGACCCAAAACACACGGCCAAGGCAACAAAGGAGTGGCTCAAGAAGAAGCACATTAAGGTCCTGGAGTGGCCTAGCCAGTCTCCAGACCTTAATCCCATAGAAACTCTGTGGAGGGAGCTGAAGGTTCGAGTTGCCAAACGTCAGCCTCAAAACCTCAATGACTTGGAGAAGATCTGCAAAGAGGAGCGGGACAAAATCCCTCCTGAGATGTGTGCAAACCTGGTGACCAACTACAAGAAACGTCTGACCTCTGTGATTGCCAACAAGGGTTTTGCCACCAAGTACTAAGTCATGTTTTGCAGAGGGGTCAAATATTTATTTCCCTCATTAAAATGCAAATCAATTTATAACATTTTTGACATGCGCTTTTCTTGATTTTGTTGTTGTTATTCTGTCTCTCACTGTTCAAATAAACCTACCATTAAAATTATAGACTATTATGTCTTTGTCAGTGGGCAAACGTACAAAATCAGCAGGGGATCAATACTTTTTTTACTCACTGTACGTTTCATTGTAAAACCAACTCAATTGACTTACGTTTTAAAACCAACTCAATTGACTTACGTTTCATTGTAAAACCAACTCAATAGACTTACGTTTCGGTGTCGGACACCAGAGACTCGTTATTACAGACGTCGTTGAAGGTGTGGAGCTGATTCTGTGGGGAGAAAACGAGAATAAACATTTAATTGGCACAATGACAATGAATTATGTATGTACACACCAGTATACTTCATTTATCGAGTCATTGACCCTAGTGTAAAAGTCTTAGTTCCATTAAACTGGAAGTCCTAGTGGAGCTTTAATAAAGTATACAAGTCAAAGTGTGTCGGTGTCAAAAACAAACCAGCTGTCACAATGTACTTCACAGTATCCCGGCCTAGACTCCCAAAGAGCAAGCAACACAGCAGTGTGTGAGAGTGGGTGCATGCGTCTCTGTGTGCACGTGTATGAGTGATTCTCACCGTGATTTGGCTGAGGCCGGCCAGCCTCATTGTGAGCGTGGGGGACATGAAGTACTTGAAGGCCAGGTCCAGGCTCTCCTTGTCGAAGCACAGCGCGCTGTCCAGCGGCTCCTTCACCGTGCTCCACATCAGGTCGGCCATGTTGCGCGCCGCGCTCTGACGCAGCTCCTGGTCCGACAGCTTGCACAGGTACCTGGGGAGGGACACATTTAGTGGAAATACATTTATTCGTGAATTTAGTTAACTTGACTTAAACCAGGAAGTCCCTTCGTTAGGAAATACTTGTATTTGTTTTATTTCGTTTTAAAGTTGAAGTCGCTTTGTCAGGTTCTCTCAAGAGTGCTGCTGGAGAAGACATGGTAGACAGGTTGGACATAACGACTGGACAAACGGGACTAAACAGTCAGGACTAAGAATGTGGCATCTAGAGGCTGGCTACAACACTCAGATTAGAAGCACTTTGATAAACTGAGAAAAACCATGACAACAGTTGGCTACAATGAGAATCTACGGTCTCTATGATCAATAAAATACAGTATGTATCTTTTTAATAACTTCTGAGAAAACAAACATTTTGCTAAATTCAGGAGTAATACTCTATAAGGTAGTGCATGGCACTGGAGTCAATAAGTCACATTTCATCATTCTTCTTAGACAGAGGATCAAAATGAGTTAATCCATCAGAACCAATTAATCCAGCCCACCCAGGTCACATGACAGAGGTGCGGCGAGGCCTGCGAGCTGTCTGGCTGCACCAAGGTCATGTGAGGAGAAGCTGACTGGAGCACTGGCCACTGTTGCCATGGTGAGGGAAGCTCTTCCTAGCAACACCAGTTAGTGGCACTGCAAGAGTGAAGCACACTACACTGACTGAGGGCTCTCAGCTGCAATTGCTTTCCAGGCAGAAAAAACATATACAGTCAAGTCTCTCTTTTAATTTTGAAATTCAACTCAAATACAAAAATATGCTTTGTAAGAGAATCCACTAAATTCATCCTTCATTTATGCCAATCAACTGCCAATATGTTGGATATCACCATTTGCATAATGTCCCCCTAATACTACATCCAATATTCAGGGGAGCATCTCTATCAAGTGCATTTGATTGTGTGTTGGAAAGTGGCTGGCGAGTTGAACAACACAGCACTGTGTATCCAAATACAATATGCATTTCAAACAGCCCCTCGGGCCATTTCCGACGAGAGGAGCTCCGACTGCAACAGCAACTCTCCTCTCTCTGCCCCATTTTCTTATTCTCTTACCATGACTGCTGAAAAAAGGCACTGAACAGCAGTATGGAATGCCATATTGTTTAGAGCTGTATTTGATATGGGGAAAACATCATGACTAACATTAACCATTTTATTCAATACATTATTTGTGATTCAATCTGTATTGATACATGCCTAATTAGGGATTTCAAGGCACTAGTGAAAACCTACTGGTGGTGAGACACTGATGAAGACTGAATTATCCTCATTGATATGGAGATTGTGAACTTACCGTATTACATACGTGCGGAACGGTATGATGTGCTGCATGACGGCGGGAATGTGCAACCATATTCGGATCTGTGTATGTGGAGAGAACAAATTGGAATCAGACTGACATCCCTTGAGATGTGTGAGAAGCAGTGGAAAACCTAAAAAATGGATGCCACTAACAGAGCTGACTGACAACTGATTATTCACTGCGATTACTGACGGAGAGAGCATTTACAAATCAAACAGCTGTGCTATAACATAGAAAACTTAAACTGCTTCAAGAACATCTGCATATATCTGGCTCTGGAGACGGAGACGAAACAGCATCTGGAGGTAGTGGTAAATATATCCAGGATTGGGTGGATATATATTGGGCGACTGGGTTGGGCTGCAATGTTGGGTGGCTGGATTGCATTATTGGACACCTGCCGGATGGGTTGTGGTGCCATACTGGGCGGTTGGGTTGCCATATTGGGCTCAACTCCTACTCACATTGGAGACGATGGTGATGAAGGCGTGGGCGATGGGGAAGGGCAGGCTCTCCGGCGTGCCTGACTCAAAGCAGTCCTTCATGAGCGACAGACCGTGCTTGCCACAGAACAGGCACACGTAGCGCAGCAAGTGTAAAGGGACCTCCACATCCTGGTCACAGGGAAAAACAATGTCAATACAACTTTATTGTCCACACGGAAATGGAAAACTGACTTCGGCTTCATATCACACATCATAGTGGAAGAGACTAGCGTGATTTGTGCAACTCAATGGTTTCAAGTGGTTCCTTTTGGTTTATCTGAACTATAGGTGAAAGCAAAATGGTGGATGGATAGTGTGAATTTGCTTTCACTCATCTAGTTCTTTCACAGCGCAGATGAAGGAGAAGAGAGTATGGCTTTTTTGCAGACTATTCGGGACAGAGTATGCAGACAACTTTGTCCCCTAGAAATATCCATTAAAAGCCCATTAAAAATGTTTAATATTGTGGAGAGGTATGAGCTAGAGTTATTAAATTAGACTGAAACAGACTATTGTACTCTGGGGAAAGATCGACAGCACTTGGAGGTGGAAATGAGCCTCAATTTAATAAAAACTCAACTATTCTGCAGACACATTTCACACCTCATGTGCACGTTGGCCTGACATACAGTACCAGTCAAAAGTCTGGACACACCTACTTTTTCTTAACTTTTACTATTTTCTACATGGGTTACTACATGATTCCATGTGTTATTTCATAGTTTTGATGTCTTCACTATTATTCTACAATGTAGAAAATAGTAAAAAATAAAGAAAAACCCTTGAATGAGTAGATGTGTCCAAACTTTTGACTGGTACGGTACCTCAAAAGACCCATGTAGAACTATTAATACACTTTAGAAGACAGTTTGCCACTGCCAGATATATCAAATGTAGCCATGTACCTTGGTTGATATTGGCTACCATAGCATTGAGCACACCCTGACAGCCATTTGTAGTTGGACCCCTTGTGGATTTCACCTCCAAAAGTGAAAAGCCACAAGAGGGACCTGGGATCAGTGTTTAGAGAGCCCTCTCCCTCTGTCTCCCCAGGTCCTAAAGGAAACATTTGTAATTGGACCCCTGAGGGAGAACAGTTCTAGGACCTATCGTTAACCAAAACTACACCAAACCTCCTCGAGTGAAAACCCATTAAAACAACCTGGGAACAGTGATCAGAGAGTCCTGCCTCCCTACTCACCCAGTCCTAAATGGGACACAGCTGCTGGACTCTAGGCATGCCACTTTTCGTGCAGCTTCCCAATAAAATATAAATAGACCCAATATGTCATAAATCATTGATATGAGTAACATGACCACAGGAGAGAGGGGACTAGGAGGAGATTGGCGATTGGTCAAACAGGCAGACCAGACATTAAGACATGGGCCTTTACTTCAAAGGACTGGATGACGTAGGATATGTACCAAATGGCACCCTATTCCCTATATAGTGCAGTACTTTTGACCAGAGCCATACGGGCCCGGGTCAAAAGTAGTGCACTGTAAAGGGAATAGGGTGCCATTTGGGAGACGCAGATGTTGCTGTAAAGAGTTGGAACCGACCCAAAGTGACAATCAGGCAGATTGAGTAGTGTTTTTGGACGAAACAGTGGAGTCGTAAAAACAAAGAGAGGGCGGAGGCGTTCTTACGTTCATGTCGCAGAAGGAGCCGAGGATATTGCTTTCGTGAGCAGAGATGTCCTGGAAAAGGAACCAAAGTAATAAGTATGACGAGTATATTACATACTGAGAAATGTTAGAGAACATTTTAGAACAGGAGAACACCAAAGTAATTGTCAAGTATTAAGTACACCATGGAGATAAATACAATCTGATATACTGAATCCATAATTGAGTTGTGTGTATGGGTACATGTTATGCTTTTACCTCTATGGTGCAGTGTGTGTTGTGTCGGCGGTACATATTATACCATTACTGCTATGGTGGGGTGGGTGTTGTGTCGGCGGTACATATTATACCATTACTGCTATGGTGGGGTGGGTGTTGTGTCGGGGGAAACATGTTATGCTATTAACTCTATAGTGAGGTGTGTATATGTATTGTGTTGTATCCGGGTGTGTCATTCCATTACCTCTATGGTGGGGTGTGTGTTGTGCTTGTAAGCCGTGTACAAGGGGAACTGGATCTGGAAGATCTTGGCGGCGCAGAGCAGCAGCTTCTCCCGGTCCTCCGTACTCCACGAGTCAAACAGGTCCTCCTGGGCCTGGCTGTCCGTACTGCTGCTAGCTCCAGCCTCAGACGCCCCAATACCACTACTACTTTCCCCTGGCTTGGGGGCCTCCTGCTGGGCCTGGCTGGTCCCCTGGACTGGGTTCTGGTTGTTGTTATTCTGGTTCTGCTCCGAAGCGCCCCCGGCGGTGTCCTCCTCTGCTGAGTCCCTCTCCACGTTCAGCGGCTCGTCCTCGCCAGGCGAGGAGGGCGGTTGCTGGGGGTGCGGTCCTCCTCCAGTTACTCCACCCCCTCCATCTCCCCCCCATTCTGTCCCCGGCCCCTCTGCTCCATCTGTGGCCCCGTCCCCGGTGTCGGCGGCGCCCCGTTGGCTGGTGGTGCTACAGAGGCGGTCCCTCAGGCTGGTGACCTGGGCGATGACCAGGTTGATGAGGGCGTAGACCAGCTGGTTGAACACCTCCAGGTGCTTGTACTCCTTGAAGCAGCATAGACATTGCCTGTGGAGGGAAAGGAGGGGTGGTGAGAGCGATTGAGTGAATTGCGGATCAGGGAGACCCACCAGTGAGTTGCAGTCAACTCCTACTGGGGTCGCGGTTCGAGACTGACTCATTCGATTTGGATGGTCAAGGCATCAAAACATTTGGAAACCATAAAAAGGCAACGCACGGTCCACACTGCAGTGGACTGTAGCTTCTGCCTCAACAACCAGCTATCTTTAGAGAATCATCTATGGGCTCAATTCAATCAAACGTGCATTGAAGCGAATAAAGCATAGAACTAGTTTTAGGTACAGTTTTCTGTCTTTCTGATTAAGACATGTGAGTGGGCTGTAGTTGTATTAACAAAGATGCAGAATACGCATTGTTTATGGAGGATTTGATTGAATACAGCCCTTGATCTATTTTGAGCTCTGTTCTCATGAATTCCGTTTCTTGTGACATTAACGTAAGGTAAAACGCCTATGTGACTATATTACTGACCATCCTATTTTAGATATTATTTTCCCACCGTGTATTTTGATAAGACAGCAACCAATTAACACACATGAAGAATACCACACAAATTAAGGATACCACACAAATGAAGGATCCACACAAATGAAGGATCCACACAAATGAAGGATCCACACAAATGAAGGATCCACACAAATGACAGATCCCACTAAGAATGCAAAACTAGAGGAATGCTTCCAGTCAACTTTCCCAGATCAGTCAGCATTTTTGCCTGATCTCACTGAGAGTGGGAGAACAACTCCGAAAGGTCAACAATTCCTCAAGGCTCTATTCTGCGCAGGCACGCACGCGCACACACAAACACAGCTAGTTAAACAACAATAAAAACACCACTAAGCGAGGCGTAAAACCTATTATTTATGACCCACTTGTCCTCCAGTGACCTTAGCTAGCCTACATGCTAAGCTACACCTAAAACACATTGGTTAGCCGTTAGCGCTAGTAATACATGATGAATTCATGGCTGATAATGGCTTCAGATAGAGCTAGCGGATATCCTGCCCTTTTTCCAAATGAAACCCTTTCCCCTACATAGTGGTCAAAATAAGTGCACCTGGTCAAAAGTAGTACACTAAATAGGGAATAGGGTTCCATTTGGGATGAATCCATGGAATAATAATGTATGCGGGGAACAGAGGAGAGTGGGAGACTGACCTCTGGGACCATGAGCTGATGTAGCTGAAGACTCGTAACGCATGCTCCTTCTTCAGCTGTAGGCCCTCAGTGCTGTCTGCATCCGATACTGTAGGGGAGAGAGAGAAGTCAAGGTGGTGAGGACATGACACTTGACCCACACTGCTTGTTCAAATGCTTTGCACTAATAGGTCCTACTAGGCTATATAGTGGACACACGCTAGAAAATATCTGAAATTGCAATTAATATACACTGCTCAAAAAAATAAAGGGAACACTTAAACAACACAATGTAACTCCAAGTCAATCACACTTCTGTGAAATCAAACTGTCCACTTAGGAAGCAACACTGATTGACAATACATGTCACATGCTGTTGTGCAAATGGAATAGACAACAGGTGGAAATTATAGGCAATTAGCAAGACACCCCCAATAAAGGACTGGTTTTGCAGGTGGTGACCACAGACCACTTCTCAGTTCCTATGCTTCCTGGCTGATGTTTTGGTCACTTTTGAATGCTGGCGGTGCTTTCACTCTAGTGGTAGCATGAGACTGAGTCTACAACCCACACAAGTGGCTCAGGTAGTGCAGCTCATCCAGGATGGCACATCAATGCGAACTGTGGCAAGAAGGTTTGCTGTGTCTGTCAGCGTAGTGTCCAGAGCATGGAGGCGCTACCAGGAGACAGGCCAGTACATCAGGAGACGTGGAGGAGGCCGTAGGAGGGCAACAACCCAGCAGCAGGACTGCTACCTTCGCCTTTGTGCAAGGAGGAGCAGGAGGAGCACTGCCAGAGCCCTGCAAAATGACCTCCAGCAGGCCACAAATGTGCATGTGTCTGTTCAAACGGTCAGAAACAGACTCCATGAGGGTGGTATGAGGGCCGACGTGCACAGGTGGGGGTTGTGCTTACAGCCCAACACCGTGCAGGACGTTTGGCATTTGCCAGAGAACACCAAGATTGGCAAATTCGCCACTGGCGCCCTGTGCTCTTCACAGATGAAAGCAGGTTCACACTGAGCACATGTGACAGACATGACAGAGTCTGGAGACGCCGTGGAGAACATTCTGCTGCCTGCAACATCCTCCAGCATGACCGGTTTGGCGGTGGGTCAGTCATGGTGTGGGGTGGCATTTCTTTGGGGGGCCGCACAGCCCTCCATGTGCTCGCCAGAGGTAGCCTGACTGCCATTAGGTACTGAGATGAGATCCTCAGACCCCTTGTGAGACCATATGCTGGTGCGGTTGGCCCTGGGTTCCTCCTAATGCAAGACAATGCTAGACCTCATGTGGCTGGAGTGTGTCAGTAGTTCCTGCAAGAGGAAGGCATTGATGCTATGGACTGGCCCGCCCGTTCCCCAGACCTGAATCCAATTGAGCACATCTGGGACATCATGTCTCGCTCCATCCACCAACGCCACGTTGCACCACAGACTGTCCAGGAGTTGGCGGATGCTTTAGTCCAGGTCTGAGAGGAGATCCCTCAGGAGACCATCCGCCACCTCATCAGGAGCATGCCCAGGCGTTGTAGGGAGGTCAACAGGCACGGAGGCCACACACCGGGACAGATCAGAGCTCCCCTACCCAGTCCTAAATGGGACACAGTGTGGGCTCTAGGCATCCATTTTGTGCAGCTTCCCAATAAAAATAAATAGACCAAGATTCATAAATCATTGATATGAGTAACATGACCACAGGAAGAGGAGAGGGGACTAGGAGGAGATTGGCGATTGGTCAAACAGGCAGACCAGACATTAAGACATGGGCCTTTGCTTCAAAGGACTGGATGACGTAAGATACGTACCAAATGGCACCCTATTCCCTATATAGTGCAGTACTTTTGACCAGAGCCATACGGGCCCGGGTCAAAGTAGTGCACTGTAAAGGGAATAGGGTGCCATTTGGGAGGACACAGACGTTGCTGTAAAGAGTTGGAACCGACCCAAGTGACAATCAGGCAGATTGAGTAGTGTTTTGGACGAAACATGGAGTCGTAAAACAAAGAGAGGGCGGAGGCGTTCTTACGTTCATGTCGCAGAAGGAGCCGAGGATATTGCTTTCATGAGCAGAGATGTCCTGGAAAAGGAAACAAAGTAAGTTTGACGAGTATATTATATACTGAGAAATGTTAGAGAACATTTTAGAACAGGAGAACACCAAAGTAATTGTCAAGTATTAAGTACACCATGGAGATAAATACAATCTGATATACTGAATCCATAATTGAGTTGTGTGTATGGGTACATGTTATGCTTTTACCTCTATGGTGCAGTGTGTGTTGTGTCAGCGGTACATATTATACCATTACTGCTATGGTGGGGTGGGTGTTGTGTCGGGGGAAACATGTTATGCTATTACCTCTATAGTGGGGTGTGTATATGTATTGTGTTGTATCAGAGTGTGTCATTCCATTACCTCTATGGTGGGGTGTGTGTTGTGTTTGTAAGCCGTGTACAAGGGGAACTGGATCTGGAAGATCTTGGCGGCGCAGAGCAGCAGCTTCTCCCGGTCCTCCGTACTCCACGAGTCAAACAGGTCCTCCTGGGCCTGGCTGTCCGTACTGCTGCTAGCTCCAGCCTCAGACTCCCCAATACCACTACTACTTTCCCCTGGCTTGGGGGCCTCCTGCTGGGCCTGGCTGGTCCCCTGGACTGGGTTCTGGTTGTTGTTATTCTGGTTCTGCTCCGAAGCGCCCCCGGCGGTGTCCTCCTCTGCCGAGTCCCGCTCCACGTTCAGCGGCTCGTCCTCGCCAGGCGAGGAGGGCGGTTGCTGGGGGTGTGGTCCTGCTCCAGTTACTCCACCCCCTCCACCCCCCCCCCATTCTGTCCCCGGCCCCTCTGCTCCACCTGTGGCCCCGTCCCCGGTGTCGGTGGCGCCCCGTTGGCTAGTGGTGCTGCAGAGGCGCTCCCTCAGGCTGGTGACCTGGGCGATGACCAGGTTGATGAGGGCGTAGACCAGCTGGTTGAACACCTCCAGGTGCTTGTACTCCTTGAAGCAGCATAGACATTGCCTGTGGAGGGATAGGAGGGGTGGTGAGAGTGATTGAGTGAATTGCAGATCAGGGAGACCCACCAGTGAGTTGCAGTCAATTCCTAATGGGGTCGCGGTTCGAGACTGACTCATTCGATTTGGATGGTCAAGGCATCAAAACGTCTGGGAACCATAAAAAAGGTAACGCACGGTCCACACTGCAGTGGACTGTAGCTTCTGCTTGCATTGGCCTCAACAACCAGCTATCTTTAGAGACTCATCTATGGACTCAATTCAATCAAACTTGCATTGAAGCGAATAAAGCATAGAACCATAGGAACCTAGTTTTAGGTACTTGCAACAGAAAATATGACAGTTTCTGTCTTTCTGATTAAGACATGTGAGTGGGCTGTAGTTGTATTAACAAAGATGCAGAATACGCATTGTTTATGGAGGATTTGATTGAGTGCAGGCCTTGATCTATTTTGAGCTCTGTTCTCATGAATTCCGTTTCTTGTGACATTAACGTAATGTAAAACGCCTATGTGGCTATATTACTGACCATCCTATTTTTATTACTGACCATCCTATTTTAGATATTATTTCCCCCCCCGTGTATTTTGATAAGACAGCAACCAATTAACACACATGAAGAATACCACACAAATTAAGGATACCACACAAATGAAGGATCCACACAAATGACGGATGCACACAAATGACGGATCCCACTAATGCAAAACTAGAGGAATGCTTCCAGTCAACATTCCCAGATCAGTCAGCATTTTTGCCTGATCTCACTGAGAGTGGGAGAACAACTCCGAAAGGTCAACAATTCCTCAAGGCTCTTTTCCGCGCACACACAAACACAGCTAGTTAAACAACAATAAAAACAACACTAAGCGAGCGGTAAAACCTATTATTTATGACCCACTTGTCCTCCAGTGACCTTAGCTAGCCTACATGCTAAGCTATGCCTAAAACACATTGGTTAGCCGTTAGCGCTAGTAATACATGATGAATTCATGGCTGATAATGACTTCAGATAGAGCTAGCGGATATCCTCCCCTTTTAAATATTAATGAATAATGGTCTGCTTTCCAAATCCAGACCTCCATGGGTTGATAAATTTGATTTCCATTGATAATTTGTGTGATTTTGTTGTCAGCACATTCAACTATGTAAAGAAAATAGTATTTAATAAGATTATTTCATTCATTCAGATCTAGGATGTGTTATTTTAGTGTTCCCTTTATTTTTTTTTGAGCAGTGTATTTTAGGCATTATCGAAGACTAAATAGTGGTTGACACTTTGCTACAACAACAAAAAAATATTATTTCTGGAGGCTCAATGCGAACGGTCCTTTGGTCAACAGGAGAGCAGAGATGCTCCTCCCTCTAGTCTGGATGGGAGACTCAACTGACCCATGGAAGTCTCAAGCCTCTGGTGAGAAACGTGCCTCAGCACCACATTAGCAGGGGCCAGGCAAGGCTCTCCATTACCGACAACTAACAGGTGCTCCACACCAACAGGCCTTCCCAAGCAGAATTGGCTTGTACTACAGGCTAAAGTCGGCTACTGTATTATATTGGTGACTAGGGATGGGGGTTGAAATAATTTCACTATTCGAATAGTATCATACATTTTTGTCGGTATCCGGATATTTGAAATAAATGTGCTTTTTTTAAACATACGTTTTTAATCTGAGCACTGCTGCGCGAAGGAGAGGCTGGCTACTGCTTGGAGGTGCCGGTGAGATAGGAGCGAGCAGACAGGCAGAGGTCGTGTCGACATTTGACACTTACATGCGACTTCTGCTATCAAAATACGAAGATCGCATTGAAAAGACGGGTCTAAACGTACAAAAGTCTGACTGTGCTCAGATCTGGCTGACCACTTCAGGAGGTGGTCAGGGATGCATTGTGTGCAGATTTCTCCTCAGTCTGGATGTTATCAGGCTACCGAAAGCGCATACAGTGGGCGACGTTTTCAGCACTCCTCCCACAAGTCTCAAGAAAATGTGTGTTTTGGGACCGAGGCACCTTTTCATTATAATGTTGGAGGAAATACGTTCCTAGCATGCGAGGAACCTGTTTGCAGGACTCATAAATGCTAGCCAGCTAGCTAATATTTAGAAAAACTATATTTTGTTTGGCTATAGTTATGCTAATCTCTTTGTAATCCCTTTAGCGTCCTAGCTAGCTACAGAGGTTAGCTGGCGAGTTAGCTACAGTAGTTAGCCACTGCCATCAGTTGTTGCGGTGTTATATTTTGGCCTATTCCACAGTTTGTAGAATACATACAGGCAGGCATTTGAATATAGCGTGGGAAAATGGAATCCGGACACACTATGGACACGGTAGACATTTCAATGTAGGCTAGGTGTAGATGCATGACATGTTCGGAATGCTATATCAGAATACTAAAGCTGCATGAACTGTCAAGTCTAGACACCGCCAGAGAGAGCGACGCTGCCCGGCTACAGCCAAGACCAGCTAACTTGTAGCAGCCACAATGTTATGTAATAGTACCTGTCTTGACTGGAGTAGCCTAATTGAGGACACATTTAGCACCATCTCCCCAACCCCATTCAATAAAACAAAAGCCTACCTATTGGTTGCTCGTTGTAGCCGACTCATTTCGCTAACTTTTAATTCCGTCTTGGATTGCATTTGTGAACTCACTACACTTGTTACACATTTACATTTCAGTCATTTAGCAGACGCTCTTATCCAGAGCGACTTACAGTTAGTGAGTGCATTCATTATATTTTTATATTTAAAAAAAATCATACTGCCCCCCGTGGGAATCGAACCCACAACCCTGGCGTTGCAAACGCCATGCTCTACCAACTGAGCTACATCCCATTGAGCCTCTTTCCCGCTTTGATTGGCCAACATAAACAACAAGCTACACGTGAAGGCTACCAGACAGCTACCGTTCTTTTTTATGGGGAACGTCATTAAAACTACATGGAAAAGTTTGTTTTAATTTAGAAAAAGCATTTTCAGTGTTAAAATAGGCCTATACATTTTCTTGCCGCAAAAGTTAATACTCACAAGAATTCGAATACTAACATCCTTTCGGATATTCGAATAACCATGCACATCCCTATTGCTGACACACACACACACACACACAGAGAGTCTCAAAACAAAATGTAAGCAACGTGTGGGGCAAGGCATGTCCAATGGAAGGTTATTGCTGTGTCAAAAGCTCAGCTCTCTAACTTTTCTGTGGACAGTGTAGCATTGCCTACATTTTTCCGCAACCCCAAAGCACTTGTGTCTTTCAAACTCATTGGTGTAATTGAAAAACATTTGTGACTCTGGGGATGCTGCATTTGTGACGCATAATTTTCATCTGCACCCACCCCTCAACCAGAGATCTTTGTTGTTGTACCAACACCCTATTTCCTGCTCTCAGAACAAGAGAGAAAACTGACCATATTGTTGCCTCACATCAGCCTACATGCCAAGACTAAATACAAGAAAAGCAAAAGGACACCCTGATGAAAGCGTTCGCCGATACGCAAAATGACTTAGCCCACATATTAAAGGCTTTTTAACTTGCAAACCCACGGGTGCTTTAAGTTGGATTTTTTTATGTCACTTAGGACCTATTTGTGGTTCTCATTTTTTAATTTTGCTTTTCTAGTACTATTCCCCGACAAGAGCACCTGTGATTGTTTTGGAATAGCCTACTTGAAGCGTTCCTGCTACTTCTTTTCTTACATTACATTTTAGTCATTTAGCAGAACCTCTTATCCAGAGCGACTTACAGTTAGTGAGTGCATACATTTTCATACTGGCCCCCCTGTGGGAAACGAACCCACAACCCTGGCGTTGCAAGCGACATGGTCTACCAACTGAGCTACAGGGGACTACTAACTAAAAGTTGGACTTAGATAAATTGCGAAATCAACTATACATTCAATATGGAACATTATGTTGGAGGGAGAGGTGTCATTTTGAAAAGGTGCAGCCTACATGCACAAACTTTGTGACAAGAGACCCATTCCCATCAACAATTTCCATACCTGACTGACCTAGGCCCAAATGTCACATTCTTATCATGCATAGGGCCTAATAACCACTGTGACGATTGGAGTTGTGCCAAAACACTACCAAGAGAAACAGAAAGTATGAAAAAAAAAAAAAAAGTATGCACTCTGGATAAGAGCTTCTGCTAAATGACTCAACTGTAAATGTAAATGTAAAATAAGTGGAACTTTCGGGTCTGTTCCTTGGCACGTGACAGATGAAACAACAAACAGGGTTCTAAAGTTCACCAGGGCACCTTGCCCTTGACCTAAATGTGTGTCTGCCTTTATTCCATTCTTTCCTTTTTCATCTTGGACTGGACTCCAATTCCCAGCTCCATTCATAAAACAATCCATGACATTGTGTTCGGTGGCCTGTACCAAAAACATTGCGATCAGCTCCAGATAAGAGGATCTGGATCTCCCAGCCATTGTTCTGACAGCAAAGCTTTGAGCTTGTAACAAAAACAGAGAAGTAAAATAGACACCTAAAACTCAGCAGTTCTCAGCAGGGCTCTGCTGAGCTCAACTGCCTGTGTTGATAGAAGTAGTTGGCTTTAGGTGCTGATGTAGGGTCAGTTTGGCTTTTTACATCAATGGATTAGTGTTAGGCTAGGGGTGGGCAGGTAAACTGGTCCCAGATCTATGCTCAAGGGCAACCTCTGGCTGGCTGGCACAGTGCCAGACAGCATCTTAAAACAGGGTGTGTGGGGATTGACACTGGCAGCCACATGTACATTTACATTTTAGTCATTTAGCAGATGCTCTTATCCAGAGCGACTTAAAGGAGCAATTCCGGTTAAGTGTCTTCTTCAAGGGACCATCGACAGATTTTTCACCTAGTTGGCACGGGATTCGAACCAGCGACCTTTCGGTTACTGGCCCAACGCTCTTAAAACAGCTAGACTACCTGTCACCCTGCAGGCTTACTTGCACAGCATATTCAATAGTGGATTGAAACCCCTCATTCGCTCAGTAAATCCCTCACTAATCTTGCATGCATGCAGCCACACACAAAACATTCCCGGCTTCATGCGCTCCACTACAGCAAATTTGAGGTCAGGGGTCACCTGGTGAAAGCACACATGTGGCTGCCAGTCTCGCACACATGGGGCTGCCAGTCTCACACCCTGGCGCTCCAGACAAGCCTGTCACAGGCAACAAGCCTCTCACACCTCTACTGGTGGCAGCCTGGTGCCGACACAGACACACACACACAGGGGGTGTACTCTGTTTTGCTAAACAAAGGGACGACCCCCTCACAGGTAAAACAGCAGCTCTATTGTGAAAACATACTACTGTGTAGCCTAATAGCCATCTCCAAAACCATTGTTGTTAGACATACATGTGGGCCAGAGAGAGGGTATTTTGCTCAAAGACAAAAGGAGGCCCTTTTAGAACACTAGTGACATAGGCCTACTCCTCCACACACTTTAATAATACACAAGGGAAAGTGTGTCCACTGTTTATAGGCCAACTGAAATGCATAGAACATGTAAGTAAGCCTACATTTATCTTTTCATAATTTGCCTACAAACCACCAACAGCCAAATTAATCTGAGCACCTAAAGTGTCATACTCATTGCTCATTTGAATTACAGATTTGGGGGAGGGGATAGGTTATATTCCATTCATCTAGTTTCTTGTTTGTTTTAAATGTGTATTGACAGGATGAAAGACCCTTTGAGCTGCACCATCATGATCCCCCTTTCAAAGGGGTCCTGCAATAAGCAACCCACAACCGCTTTACCATGTCGGCTTGGATATCCTCCCAAGACACGGAGACAATTTTAAACAAGATTACTCCCCTCTTGTCCAAGTCACCAAGTCAAACGTTTAGTCACTAATATCAGACTGAAAATAGGTGTAAGACATAAGACATCCTAATCTAGCAAACAAGCATATTAAGATTTCAAATGCAAAATCCCATATTACTGATGGCAAACAACACATATTGCACAGTACACCAGGCCATAAGCCAGACTGTAAGCAGTGTCTTCTTGCTACCATCGCCAATGCCTTCCCATACTCAGTTCGCTAACTAGGTAAAACAAGTACACTCCACATACACAAACCATTGCAATTTCATAGATGTATAACTAGCTATTAATGCAATGGAGGAAACAACAGATGTAGCCCTACAAAAATACAAAAAAATGGGCCTTTGTTTATTCGCTCCCATATCCCGTTATGAAAGCAATTTGGCCTAGTTAGCTACCTCGTAGCTAGCAAAGAAGCTGCTCTAACGTTACTACTGTCCGTAGGAAATACATCCAATGGCATTCGTATGCACATTTTATTTTGATTAATAACAAGCTTATAATAGCTAAATGTATTTACCTACAGTAACGTTAACTAGTGAGCACATATTGCTTAGCTAACGTTAGGTTAGCTGACTGAAAGCTAAACATTTGCTTGCAATCTGGCAAAATTATATTACAGCGCGTGTGGCAACTCAAATATTAAAACAAATCAGTCCGTTTTGATGGCAGTTGACCACAGCTATCTAGCTGGCTAGTCAGTGAACTAACGTTAGTTAACGTTGGACAACTCGTTACTCAACGTGCAACTGACAAACATATCAACCAGACAGGCTAGTTAGCAAGAGCGAACAAGTCTGCACAACATACTATACACAGCCACCTCTCTCGTCTCGGACTAAAAAAAGGCACATGCAATGTGTAGCAAACATTTGTTATGGCCAAATACATGTCAAACCACATTTCTAGACAGGCAGTTAACCAAACGGGCAAGTTAGCTAGCTAAACAACTTAGATTGGGCTGATGCCATGGCATTCTAACTAGTTAGTTAACTACTGTTAATGATGTTCAGAATCTCGTCTAGTTAGCTAACTGGCCAGTTAACTCTGCTCAGGCATCCCCTTCATCCTGCAGCGATTTGACAGAAACAGGCCTCAAAGTTGCAGACAAGGTGCCATTTACATTCAGATCATTAATTCAAGACAAGGCCTTACATTGGCAGCTGTCTGGCTAGTGGTAAAATCAGAAACTGCAGAACAAGTGGAGAACAACCAGGCACGATAGCTAGCTGTCCAGTTTCACTCAGGTAGCCTGACTTAGCTAACCTTAGCTAGCATTAGGGGACCACTACGGCACCAAACCATTTAATAAAAAATGTTTACTTACTTTCATTTAAAACCTCCACCAGCTCGGCGCAGTTTTCACACATTGTTCATCAAGAAAATAACGACGGAAAAGTGTAGTCAAACCATTGGAAATTGTTGATGGATACGAATTGTTGGCACCTGGTTGTTTTGGGGAAAAGGCCCGACGTAGTGGTTGGTGAAGGTTTGCTAATGCATTAAATTAAATAAGGGAGAGTAATAGATTCAGATTAAATTAGTTTCTAAATATCGTTGATAAAGTCAAAAAGTAAGAGGCATTAAGATACAGAGTCGAGTCAATCTCCAATCTGAGCGTTACTGGAGAGAGTAGATACCGGCAGCCATATTGAAAAGGGGTTGGGGGGGGGGGGGCACAGCATGTTCATTATTCGTAACTTTCCGTTGTCTCCTTCGCCTTGTTCGACTTTTTCCGCTAGTCTCGCGGTTACTCCATCAGCAAGAAATGTTTACAAATGGCGTTTCATTCCCAGACAGCCAAGAGAGCACCAGCCAGTAGCCACCGAGGCGATTCGATTATCTAGGCCGGGTTACCCCGATGAGGGGAGTATACACCGGGTGAAAAGTGATTTCATTCGTTTTGGAACCGGGCTGCCTCTAGGGCGTGAGCCAGGTGCCCCGTTCAGTAATGGAGTAGGATTATGTTTTCACATGCAAAAGTGATTGCTTTTGATAAAAAATGCTTTATCTGCTTTCCAATTGAAAACTGTTTTGAAATTTCGAACATATATTTTATGGAAAATACATGTCTGTTTTTGGACAACATTACCGAGTGGCGCAGATTATGGTTCGATTTGAGAAGGGTGCTCCTCCCTCACCACTTGTGCCCTTTCCTGTCACGGGCCATAGACCGGTGCACTGCGGCTCAGGTTAATAGATCGCCCTCATTGGCACCAACAGACAGTCCACCTTCCAGACATTTTATTCATTTGGGGAATTTGTCAGAGAAGTATTATGCCAGGACATCGTTTTTTATTTGGTACTCCAAAGTATTTCCTGAAGTATTTTGACCTTAAAGTTTTTTCATTATTCCACTCAAAATGCAGACTTATCTGTGGTTTCAAATCCTAATTCAGATATTGGATTTAATAACCTTCAATGACTGAAGGAAACACACACCTTTTTAAAATCAAATTGTGTCAGGTATAATTTCCCCCAACACCATAGTTATTAATAATGTATTATTTATTGAAGTGTTTATCACCAGTGACTGTAATGAGATATTGGTCTCACCGTGTAATGTATTTACGTATATGCAAGTTGGTACAGGACATACACAGTTTTGTAAAAATAACCAACTTTATGTTCCCGTAGTACTAAGACAGCTTTACAAACAGGATGATATGCACATAACCTTCCATTGATCTAACATTCTCGTCAAAAATTTCAGAGCAGTCAGTTTTGGGTGCAAACAGAAGCCCCGACTCACCCCGCAAAAACTGCTCACAAATCAAAAACAAAGGAAGAACGTAATTTACCACCCTTGACCGTCACATTCATCTGCAGGCCATGCGGCTCCTCCGAAAAACACAGAGCTCTTTCTATTGGAGCACTTCCTGACGCTACTGCGCTTTTTAAAGTAACCATTTTGCGTGTGTTTTTAACATATCTTACATATAAACAAATACAAGGGGTGTTGGTGGGGGGTGTAGGGAAAGAAGAGGGTTAAAAAAAAAGAGTATTTAATTCTTTCAACTTCATGCACGTCTAAACAAAGAGGATGACCAAAAACATAAAGCTTGAATTAGCGAGGGAAAAGGAGCCGTATTATTACACAAATGACTGTATAAAATGCGTCCGTATGCAAAAAAGGGGAGTGCCCGAATCGGAGGCGCAATTCTCATTTACATATTGGCATTGATTTGGTTGACAAACAACCGAGTGCTGAGGGCACCTCCTTCCGCCCCCTCCCTCTCAATCTCACACACACACACACACACACAATTGACAAGAGGAGCTTCCAGCTTCTCTTGCCTTTATTTTTTTCAAAAACTGTACATGTTTGCTGTTGTGTTCGTTCCTATGTGGCGGCGCTCAGTCGCACATCTCCTCTGGGATTTCATGGGGGTTGAGGATGCCGGGGACGGACATCTGCAGTTTGTGTTTCTCCTCCTGGGCCTGCCGCAGCGACGTCTCCCGCTCCTCCAGGAACAGGTCTGTGGTGTCCTCGCCAGCAAACTCCTGGACAGGGAGGAAAGAGAGGAAGTTGAGAGTTGAGTGTGAGGGACAAATATCACGTTAAAACAGTATCTACCGCGCTCCAGAGGTTTGACACCTTCTCAGACAGACACACAAGGGCCAGAGAGTTACTAAGCGTTTGCACCCGTGTGTGTGGCTACAAAACCGGAGTGACTCACCTTGATCTGCACCAAGAAGTCCCTCAGGTGCTCCTTGAAGGCAGGGATGTCCTGGTTCAAGCTGAACAGACCTGTTACAAACACCTTCACCTGGGCACTGGAATGGAGAGGAAAGTCAGGATCACAACACATTCACCTACCAGTAAGTATATCACTTTAGATCAACTAGTTATTGTCTGTAGTACAAGTGTATCCCCAACACCCATGTAAAAGAGATGAGGCCCATGAACTACAGGTTCACTGTGGCAGCCATTTGGGCCAGTGCGGTCCATTGTAGAGGAAGCACCGAATTTGACAAGGCTGCAAACGAACACATCCCTATCTTAGTGTTCAGAGTGGAGCACATCAAATGTTTCATTTGAATTTACTTCACAGAGGGCCCTCAGGGCAGCTAAAAAATAATGCAGATAGGCAGGCTGACAAGACAAACTTACTCTTGTAGATGGGGGAAGGCAGTCTTGAGCAGGTTGGCCACGTACTCCTGAACGTATCCCTGGTTGTTCTGGCTGGCTGGGTTGAGGGCGGCGCTGATTTTACCCTCCTCCACCAGGTTGAACATGTATGCCAGGATGGACGCATGCATGGTTAGCCCTGGAGAAAAATCAAGCATATCATCAATTATACCCACACTTGTCTTGCACTCACCAATGGCACTGAAGCACATTGCCGTGTCCATCTGCCAAGTCTGTGTTTGACTCTGCTGCGGTGACACCAAAGTGAAATAACCCCTTCAGGAATCAAACCACCTAGTGTATAACAAGGACTGATTCCTCGCCTGTACCAAACACTTATTACAGAACCATAGATGTTTCCGGTGATATTTAACCGTCAACCAACAATGCCCCACCAACCCCCTCACCTGCTGTGTGCGAGGTATCTGTGACGACGGAAAATATGTGCTGGAGGATGTCACAGAAATAGGTCTGGTAGAAGCTCTGTGCGGCAGCCTCCTCCTGGGCCACGTTCTGCAGCAGGGTGTAAAGAATCTGCAGACCTGGAGGACATAACGAGACAGAGGGAGAGAGAGGATGCAGGGATGAGTGGCTTGATCACAATAATAAGCAGGGAGTATTCCACAATGTACCGTAAGGACTATTTCCCCAGACTCAGATTAAGCCTAGTCCTGGACTAAAAAGCAATTATCCATTGAAAAAAAAAGCTTTAGTCCAGGATTAGAGTTAATCTGTGTCTGAAACGCCCATAATATTTCAAATGTAGAGGTAAGTGAACTGCATTTCACCTCAGAGGAGTTTGACGACCTCATTCACTAACGCTAAATTCCAATCTCGTGACAGTCATAGCATGTATGAATAGGTAGGTGAGGCCAAAGCATATGGAGGGTCTTACCAGTGTCTGCAACGTTCCTCATGGTGTGTTTGAAGGCCCAGATAATGGAGTCCAGCACCAGTTTGAACTGGGCCGGGGGTATAGAGAGGAAGGCCGGGAAGCACTGAGAGTTCACCGCTTGGAGGAGGTAGAAGAAATGGGTCCTATGCTCTGGGTACTCCTCAAAGTCCTAGAGAGAAAAATGTTGGACAATGTCAGTGACAATGACTTTCTATAAGGAATAAAGACTGCTAGGACTATATATACACAGACTTTATTTTAACTTTTTCACGCATACAATTACAAAAAGTATCCTGTGTTCAACAATACTTCAGTTTACAACCTTGCAATGGATAGACTTGACTAATTGTCTGTAGTACAAATTTATCCCCAACACCCATGTAAAAGGGATGCGAGGCCCATGAATTACAGGTTCACTGTGGCAGCCATTTTGGCCAGTGCGGTCCATTGTGGAGGAAGCACTGAATTTGACAAGGCTGCAAACTAACACATCTGTCTTTCTGTTAATGTTCCTTTGACATCATTTGCAGTCTATAAGAGCCCCAGCTATGAATATTAACTAATTAATAGATTACAGTATAGTCCTATAATAGTATAGTGAAGGAAACATCTATGAAACATACTTTATTGATCATGTTCAAAGTGCACTCGAAGACTGCGTCGAAAATCTTGGGAATCTCCCCGGTGATGTGTCCGCCCAGCTTATTGACGATGGTCGCCATGGTGCTGAGCACCTCGGGCTCTCTGGCTGCGGGGACGTTGCGCTGGTAGTCGATGAGTACGGCCTCCAGCAGGGGCGGGACAAAGTTCTCCCCCACCTGTAGAACCACGGAACATGGTAGAACGTGACCAGTTAATACAGAGACATTCAATCTAACATTAAAGCAAACTGTCAGATAACTAAGGGCTTGGGGCTCCACTGGGGGTAGTAGTGGTTCAATTCATTGGCACCATAGTTTAGAGGAGGAACTGACAGGCAAATGCTATATCTTGTCTGTAATGTGAGCTATTCTCTGCCTTTTCAACCTGTAAATAGTTAAATAGTTTCAATGGGCATGATTCCTCTGGATAAGGTTGGTGGCCAATGATTTATAAAATAGAAAAGAAAAACATTTTTTGGGGGGGCTGTGTGGAGTGTAAGCTAGTCCAGATAGGCAGTTGTATCTTTCTGGTTGTCTTTCTGCCTCCCGTTACTCTATGGTGTGGTTTAGACAGGCTATCTATGGTCTGAGAGATGCCCGCTCTGATCCCACCATTACATTTAGATTTTCTAAGAGGATCTATAGGAGAACCACTGGTCAACAGCATTCCCTATAGGCTGTGACTAGATTTGATTAAGACAGGACAGACTCACCATTTGTGGGTCGTTAGAGCGGCTGACCCAACCGGAGATCAGCTTGAGCGTTTCTCTCTTCACCGTCCTCATGCTCCGGATCAGGGGCTGCTTGGTCACCATCTCTCCTAGCAGGACAATAGAGAGTGTTAGTTAGCTAGCATAGGGTTTAGCATGGAGCAACCATGGGGGTAGCATGGAGCAACCATGGGGGTAGCATGGAGCAACCATGGGGGTAGCATGGAGCAACCATGGGGGTAGCATGGAGTAAGCATGGAGTAACCATGGGGGTAGCATGGAGTAACCATGGGGGTAGTAGCAGCATGGTGGTAGCATGAAATCTCCAACTTCAGTGCATTCAAGACAACTGGGAACTCTGGAGAAAAAAAACGAGCTCCGACTGAGAAAAATCGTTGTGAACGGTCATCCAACTCAGAATTCAGGCCTCTTTCTAGAGCTCCGACTTTCTGACCTGAAGATCACTGACGTCATGATTTGACCTCGTATTTTCAGAGTTCCCAGTTGTCTTGAAGGCACCATTAGACTGGGCCTATAGTTATGTGACTGATGCTGCAGCTGCAGACCGAGTTAGGCACACACACACACCAAGACAAGCAGAGCACCTCAGGCATACAAGAGTCTGACAGACCCACACACACACCAAGACAAGCAGAGCACCTCAGGCATACAAGAGTCTGACAGACCCACACACACACACACACACACACCAAGACAAACAAGCACCTCCGGCACACAGATCAGATAGACCAAAGACAGAGTAGACACACCACTGACAGACTTGGCACGCACACACACGTCTCACCGTTGGTCTGGATGGCAGAGGAGATGTTCTCACTCAGACACTTGTAGACGTTGAGCATGTCCAGGTAGATGCGTCCCAGCTGCACCACGAAGGGGTGTCCCACGGCCTTGCAGGCCCGCACGTTGGTCTTCAGGATGCTGCCCAGCTGACGCACTGTCTCCGCATCCTTCAGGATGTCCACATTCTGGGGGAGAGAGAGCGTTAACAAGTCAGTTAAAATGCTTTAAATGCATTTTCGGACAATATATTGTAAGTCGCTCTGCATAGCGTTTTACTAAAGTGTAAAAAGATAAGGCTTTGCCAGTTGCTATTTATACAAATACAAAAATGGGGAAGAAAAGCACTGGAAATGATGACAAATGTTGCTGATAAAACTACAAGGGCATCTAAGACTGTGTGGGTATTTCTCTATGGCACAGTGGTACAAGGTGGGTGACAGTGTTGTTTGGGTTGTGTTGCATCCGTACAATGTAAAATGCTTTGAAACAAAGATTTACAAATACAATCCCATAGTAGAGTGTGACTCACCTTGGTTGCCTGTTGGATGATGCTGTCCCACACCTGGTTGGGTAGAAGCATGTACTTCTCTATAAGGTGCTCCTGCACAGCCTGGTCCGTCTGGGCCCCAATCATGTAACCCACCGCTTCGTAGAACGTGTGCACCTGAATGGGGGGAGGGGAGGAGATATGAGGTTGATCATGGTAATATGATAACATTTGCTGCTTCATAGCCAACTCCAGCAATTTCACGTCTGTGACAACTGGAAACAGGGTGCTACCTGAACTTCGCTAATAGCAACACTGGTTTCCATTTGAATATGTTTTTCAACTACTACTGTATTTTACTCATAGTTTTGGTTGTTTTCAGGGGCCTGTAGCTCAACCGTGGTACCTGTTGGGGCTGGAGGTCACAGATGATGGTGTTGATGTTGTTGAGGATCTCGTCGATGAAGGGCATCACCTCACCCACCTGCACCTGGACAAAGTGGCGCCGGCACTTCTGGGCGATCTTGATGAAGGTGTCGCACGCCATGTCCTGCACGCCGTCGTGGGTCTCTGCCGGGAACAATTACATTCAAATAAAATGTTCAATAAAATAAAACACTGTTGGGGCGTGTTCACTTGGGCACACCGAAGCAAAACTTTATTTTAGTGTTTCTTATTGGACCAGTCCAGGTAGTCCCCTCCCTGTTTCAGTTGGTTTTCTTCTGTCTAGTGCCAAATGAACACAGCCCTGGTATTTTGCATGGATGCAAAATCACACCAAGGAAATCAACTCACACAAACACGACACTGAAAACAGTATCCTGTATCTTTTTGAGATATGCAAGTGGTGGCCTGAACAAAGTTGCTTACCGTGCATGAACTCAAAGAGCTTGTTGACGACAGTCTTGAGGAACTTCCAGTGGGCTCGGAGGAAGCGTGGGTACTGGCCCACGATGTACATGATGTTTGAGGCGATGATGGCCTTGTTGTCCTTCCCCCTCTTCTGCTCACAGAGGCCCAGCAGGTCCTGGAGACATGATGGGAAAACGACACAGTTGGTCAACAACACAGAAACACAGCTCAGTACATCCTGACAGTCACCCTCTACAACAGCAGAGTTGGGGCCAATTCCATTGTAAGTCTTGTCAGGTGACTTGGACGTGGAATTTCTCCATAAGAATGTCCTTCAATTCTTTTTTTTAAGTTGCCAAATGTCAGTTCTATCAATCACTCCAAGTACCCACTGTTCTGAGTCCTCTGCGTAGACATAGCCCTGTCACTCTCCGCCCCTCATGACACAGGCTCGACACGCACAGTCGGACTGCAACGCCTCAAGGGGCAGGCCATTCAATTTCTGAACAGTAAGGGGAACATTTATGGTCTAACAGAACACAGACCTTGACAACTAAGACCAGCAACTATGTGTGTATTTTACACTTTAAAGACCGTAGCTACCTGTGAAGGTGCAATGTGTGTATGTGTGTCTGCGTGTGCACTGTGTGTCCATTACACAGACCTTGATGACGGTGACCAGGAACCTCTTCTCGTCCTCCTCGTGCATGGCCCCGCTGATGGAGCCGATGGCCCAGCATAGCGTGTTCAGGTTCCTCCACGACCACTCTGTCCCGTTCACCTGGTTGTGCAGCTTCTCCGTCATGATGCGCTCCGTGTCCGCATAGTCTAAATGGGTCAGGTAGACTGGGGGGGGGGGAGAGAGAGTTATGCTAGTCACAGAGCGAGGGAGTGTGTGCAAAGTGCCCTATGTTATAGACAGCGAAGAAAAGTGTGTGAGAGATGTGTACTGAGATGTGTGTTTGAGTGTCACTGATAGAGCGATCAATTGTGGAAAGTACATTTGACAAAGGAAAAGATTGAGCAATTGTGCTTGACATTGCAGACTAGAGAATGGACGTGTGTGTGAGAGAGATGTTCAGACTCTCCTGGGCCATGCACTCACCCAGTGTCTCTCTCATGTTCTTATAGAGGTTGATTGAGTCTGTGTCCTTCATAAACTCTCGGACCACCTCTCCCTGGTCGTTCTCCACCACCAGCACCTCCTCTGGCTTGGCCATCCGGCTCACCATCAGCGTACGCACCTGTGTTACCGGGCAGACAACATGCCAGAGACTATTAATGGACAATCTAAAAGTAATCCTATCGTATCACAGACAGACACCATGGTGAGGCAGGGACTGTCAATAAGAAACACAGTAGAACATAAAGGTTGTGTTCAGTTGGGAGAAAATGGTTTGAAGTGGTGGGAACTACATGAACATGTCCGATTGTAACACATTTTTGTTGTCTTTTGTAGATTGCTTTGCTACGGTGTGCCCTATGACACGACCCTGGAGGACATTGGTTTGGGGGAACCCATCAGTCTGTCTCTGAGTGTTACTCCTCACCTTTGAGAGCACGGGCAGGTAGAGGTGCCGGCGGGGGGGCACGTCAAAGTGCTGGCTCCCAGAGAGCAGGGGGGAGGTGGAGGTGGAGAAGGGGCTCTCCCTGTAGAGCTCGGCCGCCAGGTGGTTCCAGTACTCTAGACAGATCTTAAAGATCTCTGTCTCCTCCACCTCAGACACCAGCAGCATGTAGTGCAGAGCCTGGAGGGGAGAGGGGGGGGGTGATTAGAACAGAAGGTAAGGAGAATGTTGAGGATTGGGGGGTTCGGTCCATTTCAATGGTGTGTGACTTGAGGATGAAAACAAAAGGGAAAATTGGTACAGAAAATAATTGTTATAATAATGAAATGCAGATACAGATAATAGTATTTGAGGTCAAAGGTAATATTGTTCTAGCTGCAGTACAGGTTAGGTTGGCGGAGAACGAGGGGGTATGTGAAATGTTAATACGTGACTTTTATTAATGAATGTGATTGATTCATGTGTTTTTCCCCCAAAAACACATAGGAACAGTATCTCTGCTGTTATTGTCCAGTATTCATGGCATTAACGTTACCTCCATGAGTGTCTCCCTAAGGTTGGGCCTCTTCTCGATGAGCTGTCCATGCTCTTTGAGGAAGGTGCAGAGGAACAGGCTGAGGTTCTGGATGAAGTTCTGCTCGTCGTCCTTGCCGTTGGAATACGCCAGGCGGATGTTGGTATTCAGGGGGAGCATCTAACACAAAGAGAGCGATTGGGGAAAATACTGATTATTTTATGCATCAATTAGTGTTAATTCACAATATTTTTTTTAATGTAATTTTTTGCTAACTTCTTAATAGTTCTTATGATGCCTGTTAAAACACAGAGTCGTCACATATGGTATCCAGTATCCTGTTTAAAAAAATATATGTAACCAATCGGTTTGTCCTGGTCCATCATTTGGGTACCACTGCTCCAATAGAGTTTTGACAGTAGGCTTAACTGGCCAGCAGATGGCGCTATGCGTACCAGTTTTAGCCGACATGGTGCGTACCTGTTTGAGCTGACACATGGTGAGCGTAAAGAGGTTGACAAACTGCTCCTCGTACTGGTTGACGCTCACGCCGGCGATCTCCGTCAGACACTTCAGCGTCACGTTGCGGAACATGGGCACGTTCAAGAACTGGGAACAGACGAGAAGAAAAAGAGGTTAGTCAACAGGGTCGTATTCACTAGGCACCAATCAGAAGAAAACTGACTGAAACAGGGAGGGACTACTTAAACATGTCCAATAAGAAAAAGTGTTAGACCGAAGTTGAGGACACAACAGTTCACCTGACAAGACTGAATCCAAACATTACACTGTTGATTTATGTGCTTTTTACATTTACTGTACTTTGCTACATTTGCTGATAACGAAATCTGAAAATACTTGGATACATTAAGTAACATGATAATAATTGTCCTGAAAATGTGGGGTAGGTGCAACATAAAACAAAACAATTCCAAGGGTTTGAGTGAGAGGACTAACGGGTGTCTCCAAGTGGCCACACACCTCTCAAAGAAGAGTCTTCCAACTATAAGCCACTTTTTTTTGCTCTCCTAGCCGTGCTGTTGAGGAACTAGAGCAAGCACACTTGTAGTTCAGTCTTGAACACAATCCTGCATCCCCCCCATCGCACAATTACTATTGTGGTTTACGCAATCCAATAACACCCCATTATAAATCTCAATCTGGGTCAAGTGGGCATGATTTGAAAGCTTGTTCTATTGCCAACATAACTAGCTAAGTTATAAAATATGATTTTATGAGTGTTTGGCTTGCTTGTATGACATCAAAGTGGTATTTATTATAATCCTCATGTCTCATCTTTCAAAATACATAGTCATCTTAATATACAGCATTTCCCTCACTCAGACAACCAAAAAATCTAAAGTTGCCCAATTACCTGGAGGGATGGGGGCAACTTCTTGTCGCGCACGGTGCTCAAGTTCAGAACAGCTGTCAGTCAAAACCTATACAGTGCTGTGAAGTGCAGAGCCAGAGCTCTGACGTCATGTATAGCATGTTACTGTACATCCACTGCCGTTCCAATTTAGGCACTTATTAGTGGCCAAATCTAACATTTTCAGCCCGTATACAGGTACAAGTGTATGAATGTTTGCAGCAGACCAAGTCGCCGAAGCAACAAGGAGCAAATGTCTCAACCGTTCACTATATTGTTCCTCCGGTTCTTACGCACTTGCAAGCAAAACCAATGCAAGTGCGCCTTTGTGAGAGGATGCCTATAGTTAAACTGCTGTTCCGAGTTTCCACAAGCCGGTATTGCAAAATCACATCAAAAAACACCACTAAATTGCAGAGGGAGATGTTTCAATGGAACCGAGAAGAAGTAATAAGCTGATCCTTAGTCATCTAATTTTCAGTATGGGGACAGGTGCAAGTGAGTCCTCAGGAGTTGAGTTACCTTGTACACCAGAGTGCTGATCAATTTGGTCTCAAATATGTACCCCAGGGGGATCCAGTTCAGGAAACGCAGGAGAGTTTCGAGTGTGGCTTGGACCAGGGGGGCATTCTGGGAGTTTTCCTGCAGAAACATTTGGCATATAACATGTGTTGGGTATTCAACATGTGTGAATGTGTTTTTCCAAAGTCAATTTCATATCAAGACAGTTTAGAGTCCCTGAGCCATTTGCTTACCATGACAAACTGGCAGAGCTGGAATATTTGCGAGAATTCATTGCACATGCTGAAAAATATAAATAAACAATCATTACTAAATAGCATTTCAGTGTACAATTCCATCTTATCTACCCATGCTTTCAAATAATGTGTTGATAAAAATGGCACAATGCATTTGCCATGAAGAGACTGGTAATGATACCAACCACTAATACTCAGGGAAACAGACTCTTTGCAATACACAGTACATCTCCAAGCAGCCAAAGCATTTATTGTATAAATAAGCATTTAAATGTACTGTGTACACTACATTGTATCCTGTGCATTTGACAAACTTTAAAAAGTTATTAGGTAGCTGGATAGGAGATGTTATGTACCTGTCCTTCAGGTGCTTGGCCTTGACCTGGGTCATCTGTCCGCTGGAGAAGTCAAACACCTCCTCGCTGAGCAGCTTGAGGATGATCATGTTGTTCTGACACAGGCTCTCGCTGGTGCGGCTGGCACCCACGATGTCACTGATGAAGGTGGGCCAGTGTTTGGGCCACTCCTGCTTCAGGATCTACACAAGCAGATGAGACACGTTGAGTTTGATTGTTTCGGTTTTATACCATTTCTAATGACAGGACAGACGTGTGTGTATGTGTTTAAGTTTTTTTTCTCTTCTCTTTTTACCTGTACGAGGATCATGTTGAGTTTTGCAATGTACACTCCATCTTTCTGAAACACAGATGAAAAATGCAGATGAAATTTGGGAACGAGCACAGAATTTCAACCATTGCAGTGAGAACAGAGTCAAACAAACACAGGAAAGACTCTTTACCTCGACATTTGCGGCATCAGATGAGGTCTTGATAATCAGACCAACGACATACTTCTTTATTCCTGAAAACATGAGGAAATGTTCATGACTCAACATTGTCAAAGATCAAATGTTTTTGTCTGCATAACACAATACATTAGCAAGAGATGTAGTCTAGCCATGTTGCTATTCCATTATCTTAATGTTGCTGTTCATTTGCAAGGTTGGTGTCTCACGCATGGCCCTAATATTGTTGTGTTATTCCTAACAGCCTATCCAGCAGGTGTTACCTTCACATTGATTTCTGGGGAGAATCTTCCAGCGTGTTTTGATCACAGTCTCCAGAATTTGCAGTGCATAGTACTGGAATGGAGAGGGAGAGGCTTAGACTACCAGGATAGGCATATGACTCACAACTGTATCTCATTTCCACTAATAAGACAGATCTTGTATCTTTGATATACATTGGATAAAATACATCAAAAGCTGACAAATGTAATAAACAAGATCTATGCATCTCTATGGATCCAACTGGACTGCCAATGCCTGGCTGTAATGATATGCTTTTCAATGTTGGCTTATAACTTCCTCCTGGTTTAGAGGATGAAAACCGATCACTGGGAATGCATCACTGGCACGCATACTTTAGTCTTCATGTTCTGAGAAAACTCCAGGATGGTGTCGACTCGTGTCCATGCATCTGGGTGATCCTTCAGGTTGGTCAGCACCTCCTGTGCCATGCGTTGCTGTGGAAGACAAGGAGAGAGAAACTGTTCTGCGATCTGTGTGGCTTTAAAAGGTGTAATCCGCAGTTGAAACAATAAAGTAGGAACCCCGCCTCTGTTTTTGTTAAAAGGGATGGAGAAATGTAAACATTCAAATTCATAGACAGAGCAATGGATGCAAGGACTGACCTTCCATTATATGAACATGATAGTTTTAACCATGTTCAGGCTATACAGTGTTTGTTTACGTTTACATTGTTTACAAACATGGGAGTAAAATACGTTTAGATTATGCTACGCCACGCCCACGGACGTTAGTTTCTTCACCACAATGAGTCTGGAAATCTATTCTAGAGCGTAGGTTTGGTCCCAGAAACCAAAGGGTTGGGCCCAGAGCGTTTGAAAATGCGTCATTGGCTTTGATACTCAAAGCCAATTAGAGATTATCCAATCACTGATGACTTTGTTTTTGTACAACACCCCTGATTTTGAAGTCACCACAAACGGCCTCAATGATGGCAGTCTCAGACTGAAGTATGTGGCAACGATAGAGCAGCAGGAGGGCAAAGTGCAGCTCTCACCTGTGATCCGACATCATAGTACATGGAGTTGACTACATTGTCCAGCAGATTGATGTCCAGCTTTTGACTGAAGTCTAGCAGCTGTCTTGCTGCATGATCTGCCAACATTGTCATGTTTGCTGGCATAGAGCTCTAGGAATGGAGGGGTGAAGGGAAACATGAGAACAAATGACAGAACTTAACTACAGACAGACAAATATAAATAAAACCTAACCAAAAGATCAAAACAAATGGCTGATTAAATATATGGCCACTGTCCAAATATATTATTTTCGCCACCTACATTGCTACCTCTGGCTACACCCACCCACATGTAACAACAATGGCGAAATATTGAGTTTGACTAAAATTGCGAAATCACTCGCAAGCCTGTAAACTTGAATAGACTGGGAAACAGCGACACCATGGACCACAATTGGTACTTAAGGCGCGTTCAAGTGCTAGTCGGAATTAGGAAACTGGAAAATGTCCGACATGCTAACTGGTTTCAACCAGCGTTCAACCACTTCCAAGTCGGAAATGTCCGAGTTTTCTAGTTCCGACAAACACATGAACATGGCAATATAGCAACCCCTCCCTCCATACAGCAATTCAACAGTGCTGCTATGGCTAGTTGATCACGTTAGCGTGCTTGCTAACGTTACTGTTTAACTTAGCGTTTACTATTGTTAGCTAACGTTTCCTCTATTGTGTATCCAAATTAATTACATGTCTAGATTAACTGATCAAATTTGACACAGGTCTATTGATTTTTATTAACTAGCTAGCTTATCGCATAAACTAACGTCTGGCTAATGTAGCCATGTTAAGCTTGTAAGAGAATCAATTAAAATTAAGAGACTTGACTCACTCGTATTAACAAAATATTAAGTAATGTTCACAATTCTAGATAGCTATCAAGCTAGTGTGGATATAACAGCCAGCTAGCTAGCCAGCTAACACTAGTTAGCCAGCTAGCTATTAGCATTAGCTAACGTTAGCTATCATACCACCCAAACTCAAGAGATTCCACCCATTTAGCTAGCTAACCACCTAGCTACCAAACTTACCTTGTTTATTTAGTCTTTCCGCTGTAATGAAATAAAAAACGATTTTTGCTCTTATTTTAAAACTCTCGTCTGGCTGGATGTCAGGCTATCTCATGGCACACGTTCCAGTGTGTTTGACATTCGCTAGCTAGCGTCCTGGCTAATTAGCTAGCCAAATGATTGCTGTCCTGCTAGCACTGATAGCACGCCGTTAGCTGTATGTCCCGCCACTGAAGCGAAGTTTCAGTATGATAATGTACATTTAGAAATTTACCATATACCAAATAAATGTCCACGGACTAGTCTAGAAGTATCTTAGTAATGATGAAGTCGTTGCTGACGGCGAGAACTATTATCAAGTTAGCCTGCTAATGCACAAGTCAATCACTTAGCTTCCCTTGGCTAGCTAGCTAACAATTTACGGAGTCACACGTATTGCGTTATTCCGGTTCATAATCACAAAATAAAAGAATCTTGAGTTTATTATTGGTTCTATTCGTATATAATGTTTGATAGCAGGGCTTTGTAAGAGCGTGTAAGCCAGCTCTTCCTCTCATCTCATGCTTCGAAACCCAAGACCGGTTGAAACCGGTTAAGACTGGGATATTCCATCTAGGTTTTTCGGCCCATGGCGCCGCGTAAAATTTGGACTATGTGCACGCCCTTGAGGGATCCGATTGGTTTGTCATAAAACTGTTCAAGGGTTGTCCTGTTATTTTACGGGCTGACGATGCTGTCAATCAAAATGAACATCCTTCCTTCAGGACCCACGCGGCTGTGTTTTTCCTTGGTCTGGGGGGTCCACACACCCCAAAACATATATCAATTTTGGTTGGTACATTATGATTTATTGCCACATTTTTATGCAAAACTAGAACAGAAATCTAAATATCCCATAATGTACATGAAATACATAACACCTTTATGTTCCCCAATGTTACGTATATATGCGATGATTTAAAAAAATATGATCCTGAAATATATTGCAAATGTTAGGCTACATATATTTTGTCACAAAACATTGACAAATAAGTGACTAAAGAAAGTGTATCAAAAGTAAGTGGTCACAGTATTGTATTTCCTGCATAGTAGCATATCACAAGACAAAGAATACCCTAAACTGTTCAATGTGACAATTTTTATAACCATAGCCTACTACTACAACTGACTTTGGTCTGTGTCTCACACTAAATTGTTTTTGCAAAAAAATAATGTAATAAACATGAAATTAACCAATTTTATTTACAAATTTCACATTATGTATGTATATAGTTATCCTACAATACATTTAGCCTTTTTTATAATAGAAGCATCTCTACCACTGTGTGTCAGTGTTGTAGACGTTTGTGCACACTGTAGTACTGCCTAACTGTGAGAAAATGCACTCCTTTGACTTTTCAGTCATCCTCATCACTTTTCTTGTCTGCTATTGCTGTGTTTTTTTCCCCATCACTCTCTGACTTCTGACTGTTTCGGCTGTGCTGGCCGCTTCTATAGCTTGGGCTGCTCTGGGAACTCTTGGGCCTTTTGATGATGTCACTCCCTTCATTATTTTCATCTTCCAGGGGTAAGTAATGCTCACTGGCATCTGAGTAATGGTCATCGTCATCTGAGTAATGGTCATCTGAGTTATCTCCATCATCTGAATAACGCCCAATGTCCTCCCTCTCCCGCCCTGCTTCATCATGGCCTCCATCCTCATCTTCCTCTTTTTTGGACTTTAATTCATCTTTCTCAGCCTCCTGCTCTCCTTCCTGTTCTTGGTCAGCAAAGCTGTCTTCATAATCGTCTGGGTAGTCATCCTGGAAAACCATGTTGTAAATAGCCTGTGTATCTGTCTCATCCTTTTCACTGAGAAAACAAAATTAATAAACACTTAACACAAAAAAGATAAACCATGGTATTGTTGAATACTCGTTTCTGATTGGCTTGAATGGCATTCTAGAGTGTGCATTATTTCAGCACGGTAGAATTCAATAGCTTTAGTTCATTCTTACATGTTCTATGTTTGAGCTGCTTTTGAACGCAAAAGTCGAATTGAAAACATTATTGGCATTGTTGAATTCTTTTTTTATGATAGCAAGCTAGGGTGTGTTCGTAAATTCAATATGGATTGCCAGAGTGCGCTCTGGGCGTTCGTCAATTCAGAGCGTTGTCAGATTGTGTGTTCGTCAATTCAGAGCGTTTCGCTCTCGGAGCGTTCAGAGCGCACACCTGGACGCTCTGGCCAAGGAGCGTTCTGACCTCACAACCGCAGTCAAGCACCCAACTGGCTAAAGTTAGCTAGCTACTTCCAGACACAAATGAGAGAACACCTCACTCTGACCATTTTACTCGCCCTAGCAGAGCTGGTTAGGCTGTTTTCATGTTACCCAGATCGTTGGTGACTGTAACTGTGCTGCTGGCAACAATTTCATGACGTTTTTGACACCGGCCATATTCCACCCGTGTTGAGCGTTCGTAAATGCATCAATTATTCTGCGCTTAAACTGATGTTTTGGCTAGCTAAACAAGCAAGTATGTTTGATTGGTTACCAAGGCAACTACTGTAGCTAGCTAGTAAATGTGTTAAATTATAGCCATGGTATAAAAGGGATAATAAACTCGGGGCTCTATGCGTTCTCTGGGAAATAATGCACACCTTCCACGTCATTCATTATTTTCCAAAGAATGCATAACCCCTCATTGATTATCCCTTACACATGGCTCAACTACTTTGAAATAATATTTATATTGATTATTGTTGGGATCTATTTTCTTATAATTAGATGTGGTGCCTAGCTTAAAAAGAATACATTAATGATTAAACATAATAGGTTTGTGCTGTACTGATATAGATTGTTTAACATAACAAGCTGTGACTAATGTGAGGAACAGTTAGGGGGGAGGCTGAGATATACTTGTGACACACACACACACTGCCTCTTTGTTAAACCGCTCAAGGACATGTGTATTGCAACAATGAAGAAGAGGAAACTATGTCTGAGGGTTGCTGACTCTCGAGACAAGTTGCAAAAAACAACTAATGCCCGGCAACAGTGAAGCGCCAAGGGCCTGGGACCAGCCTGTGCGCCAACGATAGGCTGAGTAAGTTTAAACCACGCTCAGCCTCTACTCTGACAGGCCCCATTTGAACGGGAACTATCTCTGTCAGAGTATTAAAAGAGGTGTTACAGTGAACCCGTATATACGAAAATTGCATTTACCATATTTATTCGCTTGACTAATTATATTAATAAAAAAGCTGAGAATATATTCAGTGACTTAGTGTTAAATTCTGTTCTGATACCAGATTCGAATTACGCAACTTAACATTATGAGGAACTTTCCGACTGTGTTAAATATGTTATGTATTATATGTCTATTCACTATTTATCACCATCGAAGACTATAATACTGAAAACAAGATCTAAGACCACAGCACAGGTGGTGAAGTAGGCCTAAAACATGTTTGCAATGTGATACTGTATTGTCTTTGTAGAGATTTTGACTAATGAAGTATTAATGTATCATTCACTGTCATTGAGCCAGAAGTCTACCTTTGTTTGGAGTCACTGGAGAAAGAGGTCCTGCATGCAGATTCTTGGCCACCTGGCCACTGGGACTTGGGCACCTTGCCACTGACAAAGTCCTCACTCAGTCCACAGCCTCGCAGGGTGTCTGTGTAGCGCTTCTCTGCAGCGTGTTTGGCATTCATCTGTCAACAGACAGAAGTGAAAAATAGCATACACCATGACCAGTTATGGGAAAATAGTTTATATATTTATTGTGTGAATGAGTGGTTTGAGGAGATGAGGAAACGAAGCCACTTATAACTACTGAAATGCAACCCATGTCATGTCACTCCACAACTCACACGTGTGTGTGTGTGTGTGGGCCGTTTCAGGCTCACCTGTGCGACCTGCTCCAACAGCAGAGGCCTCCCCTTCACTCTCTCCTGGATCTCCCTCATCTCTTCCTTGTACTCCTTCCTCCGCTGAAAGTCCTGCTTCCTGTTTGAAAACACACAGGCAACCTTTCACCCCTGTGATCCTACAACCCTCAGTCCTACAATAACCCTCAACCCTAACCTATTCAACAAAACATCACTTTTACAACGGCAGCTTACTGTTACTGATATGCAAATCATTCCTAAACAATTACGTGAAACTAAAATTGGGATAAGGAACAAAAGGGTATCCACACATTAGTATGTTTTTTATGTATTTTATAAAACAATGAAGAGATCCATCCATATTATTCAAAATAATATCCTAGAAAAAGAGTCACAATTGAGACTATTGAGGCAATGTTCCATTCAGTCTTTAGGTTTGCAATTCCACTCATTATTTTCATATGAAAAGACCCAGACATCAGATAGATCAATTGTTGTTAGGGGGGGGGGGGGCTGTGGAGTGGGTGCTCGTACTGGTCTCAGGTGGGGTGAGTTTCTTGGTTGCTACAAGTATAATTGTAATGTTATGGGTACCTGAACTGCTTGAGCTTGGACTGGTTGGTCTGGGAGAGGGGCACGTGAGCGTCGTTGGCTTGGGCGCACTTCGAGACCACCTTTGCGAGCTTCTTCACTCTCTGCTTCTGTCTCTCACTCCATCTCTCCTCCTCTTCCTCTGCCTTCTTTCTCTGCTCAAGCACCTTTCTATTCAAGGAGGCAAGGCAGTCATCGATGACAGGAAGGCATGGGTGGAGGAAGGACTTTGTCAAAAGGGAAAATAAATGCCAAGGGCACTAGAAGTAGGACTAGGGGGGTAATAATGTCAAGAGGTTGGGCATTTGCTTGTTTTGGAGCTGGGAGTGTATAGGATGTCCATAGGGTATAGGAAGTCCACAGGATTCAACAGACAAGGGTTTCAACTTTTAGAACATAACTATTCCCAAAAAGAGCAACTAAAGGTCTTCTGAAGCTCTGACTAGCTGGTCTAAAAAGGAGACGCCAATTGCTATTCTATGTGGGTAGTACCTCACGGCCTCTTGGCGTTTTTTGCTGGCATCGGTGACTTTGGCAGGCAGCTGTTCCAGACTGCCTGAGAGGGAGGAGCAGAGGCTAGAGTTGTGTGAGCGGACAGGCCCAGCTGTGCTGACATAAGGCCAGCGCTTGGCCCGGGGACTCATCTGCTCCTTCTCGATGTCGGCCAGGATGCGTTCGCGGTGCGAGGGGATCTGTGACGTCCGGAGCTGAAACGGCTTGCACGTCGTCAAAGGCTTCACGTCGCGCCGGCTCTCCAGCTGCTTCTTGAACCTCCTGTAGCTGGCGTCGAAGTCGGGCACCTCCGGGTTTATCTTGGGCCTGTAAGGGGCGCTGTTGTCATCCTCGGATCCAGCGGTGTCCCCCCTGGCTTCATCCTTGGCCCGCTTCCTTTCGCTGAGGTGGCGTGCCAGCATGCTGGGGGGCATTGAGGCGCTGTGGAGCAGCTCCTGGGCCCTCATCTGCATCTTGATGGCACGGTACAGCTGCTCCTCCTTCAGTTGCTCGCCCGACGCCGCCTCGTACACCGCCTTGGGCACGGGCTTGGCCCTGAATGGTCGGACTCTCTCCTGGCTGATTGGCTGGAGGTTGCGGAGCTGCTCCTCTCTCTGCTCCCTCTTGAGACGTTCGCGTTCCAGGAAACTGAAGGGCCGCTGGGTGGAGCACAGACGCTGCTGCTCGCGCTCGCGCATGGCCCGCCGCGCCTCGTCGCGTTCGTGGAGCTCCTCGTAGAGGGGCAGGCGCACGTGGGCGGGCACGGAGCTGGCACGGAATTTGTGCTGGCACTCGGTCAGCTCCTCCAGCTGCTTCCGCAGGGCTGCGTTCTCCAGCTCGATCTCTGACCGTGTCTTGACACCTTTTTGGCGCTTCTGGTTCTCCCGCAGCGTCATGTGGAATGGCTTGGGGACGGTCACTCTGGGTTTCCAAGGCTCGTGTTTGACATCTTTGCGCCCTTGCTTCCGGTCCTTACCCTTGATGCCTTTCTTGTGGCCCCCAATGAGACTCTGGAGGGAGGATGTGGACGGGTGGCGCTGGCGAGGCGACAGCTTGAAGTCCTGCCACATGTTCTTGATGTGCTCTTTGGGGGAAGACTGCAGACCCTTCTCCACATTGTTGTCGACAGCACCTTCCTCGTCAGATGTGTCTGACAGCCCAGAGCCCCTCCTCAGTTCCAGAGCTGAGTGGGCCTTCCTCAGACGCCTCACGGGCATGGGGCTGATCTTCAAGTACGATCTGGTGAACGAACAAAGACTTTGCACCATTAGAATATTCATTGACATGTTAAAAATGGTAGACGCTGAGTACAGTACACCCTCCAGGAGCAGAAATAATCTACCCTATCTATCTTGGTGGTTAATTAAGAAAAACAACAAATTCCAAGCAAGAGCAACAACACACCTGTGTGCCTGTGCCCCCTTCACGTTTTCTGAGGGTGGTGCGCCTTTGAGCTCCAGCTTCTTGCGGTACATGCCCTCTAGCTCGGCCATGGTGCGGAGGTGGGCCCTCTTCAGCTCCTCCAGCTTGCGGTAATACTCCTCGTTGGAGAAGTAGAACTCACGCAGGTCGATGTGGTCCCCCGTCACTCGGTAGTCTTTGATCATCAGGGGGCTACCCTTCCCGGGGGCATCCCCATCACCGTACTCAGACCCCGAGTCGTCATACTGCAGCTGAAAAGTTAAAGAAAGTCATGAGGAAAATGAAGCAACAAAAAACATTTATGTTGTGCACGGATTGTGGAGCATGTGTCTGTGGAATCCATTCCATACAAATAATAAATGTAGCCTACAAAGGACACTATTGGTCAGTAAGCTATTGGAAGCAAAGGGTATAGGATTGTGGCTGCAAGGAAGAAAGAGCCTTTCACCTGTATTTCTATGACTTTCAGATATTTCTTGAAGGGGTGGCCCAATATGTGTTAATATGCCAAATGTATGGAAGTGTATCATCATACATCAGATTAGAACATCAACAAATCTAAGAGTAGTACTGATGACTGGACATATTGTAGATGGTTAAGGCATAGGCCTAATATGAAGTGTGTAGAGTAGAGCATAATATGAGATGGCTACTTGAGGCCTAAGCTCATTATCCCCAGCTCTGTGGGTTTGGATGACCTATCCATATGGTCACGCACAGAAGGTGGGTGATAATGGAAGGAGTGGGTGTTCAACTGTTACACTAGCTGCTCTGCCTCCAACCATCTCCATCTTTTTTGTTCAGGTGATGAATGGATGAGATCAAATCATACATTTACAAATATTAAGAAAATAAGTCTAAAGCTTGGACAAGCAATTCTAACGAGCATCCTACTGATTACAGTACAAGCCAGATCAAAATGAATGTACTTTATAAATAAAAAACAATTTGGAGATGCCCAGATGTAGGGCAGATCCTTGTCCAGTGAGGAAAACAAAATGGGATTTGAAATAATGTTGTCCAAAGGAAATTAAGCATTTAGGATTACTGGCACTGTGACATCAGTGTAATCTAGTAAAGGAGGCAAGCCAAAAATAGGCCAGTAATAAATTATGCAGGTCAAATCCCCTCCCACAGAGGCAGGTTGACCTGAAAACAGTAAAATCTCAGTAGTAACATTTGAGAACAACATACATTTTATGAGAATCCACCGACATAAGTAAATGCTTGACCTGAATTCTCCCAATCTTTACCATAAGTCTGACATTAAAGATAATATTAATTCATGGAATCTCCACTTAATTTACATCACTATCCAGTGTCATAGGATTGTATAGGCTATAAGTTAGGCCTACTTACATCAATTTAGATGTTCGGTAGCAATGTATGATCAATATGTTTTATGAATAGGCCATCTAGCAGATCAATGAGGGAGGACCAAAGAATTAGCCTATTTTGGAATTTAGAACTATGAATGTAAAAGAAAAAAAACATGTAGGGTTTCTATGTGCAACTGGTGTTCCATTCCTCTCCAGATCAACATAATGAATGAGGGTATAACATTGATCTATTGGTTAGTGGGATGAATGACATCTTGGCAAGTGTTGGATGGTGCTCCAGTCCTCTGTCCACCAGTATGATGTATTTCATCCAATAATTTCAGATTATTTCTTGATTGTTTTGCTCAGCTTTCAAATACAAAACTAATCTGCCGATATTTTACCTCTTTTTCGTAGTCTCTATTGTGAATATGACCAGCTGCTGACGAATATGGAAGGGCTCGCTGCCTTTCGTACAACGCCAACGGAGCCTTGGTGTGTGGGTCTACCGGCGTTTTCAAACAGGAGGTAACCAGGACGTTAGCGCGATGTGCATTCGCCATTGTTTCCCCTGTTTCTGCTTTATTTGTCAAAGTTTAATTTAGTAGAGACTCTACAACTACTTGGCAAACGCTATCAAAAGCACAGAAGGCGCTCTCCCGAGCAACAGCGTCGCGTGGTTGTGAAGGAAGTGACTAGCTGTTTCAGGAAGTGAAGAGTTAACGGACCAACATGGCCAGCCAGTTGCCTCAAACTACACTGAAGAAAAATATCAACGCAACATATTAAGTGTTGGTCCCATGTTTAATGAGCTGAAATAAAAGTTCCCAGAAATTTTCCATATGCACAAAGAGCTTATTTCGCTCAAATTTTGTGCACAAATTTGTTTACATCCCTGTTAGTGACCATTTCTCCTTTGCGAAGAAATGGATCCACCTCACTGGTGTGGCATATCAAGAAACTGATTAAACAGCATGATCATTACAAAGGTGCAACTTGCGTTGGGGACAATAAAAGACCACTCTAAAATGTGCCGTTTTATCACAACACAATGACATAGATGTCTCAAGTTTTGAGGGAGCGTGCAACTGGCATGCTGACTGCATGTCCACCAGAGCTGTTGCCAGAGAAATTATTGTTCATTTCTATGCCATAAACCGCCTCCAACAGAGAATTTAGCAGTATGTCCAAACACAGACTACGAGTGTGGCGTCATGTGGGCGAGCAGTTTGCTGACGTCAACGTTGTGAACAGAGTGCCGGTGGGGTTATGGTATGGGCAGGCATAAGCTATGGACAATGAACACAATTACATTTTACAGATGGCAATTTGAATGCACAGATACCGTGAAGAGATCCTAGAGGCCCATTGTCGTGCCTTTCATCCGCCACCATCACCTCATATTTGAGCATGTTAATGCACAGCCCCATGTCAAAAGGATCTGTACACAATTTTTGGAAGCGGAAAATGTTCCAGTTCTTCCATGGCCTGCATACTCACCAGACATGTCACCCATTGAGCATGTTTGGGATGCTCTGGATCGACAGCGTATTCCAGTTCCCGCCAATATCCATCAACTTCGCACAGCCATTGAAGAGGTGTGGGACAACATTCCATAATTAGCTAGTTAATTTATTTCAATTGACTGATTTCCTTATATGAACTAACTCACTCAAATCTTTTGAAATTGTTGCATTTATACTTTTGTTCAGTATACATGCAACATTCAAGTTTTAGCAGTAGCTTTAAAATGCTCCCGTAATTTCCCCACCAGATTATTCATGCCAAAAACATGGCATTTCTTAATCCTAACACTTTATTCAATTTCTAAATTGATAACTTTCAGTCTAAGGTTTTTATAGGCATAAAATAAACTAAGGTTGAGCGCATGACCCACAGATTGATTTATGTACTTAACTGGCTAACAGTAGCTACTAAGGGTAAATTATAACCTACATTTATTTTTGTTTTGTTGTTACAAACTGGTAACCAGAGACGTTCAAGGGAATTCGGGACATGGGTGACTAGTTAACGTTAGCTTGGCTCTCCCTGTGTTTCGTGCCGTGGGAGGAGGGGTTGGTTCGTTGGCAGAGAGCAATGGCTAGCTAGTATGCTAACTATTCTAGCTAACTAACTGGCTGAATAAGTTGACGAAGTACTCACTCAAACTGTCAAAACTAACCCAAAACTTTACACAATGTTAGACACGGACACAAATGATCTGTTTGGCGTGTTAACACACTGGTGGTTTGTTGTAACCGAGTATTGGTGCTAAACCGTGTTATTGGAGGCTGGCATGCTAGTTGCTATGGCGTCATAGGATTCGGTGCCCTGGACGGTTTTCACGAAGGAATACTGTACCACGTTAGCTAGTTGAATAAACTAAGTTAGAGTCTATTCCTAGAAAACATTGAACCGCTGTAGTTTACAACAATTATAATTTCTAAAGTGGAAGTTGGGAAAGTTATATTTGAGTGTTTCAGTGAAACGTAAGTGAGGGAGGCCCCGCTCTCTCGCTTTCCCAGATGTTTAGTTCATTTCATTCCGATCTCCTTTGCATTATTGTAGCCTTTTTCTGTAGCCTGTCAACTATGTGTCTGTCTATCCCTGTTCCCTTAGAGAGTTCATCAATGAGCTTGACGCCTTGATAAGTTCCTTTCCTGAGGATGGCTCACCCCACACAGTTCTGGGTGACTTTAACCTCCCTACGTCTGCCTTTGACTCATTTCTCTCTGCCTCCTTCTTTCCACTCCTTTCCTCTTTTGACCTCACCCGCTCACTGTCCTCCCCTACACACAAGGCAGGCAATAAGCTTGACCTCATCTTTACTAGATGCTGTTCTTCTACTAATCTCACTGCAACTCCCCTCCAAGTCTCCGACCACTACTTTGTATCCTTTTCTCTCTCGCTCTCCTCCAACACTACTCACTCTGCCCCTACTCTGATGGCAATGTGCCGTCGCAACCTTCGCCCTCTCTCTCCTCTTCCATCCTATCATCTCTTCCCTCTGCTAAATCCTTCTCCCTCCGATCTCCTGATTCTGCCTCCTCAACCCTCCTCTCCTCCCTTTCTGCATCTTTTAACTTTCTATGTCCCCTATCCTCCCGGCCGGCTCGGTCCTCCCCTCCTGCTCTGTGGCTTGACGACTCATTGCGAGCTCACAGAAGAGGGCTCCGGGCAGCCGAGCGTAAATGGAGGAAAACTAGACTCCCTCCTCTCTACATTCTCTTCCTCTGTTTCCGCTGCTAAAGCCACTTTCTACCACTCTAAATTTCAAGCCTCTGCCTCTAACCCTAGGAAGCTCTTTGCCACCTTCTCCTCCCTGCTGAATCCTCCTCCTCCTCCCTCTATGTGGATGACTTCGTCAACCATTTTGAAAAGGTTGACGACATCCGATCCTCATTTATTAAGTCAAATGACACCCTGCTCACACTACCCTACCCTTTGACTTTTCTCCCCTCTCTTTCCAGATGAAATCTTGCGACTTGTGACGGCCGGCCACCCAACAACCTGCCCGCTTGACCCTACCCCCTCCCCTCTTCTCCAGACCATTTCCGGAAACCTTCTCCCTTACCTCACCTCGCTCATCAACTCATCCTTGACCGCTGGCCATGTCCCTTCCGTCTTCAAGAAAGCGAGAGTTGCACCCCTCCTCAAAAATCCTACACTCGATCCCTCCGATGTCAACAACTACAGACCAGTATCCCTTCTTTCTTTTCTCTCCAAAACTCTTGAGCGTGCCGTCTCTAGCCAACTCTCCTGCTATCTCTCTCAGAATGACCTTCTTGATCCAAACCAGTCAGGTTTCAAGACTGGTCATTCAACTGAGACTGCTCTTCTCTGTGTCACGGAGGCTCTCCTCTGCTCTTATCCTTCTAGACCTATCCGCTGCCTTTGATACTGTGAACCATCAGATCCTCCTCTCCACCCTCTCCGAGTTGGGCATCTCCGGCGCTGCTCACTCTTGGATTGCGTCCTAACAGGTCGCTCCTACCAGGTGGCGTGGCGAGAATCTGTATCCGCACCACGTGCTCTCACCACTGATGTCCCCCAGGGCTCAGTTCTAGGCCCTCTCCTATTCTCTCTATACACCAAGTCACTTGGCACGGTCATATCCTCACATGGTCTCTCCTATCATTGCTACGCAGACGACAATTAATTTTCTCCTTTCCCTCTTCTGATAACCAGGTGGCGAATCGCATCTCTGCATGTCTGGCAGACATATCAGTGTGGATGTCAGATCACCACCTCAAGCTGAACCTTGGCAAGATGGAGCTGCTCTTCCTCCCGGGGAAGGACTGCCCACTCTATGATCACGCCATCACGGTTGACAACTCCATTGTGTCCTCCTCCCAGAGTGCAAAGAACCTTGGCGTGACCCTGGACAACACCCTGTCGTTCTCCGCTAACATCAAAGCAGTGACCCGATCCTGTAGGTTCATGCTCTACAACATTCGCAGAGTACGACCCTACCTTACACAGGAAGCGGCACAGGTCCTAATCCAGGCACTTGTCATCTCCCGTCTGGATTACTGCAACTCGCTGTTGGCTGGGCTCCCTGCCTGTGCCATTAAATCCCTACAATTTATCCAGAACGCTGCAGCCCGTCTGGTGTTCAACCTTCCCATGTTCTCTCATGTCACCCCACTCCTCCGCACACGCCACTGGCTTCCAGTTGAGGCTCGCATCTACTACAAGACCATGGTGCTTGCCTACGGAGCTGTGAGGGGAACGGCACCTCCTTACCTTCAGGCTCTGATCAGACCCTACACCCAAACAAGGGCACTACCTCTGGCCTGCTAGCTCCCCTACGGAAGCACAGTTCCCGCTCAGCCCAGTCAAAGCTATTCGCTGCTCTGGCACCCCAATGGTGGAACAAGCTCCCCCATGACAGCAGAGTCACTGACCACCTTCCGGAGACACTTGAAACCCTACCTCTTTAAGGAATACCTGGAATAGTATAAAGTAAACCTTCTTCCCCCACAATAAAATAAATAAAAATAAAGTGCTTGTCCCACTGGCTATCATAAGTTGAATGCACCAATTTGTAAGTCGCTCTGGATAAGAGCGTCTGCTAAATGATGTAAATGGTTCATGGTGATATCTTATCTACCCAAACCAGGGTTGACAGTTGACTGCCAATACCACCTGTCGTTAACACCATGCCGTTAGTGTCATGACACTAGCCTGAGATTTAAAGATTAACTGCTTGTCAGTGGGGTCAGTCACTGAGGGAGCCCAAGGAAGAAGTAAACAAAAGGCACAAAGACAAGACATGGAGTGTCAAAAAAAAAGAAGTAACATTTATTAAATTACAGAACGCATCAACTACAGAGGACTTCTGGACATACGGGTCTTAGCAAGCAGCCAGTCCTATGACTCCTTGTGGCACAAGCAGGTGCAGTAACACAGGTTGGGTTCTTGCTATATTGACAAATCTCCTTATCGGGTGTTCACCTGCAAGACAAGGGGAAATACGTATTACCTTACAAGGACACAGTTGAAGTGAAGCGGGAGCTTTCAATTTATATAGTGTTGTGCCATACTAAAATGGGCATACAAGACATAATGCAGGTGAATGAGATGGCAGATCTCCACTAGTGACACCATAGGGTGGTCTGGTCTCTTACCACATCGTCAATCTTGAGGATGCTGCGGACCGTCTCGGTGGCGAGGGTCAGAGCGCTGACAGACACCAGCAGAGGCTGCACCACCAGCTCCTCCAGAATGTTGGAGATACCGCCCTGAGAGAGGAATGGGGAGATCGTTACCTCCAGGGTGTTTAACCAGGGGTGAAACATTTAGAATGTTGCAGATAGATGTATTGAGTGGAGACGAGTCAATTCCCTATTCTACATGATAGACAATCACATATCTAGTACGCAACTGTAGTAATGTAAATCTTAAATGACAAAAACTGTCAAAATGGAGGTTCTGTATCCGAGCTGGTGATTGGCTGGGCCACAAGGGAACTAGTCAATGACTAGGCAAATACGTTTACTGTGAGCACTCTAGTACACCAGGACAATGAGGTGTCGTCAAGGCGTGACTCTAGCCTCACGAGACAATCACATTGGTTCTAAATCTGAATGTTCAACGTTGCAGCCTGAGAACCAACTACGGCAGGGTGAAAATAAGCATAAAATCAAACAGAATTCAGGAGAGCGTGGCAGGGCTGTACCTTGCGGACGTTGATCCCGGCAGTCTTCTCGCCTTGGGCGTGCCTATTGCGGAGCTCTGTGACAGTGGAGATGGGGTTGAGGCCGGCGTTCTCGGCCAGTGTGGACGGCACCACCTCCAGGGCGTCTGCGTAGGCCCTCACGCAGTACGCCTCCATGCCTGGCAGCGTGCGGGAGTACTCAGCCAGACGCAGGGCCAGCTCGATCTCAGGGGCACCGCCACCGGCGATCAGAGCCCTGGGAGGAAGAGAAAAGGCATCAGTCAAGGTGAAGAGATTAAACAAAATGGGCTTTTGCGCCATTCTGATGTTAAACAAACTGATGAAAGCAAATATCAAATAGGATGTGGTAGAGCTGATCAATAGGGACATAAATCCATATTGCAATGAATTGATTTTATTAATATGCGAACGAGAAATTTACAACATGAATGTGAACCACAGTTTGTATTACCCCTTTAAAAACGAATAGTTTAAATGTAGCTATCAATTGTCCTATTTACAGTCACCCATATTAGCAAACTTTTTTTATGTCAAACTTCACATTTCTCTAGTATAGGCTACTTATCATAATAAACGATATCCACAAAATGCCCACGATAAGTGGTCGGTATAGTCGGTGTCGATAATTTTCGGTTTATCGTCCTAGCTCTAGGCTATAGTTCTACATTTTCAGATCAGTGCAGATTGAGTGAAGGATACGGGGATTGAGACGCACCCCACTGATATAGATAAGTTAACCAAACAAGGAATTTATTGAATGCATAGAAAATGGTTTATAGCAAATGACTGGTTAGCTGGTCTTAGATACTTTGGTACCCACTTCTTTTCCCTCTTTCTTCTGTTATAAAAGAGGGCGTTTTAGATCTGACAAAACTGGATGATATCAAAACGGAAATATCAAATGGTTGGTGTCAAGGTCAATTGGGATTGATCACAAGATCTGTTAAGCACATTAAAAAGGACAAAGTGCACATCCTTCACAGCCATTTTAGGTGTAGTTGTAGTCCTTCAGAGGAGTGTGTTCCTCTCAACAGGTCCAGAGCCAGGGGTGAAGCCCCTGACCCAGGTTGAAGAGAGGGTTGCTCTGTCCCCCAGAAATGGCCACTTGTGACACGGACAGCCACGAGTGGGCAAAGCTTAGAGGGATTGGTGCTTACTTTTCTATGTAATTATTACACATCTATCACTGCATGAGTCTACAGAGTGTTGGTGTTGGTCAGACAGCTGACCAGAATGGCTGCAGTACCGTACCTCTTCTTCACCAGGCAGCGGATGACACACAGAGCGTCGTGGATGGAGCGCTCCGCCTCCTCGATCACCAGCTTGTTGGAGCCGCGCACCACGATGCTCACCGTCTTACCGGGGCTGGTGCAGCCTGTGATCTATGGAGAGGAACAGGCCAGAGAGAAACAGCATGAATTCACTTTCAATGGGAAATGGAGATCAGACACATGCCAATGTTATCTTAGAATAAGCTTTTCTAAAACATTCAAATTGATATTACAACAAACATTTACAGCAAAGAACTTTCACAATTTCATTTATGGAGGTTGGAATACACATAGGCTACATGCAATCCCTAAAATCGTCACTGTTTTCAATGACCATTAACAAATAACACAAGGGTATTATCATTAGGATAAAACATGGGTATTTTGACGAGTCTTTTCGCCACACGCATAGTTGTGATGGAAGCAAGAAAGCAGTCCCGTAGCCAAGCCTTGGAGAGATTAATTGAGCCAGACTGAGTGAATTAGCATACCTTGACCAGCTTGCCAGAGCCATCCAGGCTGACCTCCTCTGCCAGCTCGGCGGTGCCCATCATCTCTGGAAGGAACTGATCAATGTGGGCGATGGGCTTGGTGCCAATGGTCTGTAGGGGGGGGGGGGCAAGGTTAGTTCAGCTTCAACAGTCAGCATTTGGCTGTTGCAGAACATGATCTACAAAGTCAAGACCAATACAATGTTATTTTGTTTTACCTTGCAGATGAATTCAATGTCCTCCCTCTCGATCTCCTTGACCACCATGATCTTCATCTTGTTCAGGAAGTGGAGGGCCAGATCGCTCAGAGCATCTCTGAAAGAAGTGTGGGACTATCATTTAACCATGTCTACCTCTTCACGTCATCCATAAATAGAGATGCAGACAGAGGTCCACCTATGGGAAGAGTCTAATATACAGATGAACACATGGTAACAGTGCCAATACTTGCCCTTCTATTGATTACTCTCACAAATACATTTCTAGATATTGTGTGGGCGATTGGCCAAAGTGAATTGATTACGTTACGGTGATGTGACGGTAATGCATTGGGTGTTACCTGAGGATGGACTTCTGGATGAGCAGGACATTGCAGCCCGCCTTCTTGATCTGTTTGACCAGGTTTAGGATGTAGGCGCGCTCCTCGCGCAGCACGCGGTCCATCTGGGCATAGTCCGACACCACTATCTGGTTGTCCATCTGGAGACAACACGCGAGAGGGACCACAAATAAACACATATGGAGAGACAAAATAACAACAAAACAATTGTAAGAAAATTAAATGATTGAGGGTAACAGATAAAATGCTACAGTAGTCCACCATAACATCAAGAACACTGACTGACGTACATGGAAGTCAATTTCACCGAGACATAAACAGTTAGCGATTCTGATGGTCTTACGTCGGTTTTGGGCGGGGACAAGCAGAACTGGATGAGGGCGATCTTGGCCTTCTCCACACGGGACACGCTGGAGTTGACCACCTTCTGGGTCAGCACCAGGCCGTCCACCAGCTCACAGTCATCAATGGTCCCACTGCAGAGAAACACACAGATCATTATTATGGGCGGAAAATCAGGGGCAGCAGTGTCTACCTGGCTGATTCCAAACAAAGGCTCTTGGACCAAGGCAAAATCATTAACGAAAAAGTGCAATCATTTGCATTGTCGATTGAGATCAGTTTCATTTGTCTAGCCATGCGCAAGCCATTGATAAACACTCAAGTAGGACATTAGTTTTGATTTGTTGCTGGTTACACAATTATGTTTTTGTTGTGATACATTGTCAGAAGGTGACTGGCAGGGAAAGCAAAGTGGAGCCATTCTGCTAATTGACCGCCTGAGATTGATCTGGCACATCAGACATGTCCACGTCCCCACAGAGAGAGAACTGGGGAGTGAAAATGTGCCTATCCAAACTGACCTTCAACTGTTGGAAGCTGTCAGAAGCTTTAGGAAAGGTATGGTATCACACTGATCCTACATTAGTAGCCTATGGTATACTGCTGGATCATGTTCATTAGGCACCAACTGGCAGAAAAGGAACTGCTAAAGGGAGGGACTACCTGGACTTTTCCAATAAGAAAATGTTCCGTAGTAAAACGTTTTAACATTTCCTGTTGCGTGCCCTAATGAACATGACCCAGAAGTCAATCCTGCAAACAACCCTGTTTGTAATCCTAACTAAACACTTACATTTTAGTCATTTAGCAGACGCTCTTATCCAGAACAATTTACAGTAGTGAACACATAATCTGGACCCACCACCCTTCCCCTCCCTCCTCACCCCAGCTTCTTGACAATGTGGATATCGTGCAGGTCCACGCCGGTGGCGGTGGCCGGGTCGATGACGCGCATCACGGCGTCCACGCTCATCGGTGCTAGCAGGCTGGAGTACTGCGACACTACCTTGGAGCACAGCGAGGTGGTGGCGCTGTTCAGCAGTGTCTCACGGTCGCTCAGCAGCACCGGCTGGCTCATGGCCGTCAGCACCTCCACGCCCTTGTCCACCGCCTTCTGGAACGACTCCGAGATAGTGGTGGGGTGGATACCTGGTGGAGAAGAAGAGGACAGGCAGTTAGTATTAAAGCTTTAGGATGCAGGGACTCTGTTAGATTAGAACAGATTCTGGTCTAGGAGTTTATAGTGTAGTCCAGTGGTCAGCAAGCCTGGTCCTGGAGAGTGTCAACGGTGCCGGGTTTGCCCTTTTGATAACTATGCAATTGGTTCCACGTCACTTACCCTTCTGAAGCAACTTGCCGCATGCATCAAGCAGGGCACCAGCAATCACCACCACCGAGGTTGTGCCGTCACCAGCCTCAATATCCTGGGCTTTGGACAGCTCTACCATCTGAAAGACAAACAGGCAAAACATAGCGTCAAACTCCTGATATTGGTGATCTCTCAAAGGGACATAGAAGCTAGAGAGGAAAGTTACCAAAGATGCTTTGAATTATAGCTCAAATGACAGTGCCTTGCCAGATGTTAGAGCAGTAATTCAAAATTTCAACAAAGGGCCACAACAATTGTAGATGACAGTGCAGAAACTTGGGAACATATCCCCAGCTCCTTTCTCTTGAACCTTACCATCTTGGCTGCAGGGTGCAGCACCTGCATCTGTTTCAGGATGGTGGCCCCGTCGTTGGTGATGGTCACATCACCCTTCCCATCCTGAATCTGTAAGAATCAATTCCTCTTTTAGTTACAGACAAATGACCAAACCTTGAGAGATGGTGAAGAGAAGTCAAGACAGATGTTGATGTAAATGGTTACACTTAATTACCATTTTGTCCATGCCCTTAGGTCCAAGGCTGGTTCTGATGCATTCAGCAACAGCTGTCAAACCAAAAAAAATCTGTTACTTCCACAAAGACGACCCGCCCCTCTAACATTAGGATACCTTTTATGGACAATGTTTACTGCTTGACTACTGAGGGGGACAAGAACCCAAAATATTATATTGGTTAAAGAGTACATAAATGGATGCTCATGACATCAGTACAGTTCATTTTGTCAATTGTTGGTCCTCACATAGCTAGGGTACAATAATGACGATCATCTGGCCACTGATTGCTAGATAGCGCACTAATGCCAGTCACAGTGTTTGGGGCTGCACGAAGGGTGTAAAGAACAATGATTTGCTCTATAACAGATTCTAACTAACTAGGTACCAACTTGTGGCTAACGGTTGCCCTGCCCAGACTGAACCAGCAGTAGCATTCATTCATTCATTAGCAAAGGGAGTGTCGTCGCAGCAGCTGATGGTATGACAACTGTCTGGGGCAAACACAACCGTTAGGGGTAGTTATTTATTCGTCCAACAATGAAATACGAATTCTGTATTTGTAGTTTACCCTTTCCTGCGGAGATGTTACTGAACCGAATCTGTGCTGGCTTGTCACGGTCCACATATGCCCCACGTCCTTTGTTTTTCATCCCACCACTCAGCATCTTCGGTGCAGCCATTGCTTCAGGCATCCTTACTTATTTCCGTCGGAATATGTTACTAAAATACTTTTGATGGGGACAGATGTACCCCAAGACACGGAAGGGGCTGCTTGGCTTCAGATGGGTTCAGATTCTGATTTATCTCCTGCTTCATCCAGAACCTTCCAGAGCCACCGGTTACGACTCTTGTAGAAAAAGGACCCTCCTGTCAATTTCGACGGCGCCTTGATATGACGTCTTTAGCTGCCTGACGATTTGCCATGCGGGGTTATATTTGGGCTAGTAGAGCACTGTGCGCATCGAACTAGCGTTTAATTGTACATTTTAACGAATAAATATGTATATACAGTCATGTAAATGTACTGGTAGTGATATTGTATAAAATTAAAGGGACCTGTGGTGTTGATCAAATTGATCAAATCCACCCTCATCAACAGATTAATCTATCCAATTCGACTAGTTGTGTCTACTTCTGATTAAGTATTGTTCCTGTGACGTTAGCTGCATGCTTAGAAACCAAATGACTGAACCACAGAGTTTCTAAACTATCTTTGACTGAACTGTGTTCTCGCTCTACATAAACATTTGATTGTCTTACAAATACTGTAATTCATTTGCCATTCAAGGTAGGTTTATGACTTGTTGTTTTTGGCTCGCAAGCTTGTGCTTATTTGTATTCTCAGATAAAGCTATAGCTATTTTAGGAACTACAGTAGCGAGCTAGCTGCATAGGCTAGCTGCACATCATAACATCAAATGCATCAACATCCACACAGGACTGCGAGTGTGACCTAGTGCTAGCAATGTGTACACAGGTCTCAGAGCAAGCAGCTTTTTCCAGTATTGTACAGTAGTACACATGATATTTTACTTCTGGGTTAACAGAGATTATAGCGCCAATAACTCTTTGTAGTGCAAAGTGTGCTTGCAAGCTTAGCTTCAGCTACCAATGATTGTAACCTCACCCTACAGTGTGTGATATGTTATGAGCATGGTGATGTGCATATTATATTACTCTTAGATAACTTACAGTAGTACTGATTCTACTGAACTCTGTCAGCTAACTTGTTGTAGTGGGTTTGCCAGACGTAAGTGTACTTTCAACTCTCTTACTGATCTCATTCATCTATGATCTCTGTCCATTTTACAGCTGTATTATGTTGCCCCTGAAGGAGAAAGATAGACCAATAGTGAAGAAGCTGCTGGAAGCTGGATGCTGCGCCCGCTGTGTCCTGAGGTTCTGCTGCTTGGGGGTGCAGTCGGCCTACCGCCAATCTTATGAGGTCAGCGCTCTTGCTACGTTAGATTGTCTTTCCACTTAAAGCAGGGACAGACATTTCAGAGATACAAGTGCGAAGACAATTAAGTAGCTCCAACATTCTTCTTTGTATGTAGCCTCAGGCTCAGGCTTCACGTGAAAGATGCTACTTTGTAGGCAACCTATGTATTCTCCTTTAGAAGAATTGTGACCATGATCTAACTTGCTGTCATATATTGGGTGAACTGAACTGCTGGCAGACATTTTAATATATTTTTTGTTGCTGAATAATGTGTTTCTGTTTCTCATGCTCAGGATACAGCAAAGGCGCTTTGTGCTTTCATCAGTGATTCAGAGAATAATGAATCCCAAGATGCAGCCGTGCTGGAGCAGCACACAGAAGACCCCCCTAGTAAAAAAAGGAAGATGGATGCCGCGGAGACGTATGTCCAGTCAGAAGGCGACTCTGCCGTGGTTCCCACGGTGATGGAGGAAGGCGATGCCAAGCCAGCGGACTCGGACGTGTGTGTGGCGTGCCTGGGAGTTCTACAGGAGTTATGTGATAAAGCCTATGCCATAAAGGTGTGTTTGGTCACTATTAATCCTATTGCATTAGGAGCCACTTTTGTTTTACATGATACCTATGACTAAGTATGTCTTTAGGTGCGTCCCAAATTACACCCTATTCTCTATATAGTGCTGTACTTTTGACCAGAGCGGGCCCTGGTCAAAAGTAGTGCACTATATAGAGCAGGGTTCTTCAATTCCGGTCCTGGAGGGCCGAAACACCTCTGTTTTTCATCCTCTCCTTCTAATCAGGGGCTAATTCAGACCTGGGACACCAGGTGAGTGCAATTAACTACCAGGTAGAAATAAAAAACAGAAGTGTTTCGGCCCTCCAGGACCGGAATTGAAGAACCCTGATATAGAGAATAGGAGACCATTTAGGACACAACCTTGAAGATTAAAATGAAATGAAAGACCTTAGTACCTGCCTAGTGATCAAATACCCCATCATTAATCAATGCTCCAGTCTACCAGAATCTGCCTCAAATACCACAGTTTGAGGCCTAGGAGGACAGAACCAACACTGGAATTTTGGGGGGATTCATGACGCTGTTTTTGTGTGTGTGTGTGTGTGTAGATATCGGAGGTGGTGAAGGCCGAAAACTACCAGTTTGACACGATGGTACTGTCCGTCTCCCTACCGGCCCAGCTGTCTGTCAGAGAGGTCAGTGGTTACATTGTAGGCCTTGGCTGATAACTGATGTCATGCAATTGTCTACCTATCAGCTTACAGTATATTCAAATGGTTTGTCTCAAAACAACTTCCATTTAATAGAAAAGTATGATTATTTCAACCTCAGTAGATTCTGTCATAGCCACACAGTCAGTATAGCCTGGACACCAGTCGTTCTACACAGTGTGATGTGTGGCAGTGCGAGACTACTATACAGTCAATAATGCAGTATCATGTACCTGGGTTGGCCATTAGAGGGCGTAGTACCTCATAGTTAGTGGTACTGCTTCTGTCTAGACTAGAGTAGACTAAAGTGCAATTGCAAGAGCCATTGTTTCTACAGATGTGGCACTCCCATTAGGGTGTGCATGATGGATGCTTGTAAACAGACCAGCGGTTACTCAGGATGTTTCTGAACATGTGCCCTCCTCTCTCTCTCTGCCACACTCCTACAGCACTCTTGTTGGCTGCATGTAAAGAAGGAAGTGAGGTAAGTTCACTACACCAGAGTGGCATCCATCTATCTAGCCTAATTTCTTTCCATTAAATAAATCATTCTAATCCCAAAGTATCATGACATCACTACAACACATTGAAATATTAGTGTTCAATACTATATTATGCCCACACATCTTTCACGTTACCTTTTATAACGTCATGTCATGTCTTAACCCAGAAGAGTCTAAGGCGGGGGAGGGGAGGGTGGGGTTCTACTAAGCTATATGGAATTGTTTTAAGAAGGTCATACCAAGGATCATTTAGCTATTTGATTTGGAATTTTAAGACCCCTTGAAGTATCCCACAAATATATAAAACACATTATTTTATGAAAAATGTTATTTGGCCTTACTGCTATTAGCCCATACAAACGCATTGAATAACAGATTCACTACATGGAACAACAGATAGTCCCCCCCCAAAACAATCGAAAGGAAGTTTGTTCTGAAGTGTCTGTCCAATATCTGAGAGATATAAGAAAGATCAGAAAACATGTATTTGTTTAGTTATTTTTGGCACTAATTAGTCTCCATATATACTGCCACTAATTCTCTCAACTTGTACAGGGACCTTCAGACAAGTCTTGTGAGGCCTGTGGACGTCCAAGAGCAAAACAACAGACATACAGTGGGGAGAACAAGTATTTGATACACTGCCGATTTTGCAGGTTTTCCTACTTACAAAGCATGTAGAGGTCTGTAATTTTTATCATAGGTACACTTCAACTGTGAGAGATGGAATCTAAAACAAAAATCCAGAAAATCACATTGTATGATTTTTAAGTAATTAATTTGCATTTTATTGCATGACATAAGTATTTGATACATCAGAAAAGCAGAACTTAATATTTGGTACAGAAACCTTTGTTTGCAATTACAGAGATCATATGTTTCCTGTAGGTCTTGACTAGGTTTGCACACACTGCAGCAGGGATTTTGGCCCAATCCTCCATACAGACCTTCTCCAGATCCTTCAGGTTTCGGGGCTGTCGCTGGACAATACGGACTTTCAGCTCCCTCCAAAGATTTTCTATTGGGTTCAGGTCTGGAGACTGGCTAGGCCACTCCAGGACCTTGAGATGCTTCTTACGGAGCCACTCCTTAGTTGCCCTGGCTGTGTGTTTCAGGTCGTTGTAATGCTGGAAGACCCAGCCACGACCCATCTTCAATGCTCTTACTGAGGGAAGGAGGTTGTTGGCCAAGATCTCACGATACATGGCCCCATCCATCGTCCCCTCAATACGGTGCAGTCGTCCTGTCCCTTTTGCAGAAAAGCATCCCCAAAGAATGATGTTTCCACCTCCATGCTTCACGGTTGGGATGGTGTTCTTGGGGTTGTACTCTTCCTTCTTCTTCCTCCAAACATGGCGAGTGGAGTTTAGACGAAAAAGCTCTATTTTTGTCTCATCAGACCACATGACCTTCTCCCATTCCTCCTCTGGATCATCCAGATGGTCATTGGCAAACTTCAGATGGGCCTGGACATGCGCTGGCTTGAGCAGGGGGACCTTGCGTGCGCTGCAGGATTTTAATCCATGACGGCGTAGTGTGTTACTAATGGTTTTCTTTGAGACTGTGGTCCCAGCTCTCTTCAGGTCATTGACCAGGTCCTGCCGTGTAGTTCTGGGCTGATCCCTCACCTTCCTCATGATCATTGATGCCCCACGAGGTGAGATCTTGCATGGAGCCCCAGACCGAGGGTGATTGACCGTCATCTTGAACTTCTTCCATTTTCTAATAATTGCGCCAACAGTTGTTGCCTTCTCACCAAGCTGCTTGCCTATTGTCCTGTAGCCCATCCCAGCCTTGTGCAGGTCTACAATTTTATCCCGATGTCCTTACACAGCTCTCTGGTCTTGGCCATTGTGGAGAGGTTGGAGTCTGTTTGATTGAGCGTGTGGACAGGTGTCTTTTATAAAGGTAACGAGTTCAAACAGGTGCAGTTAATACAGGTAATGAGTGGAGAACAGGAGGGCTTCTTAAAGAAAAGCTAACAGGTCTGTGAGAGCCGGAATTCTTACTGGTTGGTAGGTGATCAAATACTTATGTCATGCAATAAAATGCAAATTAATTTCTTAAAAATCATACAATGTGGTTTTCTGGATTTTTGTTTTAGATTCCGTCTCTCACAGTTGAAGTGTACCTATGATAAAAATTACAGACCTCTACATGCTTTGTAAGTAGGAAAACCTGCAAAATCGGCAGTGTATCAAATACTTGTTCTCCCCACTGTATGTGTGTTCGTGAGAGTCTCGCCCAAATTAGTGTAGCCCAAACTACAGACAGAAGTTGGCAGATCTGCTGTACCGACTTCAGACGAGTCCCAAGACGCTTGTGGGGGGGATGGTGTTTGTGAGAGTCTCATCTTTCCATAGAGTAATAAACCGTTCGGACGCTACAGACGATTTTGTGAGAAGACCGAAGTCTCATGGTCTGACAAACACCGCTCTAGTTATGTCACCTTATGTTGTTGATCGAGACGCATCCAATGCAAAAAAAAACAGAATATCTAGCATGAACTGACAGATTTTTATGGGGATGTTTGTATTATGCTAATTTGATTTCCGCTGGGCACGGACATCGACCTTAGGGTTTTTTAATACTTTAATTAATTACGTTGAATTTGTTACCAAACAGGGAGAAGTCTATGTGCCTCGATAAGGATGATGTCATCCAGGTGAAGGAGGCCTTCAAGTGGACAATGCAGGGTCTGGTGTCCAAAGAGCTGGGGGGAGTACCTGTGGTGACCAAGGTCAGTGACCCATGACCCGGAAGTAGCCATACAGTAGCCTCACTTGCTGATGGGTCAGACACCACTGTTGAAAAATACTTGTCATACAGTTACTGTATAATGAACTACCTATAGCAATAACCTGTAATAAGCTAGCCTGGTACCCAGATCTGTTTGTTGGCCTTGTCAAGTCAATTGCTATCATTGACAATAAAAACATGACCGGAGTTGACATGGCGGCACAAACAGAATTGCACTCAGGCTAGTAATGTGATAAGTGTTCTCTTAGTAAACTTACCCTGGTAAAATAAAGGCAAATAGATCAAATGTAAGTGACAAAATTATATTAATTCCTGAAAAAGTATTTTATTCTTCATTTTCTTTGCTGAAGTTCATTCCTATTTTATTTTCCTCTTTATCTCACAGATCAGTCGACAAACTGAACAGTTTGAGGTGGGCGTGGGGTTCACACACCCAGAGACAGACTCAGACTGCCACTTCCTGTAAGTCCTCCAATCACACTCCTCCTCAGGGAATAGATAAGATGAATAGATTGATAGACAGCCAGATGGATGGAGGGATGGATGGACGGACGGTAGGAAGGACTGATTGACTTACAGATTGATAGATAGATTTGATAGGTGCTATGGCATGGAGTACCAGCAAAATACATGTCATATTGAATGTAATGTAGCATTTTTATGAAACTACATACTACTTCCCTACTTTATTCTTGCATTCAGGGCTGGCATCTGTTCAGACTGCTTCAGACCAACTAAGAACAAACAGGTGAGTGAAAAAGTTAATTGGAGCCATGTCACTTAACATTTGAGCAACATGTGTTGTTGGTACAATGGTTTTGATCATTTCCGTAAATGTTTTAGTCCAATTGCTTTTTTGTTAACAATGGTGACATGCTGCTCATTCTTTGTCTTTCTATATCTCTCTGTGTTACTTGTCTTTTCTCTGATCTCTAGTTTATTGTCTCACAACAGAATATCTTCACTAGAATGGCCGTGGTCAAAGCCCTCGAGAAGGTTTCCGATGAGAAGTTTCTAAAGTAAGTGGTCACGTTATTCATGCAATTTTTGGACTGTTTCTCTATCTTAACTCTTTCGAGAAACAACTCACAATCTAACTGCATGTATTGCTAATGATA